TCAGCGTTGTTTTCGTAAGCGCCCATGAGGAAGAGCTGGCCAACAAAGTCCACAATGGCACTGTGAATCGGGAGTGTGTAGGAACTGGAGTTAGGCGGTTACATCATTCGCGGTGTCGGCCGCGGCAACATCTTAAACTTTGTCAGCTGTCACGCGTCTTTCATGTCGGAAAGCTCGCCCGAACCGATGCTTACCGTCGATATCGTCGCCGCCGAGGCTGAGGCAGTCGTCGGAGTAGCCGTCGCCCTCTCCCCAATCGACCTCTTCTTCCATTTTGTGGGTAAAGGTGGAAGGCGAGGAAGGGTGTTTTTGGACGAGTCATGTGTTCGCGTGCTTTGGTGAAGGTGGAAGGTGATGAGGATCAGATACGGCCGATCCCAGTAGTCGCGGAGTCGAGTTGTCGTTGGAAACGGGACGGCGCGGCGGTAAAGGTGGTCAGCGAGCCGGGACGGAGAGCAACCTGCGGGGCTGAGACTGTGGTCGGAGACTACTGTGCCCTGTATAAGTTGAGGTGTTCAGAGGTTTGGACGTTGGGTGCAGTGGTAACGGTGTTGACAGCGAGGAAAGTGCGAGGAGGATGAACTCAGACACGGTGGACGTTGGCTGCAGCGACGACGATACGCAGCGCACCGCAACGCAGAGACGGGCCCAGACGTGAATTCAGGCAAGCGACCCGCAGGGCCGCACCTGGCCCTTACTTCCCACGTGGCACCTCCACCACAGCTCACCCTCAGCCAACTCGGTGCGCTCTCCTGCGCCCAGCAACTCGACTCCATGAGACCGGCGGACATGACGCGGTCAAGTCCCTCGACGACGTCCTGCAGCGACAGCGTGCCGAGCTTCTGCGTGTCCCACGAGTAGAACAGGCGGTCGATGATCTCGCCGTCTGCGACACGACGTTCTGTGCGCTGGATGAAGGCATTGGTTGTGACGGTCTCCTCGCGCGCCCACGTGCAGACACCAGCGAGGAGCACCTTGAAACCACGGAGATCGATGCGCGTCTCGACACGACCCTGCGCGTCAACCGTGATACGCGCCTGCTCGACCTCTCCCGGTGCAGGAGCAGGGACGGGTCCGATGGGGCCAGCCTCGGGCGAGCAAACCGCGCGGAAGTAGTGGTCGTAGATGATGCCAACCTGCTCCTTGTTGAAGCGGCCAACGTTCTTCAGGTTGCGCACAGCAGCACGCTTCGAGAACTTCTCAATCTCATCCGCGATGATAGCGCGAAGCCTGCGGCGCTCAGTTACGATCGTGTCGTCGGTAATGACGTTGAACTCGCGGAAGGCGACGACAAGCAACTCCTGGAAGTTGGTGATTGCGCGAACTCGCGGGTCCGGGTGGTTCGGGTGCGCCGAGTCGCCAATCGTGGAGAAGTACGTCCGCATGAGGTTGATGAACATGCCGTCGTCGGTGACCTCGAGCAACCACTCTCGGGTGGACACGCCCTGAACAATGCCTGAGGAGGGGCCGGGGGTGGACCGTCCGGTCGGCCCCTTCTTCCTAGTCTTCACCCTAAGATTCATCCCCTAATCCGGAGCCAGGTGTTCAATACCCCGGGCATATCGCAGAGTGTGTGCAGGTTTGCAGGTACGTGTGCAGGTCCGAGGATAGTTGGGCATTGTAGCACGCGATAATGCTGACCGAAGCAAGTTGATCTGCTGACGGCGCAAGGTCACCCGACGATCAAGCGTCATGTCATGTCGTGGCTGAATGAATTGGGGTCCCGTTTCACGCGCACACTAGCCAAGCCAGTCAAGTTAGTCAGGTGCGCGTCAGATGATCACCAGGTCGTATCCACGCCCACACATCCATCACTTGATCCTCATCCTTGTTCGAAGAGCTTGGACCACGAACCTCATCTTCATCAGAGCATACAGTGCATGCAGCAGCAGAGCATGAGATGCAGCCACGCGCCACACGGTCACAAGACCGAAGCCTCCGAAGCCAGATTGGGGTCAGCGCCGAGACAATTGAAGCCCTGGTCAACGTGGGCTACCCTGAGCGTGATTCCAGCGCAGGCTGGCCATGTCGGCTAGAGTTGTCGGACCCTCTTTCTGTGCTGTTTTTGGTCCTCCTGTGCTGCTTTTCTTGGGTCTGGAGTCGCCCACATTAGCCAGCACAGAGCGCAGTGAGGGTAGAGTAACTGCGGACGAACTTGCGGACATAAACACAGGACATGTCGACGCCACACCCAGCCACGGAGCATCGCATTCATTCATTACTGCAGTACCCTCTTCTCGCCATTCCCTTAACATTCATGCATACTCGGATCTTCCAGACCAACCTATGCATGTTGTTCTGGGCTCTTGAAGGATGTTTGTTTACCCTCTGTAAGGTTTTCCGGGGTCCATGAGCATTTGATCCAGCCGTTGGTGACTTTCTCAAGAGGAATGGCATGTCCTATTCAGCCCGCAACGCAAGAGTCTTATCTTCAATGTACAATTGAGTCAGAGGAAGGCAAAACTCTACACTCTCCGAGCTCCCTCTTGACCCACCCAACACTGGTTATAGAACAAACACACATCTCATCACTGCTACGCATGCTACGGCGCGAGTGACGGCTCGGTGACTATGTAGGGGGTTGCTTGCTGTCTAATTTTGGAAAAATCAAATACGACAAATGTCTATGCTGCGCCGACTTCGCGGACCACGGTTACTCGGCCGATCCCGACGCTCCCGTCAGTTTCGTCATGGGCTCTGCCTTGAGCAGGTCTGTTGATGTCAGCTAGGGAGTCATGGATGGAAGCTGCGCGCAACTCTCGCTCGCTCGCTCGCTGCGCTCGCGGTGTGCGGAGTACTCACCCTCAGCCTGCTTCCTCTCCTCGCCCTTGAGGCCCGTGTCGTCCTCGCCGCCATGAGCCTTGAGGAACGCCTCAACCTCGTCCATGACGCCCGCGTCGTCCTCGGGGGTCTCGTCCTCCTCGCCGTCCGAGTCGCCAATCGCGTCAATGGCAAAGTTCGGCCGGTGCATGACCGCCTCCTGCGCTGCGCGCACCATCTCGCTCTCCTCCCTGTACCTCGCTTCGACGTCAGCAAGGGTGTGTGTCTCGGTCGCCGTCGTACCGGTGGTGCCCGTGGTGGCTGTTGTGGAGACCGAGTTTGTCGTCTTGGTCGACATTTGCGAGGCCTGCGACATGGACCGCTTCCGCCGCTGCTCCTCCTGCTGTGAGGGCGTGAGCAGCGACTCGCGCGCGCGCACCTCAACCGGCGCCGGCGCGTTCGGGTCTGCCTTGGAGAGCGCGGGCTTGCGCCACTCCGCGTGCTTGCCGAGCGCGCTGCCAATGCCGTCCGCGAGACGGTTGAAGCGAGACTTGTTCCTGCTTGTCAGTTGTCGTCAAAGCCCTGGAAACTCACTCGTCGTTAACGACCAGGTTGACAAGACCGCCGAGAAGGCCGTCAGGCTTCGCGTGCGTCTTGTGGTAGTCCTCCTCCTCCGTGTCCTCGAGCTGGAACGAGTGCGCGAGGTCAGTCTCGAAGAAGCTCTCGAGCAGCTCGTCGGCAAGAACAACCATACGGAAAGTAGCCAGGCTGAGATACGGCAAGTTATGCGGTCCAGCGGCAGAGTTGCTCCTTTCCCTGTTCTCGGTCGCCGTCTCGTTCTCGCCATTGGGCGGGTCGTCAGCGAGGGCAGGCACGCTGCCCTCGGGCGCGGTCGCATCACCGAACTCGTACGCGTTCAGGATGAAGCGCGACACGGCCGCAAGGTAGATGTCTCCGGGCTCGTTGCGGAAGATGAACAGCAGCGACTCGGACAATCGAATCACCTCGTCCTTGGTCAGGTATCCGTCGCCATCCTTGTCGTGCAGCTGGAAGAACCACTCGATCGACTCCATGAGACCGGCGGACATGACGCGGTCAAGTCCCTCGACGACGTCCTGCAGCGACAGCGTGCCGAGCTTCTGCGTGTCCCACGAGTAGAACAGGCGGTCGATGATCTCGCCGTCTGCGACACGACGTTCTGTGCGCTGGATGAAGGCATTGGTTGTGACGGTCTCCTCGCGCGCCCACGTGCAGACACCAGCGAGGAGCACCTTGAAACCACGGAGATCGATGCGCGTCTCGACACGACCCTGCGCGTCAACCGTGATACGCGCCTGCTCGACCTCTCCCGGTGCAGGAGCAGGGACGGGTCCGATGGGGCCAGCCTCGGGCGAGCAAACCGCGCGGAAGTAGTGGTCGTAGATGATGCCAACCTGCTCCTTGTTGAAGCGGCCAACGTTCTTCAGGTTGCGCACAGCAGCACGCTTCGAGAACTTCTCAATCTCATCCGCGATGATAGCGCGAAGCCTGCGGCGCTCAGTTACGATCGTGTCGTCGGTAATGACGTTGAACTCGCGGAAGGCGACGACAAGCAACTCCTGGAAGTTGGTGATTGCGCGAACTCGCGGGTCCGGGTGGTTCGGGTGCGCCGAGTCGCCAATCGTGGAGAAGTACGTCCGCATGAGGTTGATGAACATGCCGTCGTCGGTGACCTCGAGCAGCGCCTCGCCATTGATCTTGAGGATAGCGAGACCGATCTGGAACAGCACCTTGACGCCCATGGCGAGAACGCAGTCAACGATGCGGAACGCAAAGATGAGGGGGAGGGAGTTGATGTAGAGCGACAGGAACCACGGCAGCGACGCGACCGAGATCTGCACATCGACAGACCGGAAGTGCTCGTGGATCATGGGCAGGCAGCGCTTGACGAGCGACTCGAACACACGCTGGTCCAGCAGCGTTCCCTCCATGGATGGCGAGTAGTAACCGGGCAATATCCTGTCGCACAGCACCTCGAGAAGCCAGAACGCCTGCTCCTCGGACATGTAGATGAGCAGGCCGGCAACAACAATGTTCAGTGCCTGGCAGTAACCCAGCTCGGGGTTGCGGAACGAGTACGCCACAAGAACGCGGCGCAGGCGGGCCAGGCCCTCTTCGGTCTGGTACGCCTTGTACTCGGGCAGGGAGCGGTTAAGGTCCTTCTCGATCTCGTCCGTCGACTGCGAGCTCTTGCCCGCGTTCTGCTCGAGCAGGAGCTGGTACGTTTTCGGGTTGGCAAAGCGCAAGTAGATCGAGCCCGACATGACCTCCCAGAGCTCGCCACGGAGACGTGACGGCAGACCAACCTGGAGTAGTCGCTGGAATGGCGGGTAGCGCAGAAGCGTCATGTTGCGTCCGTGAACAGTGAAGTACTCGCGCCACAGTTTCATTTTTGATCGTTCACGCATCTTGCGCGCGTCACCAGGGAATCCGAATGTCTCACCGAGACCGCGCTCGTACGTGCCGTGCCCTTGACCGCCTGGACCGCGCAGGTCACCCTCATCTGACTGCTGCTGCGCGTCTCCGCCAACATCGATCAGCGACTCGGTCGCCGGCGTCGTCGCAGAGCCGGCACCGAGCAAGTACTCGGAGTATAGCGAGGGAAGGAAGCCCTTCAGCGCCTTCATCTCTGCGAGTTGAGACTTGAGGGCATCACGGAGGAGAACGGCAAAGTGCTCGGCTGTCGGGAGAAGGGAAGTGAGCTGGAGGATCTGGAGTCAGCTTGTTGCCTGCGCACCGGAAGCTCACAATGCGCATACCGTGCCACGTAGCGAGGGAGAGGGCGAACACGCCAGCTCGAGAGTTCAGTCTGAAGTCAGCTATCAGACCGGAAGCCCTGTAGCTTACCTCTCAACTCTTCGGATCGTGTACAATGGCAAGGTGCAACGACATGATCGGCGGTCGTTGGAGATGAAGCAGAGGAATGGCGGAAGAAGGGAGAGCTTGCCAGCCTGTAAAGTCAGCTATGCATAGAGGGGCCTCGAAGCTGCGAAGAATCTTTGGCATTGCCGCATGATGGGTGAGGGATCCCGGGTGACAACAGTGAAATGTCTTGTGGCTTGGACGCCAGCGACGGAGGCTACTGCGCACGGAATGATGACGAGCATGACGCAGGGAGCCACGAATGCACGCCAGCATGCATTCTAGTCGTCCGTCAAGCGCTCCTAATGGTGCATGCACGCAGTGCTCATCAACAGTTGCACTGAAGCATTGGACGCAGCCCTCCTCTCCTGTGCGGCAACAAGGCCCGGAATTGAGGAAGCCTCAGATCTCTGGTTGTTTAACTCACGTATACGTCCTCCTTGCCCTCGACGGAGAGCACAGCGTTGATGTCCATGCCCTGGAGTCCCGAGGCTGAGCCAGAGCGCGCCCGCCCAGCGGCGGGCTTGACGACGACGGGCGTCGCATTCGGGGCGGGCAGCTGCTCGGCAAGCGGGACATTGAAGAAGTCGCGCGTCTGCTCGTCCTTGGTCTTCTCCGTGTATGCACGGAGGTGCATGGGGAGCGACATGGCGCCGGACTAGAGCTGAACGCTGGCGGGTAGAGTGGAAGGAGGTGAGAGGTCGAGCGGGGCAGGTGCGGAAGGTGTGGTGAAGGTGGAAGGTGATGAGGATCAGATACGGCCGATCCCAGTAGTCGCGGAGTCGAGTTGTCGTTGGAAACGGGACGGCGCGGCGGTAAAGGTGGTCAGCGAGCCGGGACGGAGAGCAACCTGCGGGGCTGAGACTGTGGTCGGAGACTACTGTGCCCTGTATAAGTTGAGGTGTTCAGAGGTTTGGACGTTGGGTGCAGTGGTAACGGTGTTGACAGCGAGGAAAGTGCGAGGAGGATGAACTCAGACACGGTGGACGTTGGCTGCAGCGACGACGATACGCAGCGCACCGCAACGCAGAGACGGGCCCAGACGTGAATTCAGGCAAGCGACCCGCAGGGCCGCACCTGGCCCTTACTTCCCACGTGGCACCTCCACCACAGCTCACCCTCAGCCAACTCGGTGCGCTCTCCTGCGCCCAGCAACCCTTGATCCCCGCTTCCCCGCCTTGCTCCGTCGCTTCGAGCGCTCTCCACTCCCTGGTCCGCTCGGTGAGCACATTGGAGCTGAATATTCCCTTAGAAGCGACCCGAGGAATCGTCTCGTTACGCCGCTGCTCATCTGATGAGTCTCCGCCACACAACAGAACACCTCTTCTTGCAGAAACTACAGACCCGATGCATCTATACACAAACTCCCTATCCTCACTATGACCTATGACTACTGTTACTATCGCCGCCGCGGGCTGCGCATCCTCTTCAGTCGATCCGGGTGCACACCAGCCGGAAGACCGTCCTCAGGTTCACGACGCTTGCGGTCGACGGGCGGGCCAAGGCGGTCGCTTAGCGATTTGCCGCGCGAGTCGGGCTTGCCAGAGCCCTCACGCGGCGCATCACGAGACTCGCGGGACTCACGAGGCGCAGCAGGCGGTTCACGAGAGTTCGGAGCGTCGCGCTCGCGCTGCGACTCGCCTCGATCACCTCCGCGCGGTTCGCGTGGCGGCTCGCGCGCTGCATCACGAGCATCACGAGGAGCATCACGCGGAGCGGCACGAGGGCCATCACGAGGAGCGTCACGGGCATCGCGAGGCGGCTCACGAGCGTCACGGGCGGGCTCTCTCGGGCGGCGGTCGCGCTCACGATGCGGCGGCTCGTCGCGGCGAGGCTGGTCACGGCGGGGATCATCGCGGCGCTCGTCACGGCGCTCGCGCTCGCGGTCCATGCCCCTCTCCCTCTCCCTCTCGCGGTCCATCCTGTCGCCTCTTTCACGCGGCGGCGACCGTCCACCAGACGGGCGGTACATGTCCGCACCACCCAAGCCGCGGCGTCCGTCGAAACCGCCGTTCTCACGCTCTCTCCGTCTCGAGTCGCGCCGGCTCAGACCAGGACGCTCGGGGACGAGAGGGAAGGGTCGGTTCGGAAGAGAGCCCCGCGCACCAGGGCCGTAAGCTGGCGGAGGGCGGTTGTCGCCCGCACCCGCCGCGTTGGGCGCGTTGGGCGTGTTGGGGCCGAAGCCGTTGCCCTCGACTGGCGGGCCGCGGGGCTGCCGGGAGCCACGGGGGCGGCAGACGGGGAAGGACCTGCCCTGGTGTCCGCAGCGGTGCTGGGTCCGGCGTTGGCGTCGGTTGAAGGCTTCGGGGGAAGACCGGAGGCCGCCGCCGGCGGCTGAGCCTTAACGCAGGCTTCCAGCTGAGCCTCCTGCTCCTTCAGCTTACGAAGACGTTCCTGAGCCGCCCTCATCTCTTCCTCCTGCTTGCGCAGCTCCTCCTTCAAGCGCAGGCGCGCCTTGAGTGCCTCAGCCTCCTCGTTTGTCGCAGATGCAGCAGTCGGCTGCTCCGGTTTCGGAGGAAGCGAGTTCGAAGTCGGTGCCGTCTCGGAAGGACGCTCGTCGCGCCCGGGCTCATCCCGTCGTTGCTCGCGCTCACGCTCGCGGTCCCGCTCGTCGCGCCTGTCCCGGTCTCGTCGTCCACGGGGCTCGCGAGGGGGCCTGCCGTCACGTGCATCGCGAGCGTCGCGGGCGTCACGTCGATCGTCAACAGGAGGCCTCTGCGGCCACCCTCTGTCGCGACCGTCGCGAGGTGCACGTCGGTCGTCCATTCTCGGGGCGGACGTGGTCGCGTTGGCGGATCCAGGTCCCCAGGCGCGGGGCGGGCGACCATCGTTCTCGGTCGAGCTTGAGGGGCCACGGGGCGGCTCGCGGTCACGACGCGCAGGGCTGCGGCTGCGGCTGCGCTTTCGCGGGGAACGCTCTCGCGACGGCACAGGCGCAGACGCATCCGGCTTCCTCTCCGGCTCGTTCTTGGGGCGCTCCCACGTCGTCTCGCCAGTCTCGGGGTGGTGGAAGAAGTACTTAGACTGGGTGTTGCTCCACACGCGTTGCCAGCCGACGGGCAGTGGCGGCCCTCGGTCCTCATTGCCACGGGGCTTCCTCAACTCCTCGTGCGTGTCGGGGGGAGGTCCGCTAGGCTCCCTAGGCCGCACACGAACCGGGCCGGCAGGTAATCGCTGGTTCCTCGAGTCCCTTCGGTTGTCGACGATACCACGTTGACGGTGCCGCGGGGCGCAGCGGGCGGGAGGCGCTCCCTGCCGTTCGCGATGGGCCTGCCGGGGTGCCCGTTAACAGAGGATGACGAGGTTGAAGGCTTCTGAGAGTCGATCGAGGAAGGCTTGGACGGAGCGTTGTCGTCCTTTGTCTGCTCAGTCGGTGTTGACTGCGCCTGCGTCGCCGCCTTGGGACCAGTCGGGGGCTCCTTCGCTGCCTTTGCGGACGCCGAAGCAGCGTCAGACTTTGACTGCTCGACCGGCTTGCTGTCCTCCTTCGTGTCGGCGGGTGCGGCGGTTACATCATTCGCGGTGTCGGCCGCGGCAACATCTTAAACTTTGTCAGCTGTCACGCGTCTTTCATGTCGGAAAGCTCGCCCGAACCGATGCTTACCGTCGATATCGTCGCCGCCGAGGCTGAGGCAGTCGTCGGAGTAGCCGTCGCCCTCTCCCCAATCGACCTCTTCTTCCATTTTGTGGGTAAAGGTGGAAGGCGAGGAAGGGTGTTTTTGGACGAGTCATGTGTTCGCGTGCTTGACCGATAACTTTGCCGCCTGCCTGCCAGTCTGACTTCGCCGCCAGCGGGGGCAAATTTCGCGTACCACCGTACCGGCCAGGCCAGCATTACTGACGGACCAGACCGAGATAACGACCTCGTGTGCACAAAGGGCTGCATGCATGCGTATGATGCTCTGTGCAACTCAGGCCGAACGTGCTGTGCCGTAAACGCCCTTCGGTTCTCACTCGCACATTGGCGTTCGGTAGCTTGCATGACCCTTCCTCATCCCGGTGGTTTCTACACACCTGCCACCATTCGGCTGACATACGCACGTAGTTCTGCTCATGATACAGTGGTGTGTGCATCTCATCAGATCTTCAGGGCCGATACCCTTCGCTCCCCTCTCCCAGCTCACTTCTTCTTCTTCTGCGCTCGCTCCTCGGCCTCCATAGCCTGCGCCTCGGCGAGGAAATCGTCAAACGCGGCATCACTTCCACTGCCACCGAGCAGCGAGCCGAGGTGCTCCAATCGCTCCCTCTCCGCATTCTGCACCGTTCCTTGTCCGTCAGCTTTCACGTCAGCTGCCCGGCCCATCGTAGTCTGACTCACAAGATGATGAAGAGGCAGAACGCTCCTCGGCATCGACCTTCTCCAGCGCCTTCAGGACGCTCTTGTCCACGTCCTCGGGCAGCTGGAGGACGCCGTGCTGCGTCACGAGACGATAGCTGGGAAGCGGCTCGTATGTTGAAGCAACGGCCTTGCCATTCTCGACGAAGATCGAGGCAAGCATGTCCTCTGGCTCGCCGACGCGGCCCATCGGCGGAATGTTGCGCTCGTCTGATGTCAGCTTCAACCATTGACCGTTGTCACAGCTAGGGGTCTTCCTCGTATCTTTATCGCAACTGCACTGATACATGGCCATGTGCACTTACCGGTTAAAGTGAGGTATCCATCTTCCGGCCGCGTGTGGGCGAGGTACTCGACGCTCTGCGCTTCTCCGTTCTCGATCGCGCCCTTGATGCTCTCATGGAGGAGCTTGATGAACTCTTTGTTCTCCGAGAAGTTGTTCAGCCCAACTCCCTGGACAGCGGGGAGGTATCCGAGCACTGTCTTCGAGTCGGCCACGGCGGGAGGCTGCGGGAGGAAGCTGAGCGCGATACGCCTCGGGGCAGCAGGCGGCGGCGGCTGGAGGTGGTAGTAGAGGTGCGGGTGCTCGTTGTCCTTGGACGCGCCGGCGGGCAGGCTCGAGTTGAAGCGGACGGCGGAGGCGATCGTTCCGCGGAGGTTCAGACGTCCCAGGGGCCGCAGGCTGCGAACTGTTGTCGTGATCATGGTGAAAGTGTGGTTGAGAGGTCGAGAAGTGTCGCTGAAACCCAACTTTCTATGACATACCGCATGCCGGACCTGCCTCCACCTTCACACGCTCGCACGCCGGCCAATGACGTTCGGGCAAAACTACACCAGGTGCCTGCCTCTCTACTCGACGTGCTGGCTGCTGACTTCGGGCGCCCATCTCATACGCCTGCGCGACTGTCCTTGCGCTCGGCCCGTCTTCTCTGTTGCTCCTCCAGTCCTCCCCTTCATGTAGTTCTTGCTCGCTCTCCGGAACCTGCTCGTCGCGCCGAGCCAGTGTCTGCTATTTGTCATGCATATGTCGCTTCGGCTTGATATAAAAACCAATCAACATCAAGTCTAAGCTTTGGTTTGTTGTGTAGATAGGGTAGTAGTTTTGTTTCACTCCAGCACGCAGCTTAGAGGTTGTAGAGCTCCTCCTTGGTCTCAACGCCTGGGGTGTTAGCTAACCATTCTACGTCAAGAAGCGTCTCGGAGGGCGGCGGAGGTTGGCAGGCTTGGCGGACAGCACCGTCTGCGGCGTCCATCGGACCTTCTTCTTCCCGCTCCCTCAGCTCAACTCACCGAGCTCCTCGATAACCGGCTTGAGGTCGTTAAGGTAAGCCTCGTACTGTCCCTTGTTCTCAACCTTGGCCTTGACACCCTCGAGGATGCGGACGGCGGTGGCGTAGTCGTTGACCTTGCGCGAGGCGCGGAGGGCGGCCTCGATGACAGAGGTGGAGGGGACGAGGTCGTAGGCGAAGCAGTTGTTCAGTCCACGCTGGAGCTCGAAGAGGTCGCCAACCTGCTCGAAGAAGGTGGTGTACTTGGCGTTGAACTCGTCGTAGGACTCCTCCTTGGCGTGCGAGGACGAGAAGCGAACGGCTGTTGCGTCAGTATCCCTGTCTGCTAATCTCGGTGCATGACCGTTCCATGTCCGTCGGCAGATCCTTGTCCTTCTCCGTCTTCCTTCTCCGTCTGCGCTTCTGCGCGTCGCGTCTCTGAATCGGTGCATGTCGGTGGGCGCTGGGCAGATCACAGGCTGATGATGGGTCGTTGGTCGGAACGACAGGGCGTCAAATTGCCGAGGGAGAAAGTCGATGGAGGAGGGACAAAGTCTGCGTTGACGAGCATGCCATACTCACCAGCGAGGGCGGCAGGACGCGAGGCCTTGAGGACGGCGGGGCGGATGGAGGCGCGGACGGCGTTGACGAGCATTTTGGGGTGGGGGTTGGGAGGATGAGCGGTGAGTCAAAGTAGACGGAACGACAAAGTAGCGAGTGACTGAGGTCGAGAGGTCTCCCAATGGTGGTGCAACGGGTACGGGCGCAACGGGTGCTGTCGGAGCCAGCAGGAGGAATACGCTTGCCTGCACCCTGATTGGGCGCACCCGTTTGATCCCATCCCACCCAGTTTCGGACAAATTCACTGAAATGCCAGAGAAATATTCCTCGGCCACTCCCACTCCCTCCTAATCCTAAACCCCATTACGAATCAACATTACAAAGCTTGTCAAGGCTTTCCTAATCCCCCAGCCAGCATTCAGCCCCGTGCGTAAGCCATCCAAGCCACCGTCCCATCAGCAATCACCGTCTCCGTCAACCTCGCCAGCGCCGTCTCCGTCGATCCGTCCCCGCCGTTATCGTCACATTACATCTCGCGCGTCGCCGTTCTACAATTAACGTTGGTGGTGGTGGTGGTACAAGGTTACAAGATGGTCGTGTTGTATGTATGTTGGTAGTGTAGATCAAAAGTGTAGGGGTGTTGTAAAGGCATTAAATGTTGAGGCAGATGAGGGCTGGGCCACTGCGGAGCGTCTAGTCGGCCATGACGCTGGTGCGGCCAGTCGCGCGACAAAGCTCGTAAGCGCCCATGAGGAAGAGCTGGCCAACAAAGTCCACAATGGCACTGTGAATCGGGAGTGTGTAGGAACTGGAGTTAGCTGACAAGGACTGTAACAACAGCAGGGAGACTTACTCTGGATCCATATCCCGAGCCCAGCAGAACAACGTGAGGCCGTGGGCGAGGAGCAGACTGAAGATGGTCGTCGCAATGTACGAAAGCCACCCGGCCCAGGCGAGGTTGACATCTGTCCAGCCGGCAGCGTTCACGAAGGCCAGGAAGCAGCCCTGCACGGGGAAGCTGAGGAGGAAGAGCACGCCCATACTCTGCTTGGGCGACAGTCCGTGGTGCTTGCTGTTGCTGAGGTTCGCGTGCAGCGTCGTGGATAGCCTGTTCGCGTGGATCGCGCCTATGCTTCCGGTCAATCCCGTCATGGAGATGGCGAGCAGCGCGAAGCCCTTGTAGTGTCCAACGCCCTTGGCGAGGACCATGCCGGTGCCAGAGCTGATGAGCATGGCTCCAATCAGCGGCAGCCAGCCGCCTCGGGCTACATTGCGGACCCATTCGACGCGCAGCACACGGATGGTGAACCACACGGCCGCAGCCGACATGAGAAGCACCAGAATCGAGGGGACCGGAGTGTCCATCGTGCCGACGAGGGCGGTGCCGAACAGCGCCAGGATGAAGATGGTCACCAGATCTCCGAGACAGGCTGCAAGCGGAGGCGTGATGTTGTCTGATGTCAGTTACGCACGTGAGTTGTTCAACTCACCTGGGTCGAGGCCCTTCCAGCGGCACAGCACGACGAGAGAGCACATGAAGCTGCCGAGCGCAAGGGAGCTGAACCCGGCACTAGCCATGCCGGTGGCAAGGACCATGACAAGCTGCGCGAAGCCGGGCAGAGTCCGGCCCTCTCGCCACGGATCGCTTTGCGACGGGTCGCTCACGGTCCCATTTGAGGGGAAGCCGTTCGAGGGAACGTCTCCCAAGCGGTGAGTCGTGAAAAGACCGAGCAGGAACGACAAGATAGCCGCGAGGCAGGAAATCAGCAACGCCTGCAGGCCAAGCAGCGTCAGGTTGGCAAGCAGCAGCCCGCGGCGCGTTCGTCGTTGGTCGAGTTCACCCAGAGACGCAGATGTTCCGAGTCGAGCTGAAAGGCACATCTCCCTTCGACGTTAGTATAACCCTTGCAACAGCCTCAGCACTTACAGATTACCCTTCAGATTCCCGATCATAGGCACGAGAATGAAGAGCTCATCCACCCTGCGGAACACGCGCCATCGCGCACAGTGCTCGAGCAGTTCTCCCGAAAAAACGAGCCCGATAAGGCCAAGCAACAACGACGGGGTCGACTGCCGGGTCAGCTCGATACCGTGAGAAGCACATGGTGCTGTGCTTGATGCCAAGCAGCAGGTCGCGTGCCAAGATGAACCGTGAGACTCACAGAGAAGAGAAGACCCTTGAGATCCTGCAGCTTGCCCTCCTTCGCACTCATTGTCGTGAGCTGAGTGTCCACGGAAGACGCAGAGTCGACGCTATTCCGTTCCGACGCGAGCAGAGGACGTTGGACACTATCCGGTGGAAGCGGGGCACGCTGGGAATCGAAACTCGTAGGCCGACGAGCTGATGACGATGCAAAGGCGGACTGCGTATTACGATCTGACGCGGCATTGAAGCTGAACTCGGACTTGGTCTCGATACTTGACCGGGGTCGACTGTTGCCGACCGAGTCTAGCTCGTACTCATAGTCCTCGTAGTCTGCTATTCCGGCGGCCGCAGCAAGGCGACGAGCTTGCCGGACCTGTTCGGCGACATCGCGCTTGAGGATGGGCGACATTCAGAGGTGTGTAGCGGCCACTCTGACTTCCGGTGAATATTCCGGCGCGAAATTCGATTGTTTACGGTAGTCACGGAGAGAGAGGAGTGTACAACGCGAACATCAGCTGGAACGGCGGGTGGCGTTCGGACTTGATCGGAAGTCGTGGTGAGTCGCAGCAAAGGGTCTGTTCTAGCGGGGCTCCGCCAGCCAAGATACTATTACCCGAGCGAGCGTGGGACGATGGCCTCGTCGGAGAGCGCAGTCGAATGTTTGAGCAACCTGATTAAGCTGTGTCCGAGTCGCAAGTCGAAGAACAAGTGTTACAACGCAATCCGCATTGAGGAGCGCGCAGTGTCGAGGACGAGGTCGATCGGCTATGTCCCAAGGTCCCAGACGGCACACGGAGCCAAGCGAACTTAGATCCAGCCAAGGTGAAACCCTCTCTCCCTTAGCGCCTCCGTAAACCCACCCACGTGTCGACCTCCACCCTCCACCCAAGCGTCCACCTGGCCCAACATTTTTCCACCAACCAGCCGCGCAATCGTCCCGTCTTCGATTTTTCGAGCATTCCGATGCGTACAAAAAGATGCTCCGCGTTCAGCAGAAGCAAAAAGCTACGACGTTGACATGATTCGAACATGCGCTCCCGAAGGAAGTTGATATCTGAATCCCTTTCGAGTGAAAGACCATTCGAGTCAACCGCGTTAACCACTCCGCCACAACGCCTGTGTTGTGGGCTGGGTTGGAGAAGGTATTTGACTCGTCCCCGAGCCCATTTCGCGTTTCGGTGAGAATGCGCTGCCTCTGCATGGCTAAGCTTGTGCTGGGGAGATGTGCGAGCTTTTCTGTGTAATTTAAAGGTATTTACACTCTGGTTGACATGATCTGGCTGTTGGGTGGTCACGGCACGCGGTCCGGCAGCTGGTGCCACACGAGAACCTGTCTGTTGCTTCTACTCACAGCCCCCACGCCCGGTGAGTTACGAGGCAGCACCTTCGAAGTACATGTGATCTTCATGCATGTCATCCCAAGAGTCCCGTCTTGGCAGAGTATTGTACAGCAATTTACAGAGAATGGGTGGTTCATGTGTATCGGGTATGACTGTGGGAAGGGCAGTAGCCAAGAGATACAGGGTATGGCGTATCTGCGTGCGATGCGAAACTAAATCGAATGAAAATGATAAATGATGCGAGAATGAGCCGTCACCAGCGCTCAAGCGGAGCGGGGCGCGAGTGGTCCTTGAAAGATGGCGAGGTGGCAGAAGATGTGGCAGAGGAAGGGTTGGAGATGGCGTCGTGGGGCGAGGGGATGCCCACAGCCATGGGATGCCTCCACCTGGCGGGGGGAGGGACGTACTTGGGCAGCGTGGACGAGTTGTCGAACGCAGAGGGGGAGTAACCGTTCAGGTCATCGTTGGCAGCGCGGCGAGGCGGGGTGTCGAACACGCCAGGAACAGGCGTACGAGGCAGGGTACTAAAGTTAGCATGTCAGGAGCTCGCGGTGAAAACCCACCCCTTGCGGCTCTGGCGGCGCTGGAGCTCGGCCTGGTACATCACAATGTGCTCGAGAAGAGTCTCGTCGTCGAGCTGCGTGTAGGGCAGACTGGTGGGCGATGTGCGGGGGATGAACGATGGCGGCAGGCTCCCCCCAGAGCTGCCGCGGCGCATGTTGGGGATGCTGGGGCGACTGCTTGACAGACTGCCCTTCTTGAAGATCTTCTGGTTCTTCACGTTAGCGGTGGGATGTGTGTAACTTTGCTTACCTCTGAGTCGGCAATGCGGACCTGGAGAGGCTTGGTGCAGCCAGGCATGATGACCTTGAGATCGAGCTGGCTGTCAGCACGCGTTGAAAGCAGAGACTTACGTTACGAATGGCCTCCTCGGCCTGGGCACGGCTCTGGAGACGGACCATGGCAGTGCCGCGGCGGTTGCCCATGTCGTCGGTGAGGAAGCGAAGGGATGAGATGATGCCGGGGTGGAAGAGCTCGCGCATTTCCTTGGATGTCAGGTTGAGGTATAACAGGTCATGGAAGCAGCTCCAGGCTTACCTCATCAGTCGCATCGAGGGGGATCTCAGCCACGTAGAGATTGCTTGAGTGAGGGTCTTCCAAGGCCTTCTGTTTGAGGTGAGGAGTCTCCTTGCCGTGCTGGCAGTCGAGACCGAGACGCTGTGCCTCACCCATGAAGCCGTCGGCGGCGAGGCGCGTGTCGAACCTGTTGTCAGATGCTATATCCCGCATTGTCAACCCACATGATGAAAGCATACCTGCATCACGTCAGCAACGTAGGCGTCAAGTGGCTTACCTGCGCGAGCCCGGGCTGCCGCCGTCCGGAAGCATGTCGTAGGTGTCTTGAGACAAGCAACCATTGTTCTCGACCTTGAATGAAACAACACGGCCGAACTTCTGGCCCCACTGCTTCAGCTGCTCTTCCGAAACAGTCGAGTGCAAGTCGGGCAAGTAAACTTCCTGGTTAGTCTCGACCCCTCAGTCAGTGCCAACTCACCGTTGCGTCCTTCTCCAATATCGCCGGCCGTGAGGATGTCATGGCTGCCGTCCGAGTGAGTAGGATAGGCGAGAACAGGAACAACGGGCGGGTTCGGTTGACCAAACGCAGCGAGGCGCTGGGAATTGGTCATGGGGGCGTAGCTGTACTGCTCAGCGGTGGGGGAATAGCCGATACCGTCGTCGAATGGGTCGAAGCTGGTGTCTTCCTTGAGACCCAAGGGAACGCCGTTGACCTGGGAGGAAGTCGCAAGGCGCTGGAACAAGAAAGAGAGGTCGCGGGGTGGGCGAGAGCTGTTACGAGCCTCGTCAGAAGGGAGGAGACCAGGAAGACTGGGAGATCTGGAGCGGTGGGCGGGAATGAAGGAGCGATCTTTGTTGAGAGGAACATCGAGGTGCTTTGACTTCACGCCGGGCCCAGCAGACGCAGGGAAGGTGGTCTTCCAACCGTCACCGAGACGCGTCGCAAGATGCTTGTTGACGCCAAGCTCGACAACATCCACCTGCTCACATTCCGGAGTGTTGGGAGGAACCAGAGGATGAACCTTCATGCCGCGAGGGAAGGCGAGAAAATCGCTGTCGGACGCGAAGGACGACGTGGAACACGGAGACTTCGATGCTTCAGTCGAGTCGGCGGAGCCCGAACGATTGACACCGAGAGTGAAGGTTGGGGCAGAGGGGTTGAGGAGAACCATGAACGCGCAGTCTAAGCGTCAGAAGGGATGTTTATCAAACGGGGAAGGCGCAGAAGTGTCCAGCAAACGGTGTTGAAAGTGGCCAGTCCAAGTGCTGGGTAGTTCGTAGAGGCACAGCCACAACCGGGGTGATGAACTCAAAATCAACGGTGCTTACTTGAGTTCAAACCAACAGGAGTAGCGGAAAAGTGTCAATGGGAGGAGAAGTGACTGGGGTGGTGATCGGGGGGATGGGCTGAACGGGGAAGAGCGCGTTGGCGTGTGTTGATATATAGACGTCGGTGACGCCCAATGCGCACTGGTGATTGATCTGCCCTCTCCCGTTCGGACTCCGGAGGGCCGGAGAGGGATGGCTAAGGAAGCTCTGACGGGGCGAAGGAGGGGAGTTCCAGCGCCCATGCGGTCCTGTACACAAGATGGATCGCCGGGCGGTTTGATTACAGCCATGACAGGGGGTGCGGAGCTCGTGAGCTGAGGGGGCGGTGATACAAGCAGTAGGGCGCTCCGCGGTGCTTGGGACTGGGTGAGTGTATTCCAGTCGGTAGATGCACTGCGGAGCCCGCCGACGTCAGTGGTGTCAGGTCTTCCGCAGCGTCGCGCGTCTACCCCACTTGCCCTTGGCGCCCCTCAGTGCCCCTCGCTCGCCCATCGAACACCCCAGCCGGCTCCAGCTGGAAGCTGGCCCAGCTGAGGTTGTTGCGCCCTCAGAGACCACCTTCCGCGGCCACAGGGCACCGAAGCCGGTCTTCCTGGAACAACGCCCTAGACACGATCGTCGCTGTTCTCCTCGTGTGACGACGCGCCCGCACCGACCGACAGTACCGCTATACGCTACCACCGTACCACCGCAGCCTTCTTCCCCCGATCCCCCGATCACGCTCCCGCATCACCGCACCCCCGCTTTCTCCGCTGCGGAAGTAGTGAGCCCCTGGTGCCCTCCCGCACCTCCCGACCATCCAACAGTCTAGCGGTGCGAGCATGCGAGACGCATCTCGGAGATCGGAGAACGCCCACCTGCGGCACAGCGCTAGCTCTCGGCGGTATGACGTTAGTGCAAGGTCAGCGCGCCTCATCTGACAGTCGGAGAGCTCCGCATCCGCCCATAGTGAGGATGAGCGGGCGGGTCCTTCCTCGTCTGTGTCGGTCAAATCGTCGCCGGAGCCATCTGCGAGTTACATCCCAGTCGCCCAGCAGAGCTGTCGTCCCCGATGAACTCCATTCGGCCCCGCGTCGTTGCGTCTGATGTTGTTCATCAATGTCTACTGTTGGGCACTTATATACACTGTGCTTCGCTCTTATGAGGAGGCCTCCTCGGTCTGGGGCTTCTTGAAGAAGTGGAGTCGTCGCTGTTCCCGCTCCTCGCGCGGCAGGTTCTGGCGGTTGTCACCAGTGAGGTTCTGCACTTGTCAGTTTCTGGCGCTAAGCAAACAACTCACGCTTCCGGCGGCCTCGAAGGTGCCGATGAGGGTAGCCATTCCGGCGCAAGCTCCGATGGCCATGGGGAGAGAGCGGGCCTTGACACCAGCAGTGAATCCAGCAGCGCAACCACCAGCGGCTCCGTTAGCCCAGTCGTCGGTCTGTGAGTTAGTACTCGAACCTCTTCCTGTTATCGCACCTGACGGGTGTTGGCGACGAAGGACTGGGTGAAGGAGTAGGCGAAACCCATGGCAGCTGCTCCGTCAGTGACACGTCCGTCTCCTCTTGCCTTTCATAACATACCGAAGAGGCCGATGGTGCCGCCGGTCCTGGTGAAGATACCCATAGCTCCCCGGTTGTGCCTGCAGTTGTCAACATTATTCCTCCGAAGCCACATTGGTCTGTCAAGTCCGCTCGAGCGCGCGGCGCCGGCGCGAAACACGATCGCAGTATCCCGCCGTTTCCGTTGCCGCGCTCGAACAGCCTATCTCACGGTGACGCACTTGTCGAGGGCGTTCTGGACGGCGCTAACAAGGAGACCGACACCGGCGGACTCGATGGTGACGCGCATGGCGGTCTGGACGGTCTCGTGGGGGTGGAAGGTGTGCGCCTCGTTGGCGGAGGGGATGTAGAACGACGAAGCCGACACTCCCTTGAGGGGAGGGAGGAGGGGGTTGGAGGCCATTTTGAGTGGTGGTGGTGGTGAACGGAGCTCTAGTGGTGTCTACAGAGCAGCTAACTGTCGTCCTCGATCTCCAACTCTCGGTCTCAGCGGTCCATCCAGCCAATGCTCGTCCAGGTGAAGGCAAGCAGTCCGCCCTCACCGTGGGGTTATGCGGCGAACTCGGTGTGGCAGGCTCAAGCGAGTGACTATGACAGGATTCGTCGGATGCAACCGTGGGAAAGCAACCATGTCAGGCTCACACCCCACCAGTCCTCGTGCAGGTCAGGACCCTAGTACTGACGTCGTAGTGTGGCCCGTGGTATCTGACGAGGGCCACCGACTTCGTGCGCACATCGCCCTCCAGTGTTCCAACGTCACATCGTCCTCATCCTCACATCTCCCTCCATTGCGCTACTGCACCCCTTCCTGTCCCCTAATCACCTCCAACATCTTCTTGCTGCCATCCGCTACTTTCTAGCCACTCAGCTCCTGATCGGTCCAATCCGCCGCCGCCCATCATGATAAGTATCCTGTTCGGCCCCTGGCCTCGCGAGCCCCCCCGGGCACCTCTTTACTCGGCACCTCTTTACTCGTGTGCTGACACTGTGTACAGTTCTCCCAAGAGACGCGTCGACACCGATGTCATGAAGCTGTACGTACACGTCTGCAAGCTGCGCTCGTTGCTGCTTCCAACCCTTGGCGTTCGCCACCCGAAGCGCATCGCTAACTCGTGACCAGGCTCATGTCGGATTACCAGGTCACGCTCGTCAACAATAAGATGAGCGAGTTCTACGTCAAGTTCCATGGACCCGCCGAGAGTGAGTAGGCTGGGGGTCTCTTCGACATCAGGCGGGGAGGCTACCGTCACTGCCCATCCCTAGCTTCGATGGTTCTGGGGCGGCTCGGTTAACCTCCACTTGCCTCCGTCAATGGACCCGGCGCCTCAATAGCGCCTCCCAAGGAACCTATGATGCCCACGAGCCCTATCACTGACGCAACGCAGCACCGTTTGCGAACGGCGTCTGGAAGATCCATGTCGAGCTGCCAGAGCAGTTCCCCTACAAGTCGCCCAGCATCGGGTTCATGAACAAGATCTTCCACCCTAACATCGATGAACTGTAAGCATAACCCGGAGTAATGACGTCGTCTAACCGATCGCAGGAGCGGTAGTGTCTGTCTCGATGTCATCAACCAGACCTGGTCTCCCATGTTCGGTATGTCACTGGCACCGCCTCCATTGGCTGACTCAAACCCAGAGCTCATCAACATCTTTGAAATCTTCCTCCCCCAGCTCCTGCGTTACCCCAACCCCGCCGACCCGCTGAATGGCGAGGCGGCTGCGCTTCTGATGCGCGACCCCAAGGCTTACGCTAAGAAGGTCGAGTCTTATGTTGACAAGTACGCGTCGAACGAGGATGCGGACCGAGCAGGCGAGAACGGCGACGACGACGAGCCCATGTCTCGCTCATCACGGGCCAACGGCAATGGTCACACGACCGCCAAGGAGAAGGCTGGAAGTGACGACGAGGACGACGATGATGACGACGACCCGATGAGCGACATGGGAGAGCTTAGCGATGGGGACGAGTTCATGGGCGAGATGGACGACTGATCCGGCCCACGCCTGCCATCCTGGCACCCCACTTCTCTTGTCACCATGTTGGACCATCTATCATACCAGAGTACCACGCGGCCCACCGGTATCGCATAGCTCCGGGCTTCGCGTCGATCTGCCACTCGAACACACAGCGCAGCGCCCGTACGTACTTTCACACCTTCATCTGTTGTATGAATGCCTTCATTGCCAGTCGATTGCTGTTCTGCTGGTGATGGTCATTAATTATCTGACACTCTCGCTCTGACCACCTCCTAACGCCCGCTCCTACTGATGCCAGGCTATTCGCGGTCACCCACGCGGTGCCAGATCGGCGCGGCACGGCTCTCTGTCTTCTGAGATCGGCGCCGATTCATGCACGCCCCTCAAAGGATGGCGCTCGAGACCACGGCATTCACATCCGGAACGGGCGACGTGACGTGCAGGTCGCTTCATAGGGCAACATCTCGCTGTCTCTTCCTCCTCCTTCACTCGTCCTCGTTCTCTAACCACTGTCGCTCCTTACCTTTCTTCCCAATCGTTGCTGGTGACGCACACACGAACGTTCCACTCGTTCAGCGCTTTCTTCCACTTATTCAAGTTGTTCGGTCTTCTCCTCGCGCTGGTCGCTTTCAGCTGTTTCGTTTCGTTTCGTGCCGACAACCCAAAGTCGCCGACGCACACACACACACACGAAACTTCGCCGATCTGGTTGAGTGCAAAGCTCGTCTGCAGACATGGCGCCGCTCCCATCGGCTGTCGCGAGTCCAGATGGTGGTTCTTCTGCTACCCCCTCTGAAGCGTAAGTGCGGGACTCGCCTGTAGAGCTCGAAGGCGCCGCAGAGCTGACTGCAGTATCTCGAGTGAACTTGCACAGACCTCCGCCGTTGACCCACATGCTGGTCACGACCATGGGTGAGTCATCGGCGCCGCAGCAGCATGCCGGACCAGACGTGGGCTGACCTGTGCAGAAACACCGGCGTGCCCGTCGTCGCCGTCGTCATGGTAGCTTTAGGTGCCGCCTTCATCGTTGCCGCAGTCATCTTCGCCTTCGTGCTGCGTAAAGGCAGGTCGCCGCCCCCGTCGTCACTGTCAGCGCTCTCCGAGTACCTCAACCAGAAGAGCTCCCAGCCCAACAGTCAAACCACAAGCGCGAGCAGCGGTAGTTCTTACGCCAGCTACCTTGTCGATTCCATCAAGCCTCCAGTCGTCGCGCGCCCTCCTCCCCGGCCGCATCCATCGAAACCCAAGTCTAACCCTTCACCCCCGAAGCAGCGCCGTCCGTTGCCTAGCTACATTCCCTACCGTGGCCCGATCGAACCTCCCTGTCTTCCCTACCCTCGGCTGCCTGAGCGGCCGCTCCCCGCGACGCCCGACGAGATCGCACGTGAGCTTCATCTGTGCTTCGGCATCCGGCAGCTGTACCAGTTGATGCCTGACTCGGGCTCGACCGACACGATCCAGCTTCCCTCTGATTCTTCTCCCGCACAGGTCCAGCCGAGCCTGGCGAGAACCACGTCCGAGGAGCACCCCGAGCTGGCAATCGTCGGCGACCGGCTGCGTTCGCCTCCAGCCCGCTCAGCGCTGGAGGACCACCCAGAGTCAGCTGTCATTCTGCACCGCCCCCGCCTCCCGCCAGCCCGACAACAAGATAGGCTGCAGGACCACCCCGAGTCGGCGGTGTTGTTCGATGGCTACTCGACGCGAACCGAGTACATCCCTCGCAACGTCACGGCGACGCTGGACGACCTTCCGCTCCGCGTCGATGGAATCCTGAGCGAGTTCATGCCCCAGTCCCCGCGCTCCATCACGTCGTTCTTGTCCCGATCTACGCGCTCGACGCGCTCGACCAGATCTACCCGATCCACGCGCTCGACCAGATCCACCTCGACCGCGAACAGCTCCCACGCACCGTCGGACGCTGTCCCGCCCGTGCCCCGTCTGCCTGAGCAGTACAGCAGTCCCCGCGGTCTGCTGTTCAGCGACCTGGGTCAGCTCGGGCAGCTCGGGCAACTGGGCCAGCTGGGCCGCCTGTCGCTGCGCCGCTCGTCGATCCAGGACGCCAACACGAGCGTGACGAGTGCGACGAACAGCAAGTCGAGCTACACGAGGCTGTCCGATCCCGTCGTGTCGCAGTGCGAAGGCTCCTGCTGCGAGGATCACCCAACAAGCCCCACGACCCCCACGAGCCCCCTCCGGCGCGCAGCCACGGCCAGTGCCAAGGCGGTACGACTGCAAGCCGCGCAGGCCCAGTTCACGTCCTTGCATGCGCGAGGATCGACGGGTGGGTCCAACGGCGGGGCACCACTGCTTCCAGACACACGCAGCGCGTGAGGCGTGCCGCGATGGCTGGGCTGTGAGCATATGTCCGTGGGGAACGGAAGGGATCGGGGAATGTCAAGGGTTGTGCAGAGCGTGCAGAAAGATTGTGGATTTGTTTGTGGCCATGTCGTTGGTCGCGAGAGCGGTGTTGTCCGGCCGGGTCCAACGGTCCATCGACGAGACAACGCGCAAGCGGACGGCGATCGGCCAGGATAAGGTTCTGGGTCCGCCTCTGTGGTATCTCGATAGGCGTCATAGGGCTGTCGCTGGATCTATCCTGGGTCTCTGGTCCTCTGGCCATGTCCCTTGGTGGACCGCCAGGGAACCACTGTGGATATAGGGTATACAGGGATTTAATCCGTGCCTGGCCTGGGCTGACCTCCACACCTTCACCGGGCACGGGCCAGCGCACTAGGTTTGAATAGCATATGACTTGTACATGCTTTGTAATCACCATTTGACCTGGTAATTTGACTCCGCTGCAGGCATGCTGGCTGCAGCGCCATGAGGCGCCGGGTGGCGACAACCGTCGTGACACTTACGCGTCGTCGCACCATCCGGCACACCTCCCAGTACAGCCCTCAGGCAACGCAGCCATCGTCGCACCCAGTCTTCCGCGCTGGAATCGGAAGAGCAGACCTCAGGAGTTGCGCTATGCATGCCGCAAAACATTCGCTGGCTGACACGTTTGCATCGCCGGGTCTGGTTAGTCTGAGCGCGAGACGGAACGGGCGAGGCCTGGAGGGGCCGGAGGCTCGAGTCAAGAGAGGAAGAGGAGACCTTCGGCCATGGCGGATGGGTCAGGATCGTTTGGGGGTGCACCGCTGTGCCGTGCGCCGCTGTGTCGAGATGAGCGGTGTGTCATGTATCGTCTGGTCTTGTAGCGTACCGCCCGGGTCCTTGCTAGCGCGCTTGTGGGAGACGCCCCAGGGTCAAGAGATCCAGCTGCAATCCTTGGAGCTTTTGCTTCCTCGAGCCCACTCACTCACCCACCACCTGGCATCCTCCATCGTCCATCCATTCAAAACTACCTGCGATCCCATTCCTCCCCCGCCTTTCCCCTCTTGTCACTCCACCATCTATCTCTCTACCAATCTCGAAACCTCACACAGCGAAACAATCCCTCACCCCATCAACCCCACCCTTCGCCTGTCGCCCATCGCCCATTGTCCCGCGATCCCCTCCAGCTTATCGAAGCCACCGCGACTCGTTATCTACCGATCTCCAATCCACCCATCTCTTTTGCAACCCGCGACGGCCAGACGCCTGAACCCCCTCCTCCCCACCCTTTGATCAGGTAAGTTGCCTCCTTCAGGTCCTTCTTTGTTCCGCACATCTGGGTCGGCCATGGTAGCCCGCATAGTCCACTCAAGGGCCTCGCTCATAGTCGGTTACGGGCAGGCACACTCGTGGGCCGCTCCGGCATCCAGTAACCTTGACGAGAGACCTGGTTATGCCTCCGTGACCTTGGCCTACGCAGAGAGGAATATTCTCTATGGCATTCTCCTTGACTGTGCGGGCGGCGGCATTCGCAGGCCTGGTCACACGTATGAAGCAACGGGCCTTTGTCGTCGTCGTTCGGTGACTGCTCGGTAACAAATTCATTTTCTCATGATCAGGACCCAAGTTGACCTGGCATCGACAATATCCTTACATCTCAATATCACACACTTCCCCTTCACTCTTTCATTCACACACACGAACAATTCGCTCTTTTGAACACTAGCTGACCGCTTATAAAGTCTTTCCTTCCATCTTACCGACCCCATCCAACACACCTCTCAACATACAGTCCACAACCGCTCTACCGACAAACCCCACGCCTTCGTTTGCCACCATGGCTACCGAGCCTAGTCTCAACGAATTGCTGGGTCTCGACCCAGTCCCCGAGCTGGTTCACAACCCAGCCGAGTTCAGCGAGTTCCTCAACTTTGAGGACTTCTCCAACCCTCAGTCTCACACCGGAAGCTCTCCCAACACAATCTCAGTCAACCACACCCCCTCGCCCCACTCCTTCGGACCGTCGCCGCCGCAGTACCAGGCCGGTGACTTCACTTTCGACTTCTCCGACCAGCAGCAGAAGTACCAGCCCCAGTTCGCCGGACCCTCGACCGTTCCTCTCCAGTACCAAGACGTGAACGTCAAGCAGGAGCCTGCCGAGTACCTGCAGCAGCGTCACCTCATGGCTGCCCAATACCAGCAGCAGCAGCAGCAGATGGCGCAGCCCCAGCAGCAGATGCCCCAGCAGCAGCAGGTCCAGCAGCCCGCCATGGCCGCGAACAACCAGCAGAACCTGCCGATGGCCCAGCAGGCTGCGCTTCAGCAGCTTCTGGCCAGCTTCGCTCAGTATGAGCAGCAGTTCGGTGGGCAGCCTGTGGAGGACCCTGCTTCCGCCATCAACCCGTCGCTTCTCGCCGCCAACTCTCTCACGACTCCATCAACGCCCGGCACATCATCTCTCACGCCAGCTTCCCACGCTGCCTCGTACGCGGGACCAAGCACCGTCCAGATCCCTCCCGCCCCTGAGTCCGTGGATGAGCCCCTCAACTCGATTTCTGAGAGCGAGATGCCGCCCAGCAGGTCGGCCCGTGCTGCCTCCACTGGAAGCAATATGTCGGAGATTGACGAGAAGATTGACAAGCTCGTACCGCTGTCTGCCATTTTCAGCGCTGGTCGCGGAAAGGGTGGAAAGAAGGGCGGCGGCATGTCGTCTGTCGTCCGCGCGGAGGGCGAGGAGGTCGACGACGATGAGAGTTGGCGACCTTCGCCCGAGGAGTACAAGAAGCTGAGCAGCAAGGAGAAGCGCCAGCTTCGTAACAAACTCAGTGCTCGTGCCTTCCGTACCCGACGAAAGGACTACATCGGCACTCTCGAGGCTCACATCAAGGACCGCGACCAGGTCATCGACGCTATCAGTGAGCAGCTCTCTCAGAGCGCCAAGGAGAACCAGGATCTCCGTCGCGAGCTCGAGATGCTCAAGGCCAGCACTCAGTGTGTCCTGCACCCTGAATCCGCTGCCACCGTCGGTCAGTCCCCGGCCATGCTCACCGCCCTGTCCGAGGGAGATGGTTCTCGGAACCGAAACCAGGGCCGACGGGCTCCGGCCGTCGGTGTCAACACTCGCAAGGACCTTGCGCCGTTCGACTCTTCCCGCGGCTTCTGGGGCGGCAGCGACTCGCTTGCCGGCGGCAGCACCATCTGTCACACGGTCATCACCCCCGAGATCTGCCTTCCCGAGCAGCCCAACGTCAACCCTCTGCTCAACGCTCTCAACAAGAAGGCGGCTGAGGAGAAGGCTTCGCCTAAGTCTGAGAAGAAGCCCCTCCCCCCTCTCCCCGAGAGGCATCTCTCCGTCCAGGACGCTGGCGACCGCAAGATCGAGGGCTCGACTTTCGCCGAGTGGTCCGAGGACACACCGTACAACGTGCGGAGCCTCGACAGCTACCGCATGCAGCTGTGGTCTCGCCTCGCCCGCGAGGCTGCTGCCGACAAGGCCAATGTCCCGGCTTCGATGCGTCCCAAGTTCCTTGTCGACCCTGCCTCGCCTTCCCGACGCGAGGGCAGCGCTTCCGCCCCGTCTTCGGCCGCGACTTCGGTCAGCACGCTGGCTTCGGCCGCCGTGTCTGCCACCGCCACGGTCGCTTCCCGTCTGACCTCGTCCTTCTGGTCTGCGTTCACCGGACCCTCCTCCAAGATCGACGGCGACAAGCTTGCCGACGTGGTCACTGGCCGCGCCCGCCTCGCCGTCGTTCCCGACACCCGCAGGAGCAGCGTCCCGAACCGTGTCGCGTCTTCCACTGACGACCTCGCCCATGCCATGGCCGGTCTCCGCGTTGCCACTGGCGGCTCCAACCCTCGCGAGAGCATCCGCACTCGCAACGAGGGCCCGCTGAGCTCGATGACTGGTTTCCTCAAGAACCCGTCGCTCTCGACTCGCGCCGCCTAAGCAACGCTGCATCATGACCCAAAATATTTCATCCACTGGCATATCATTCATTCGGTCGCTCTAGACGCCTCACGACTCTGATCTTTGAACGCTCCTCATCATCACGACCACCAACCAAACTGAGATTGTATAACTTGTAGCTGCCTTCTGTTGTGTAATGCCTATAGACTTGCCCCACTCGCAGAGACTCGATAGTCCAAAATCTTCTACGTAGCAAATGAAGCGAAATGCATCCTCTTCGATAACAAGTTACTGCTCGAAGCATCGCGCAGCCCCTAGACTTACTGCAGAGTGCCCATGAAGTGATTGGCCCGTGCGCGTGCTAAATTATCACGCACGCCAAGAAGTGTGATTGAACGAATAACCTTCGAGCACCGTCCAGGCTGCGCTGGAGGATACAGAGATGGAATCGGAGGGACAGTGGCCAGGGACTGCGAGCCAGGGTCCGATGATCGTAATTGCATCAGCCCAGCGAAGGCGAGCGTGCCCAGACCAAGTCAGCCTAGGGTTAATCTACCAAGCTCAGGCGCAGACAGGTCCGGCCCTTAGATAACTGCTGCGCATTGCTTGTGTTACAGTCCTTTCAGCAACCCAGTGGCGTCCGTATGACCTTTTGTGAGCGCTTGCCGTGCCCGCGAAGCCGTAACCCCGGCATAGAGCAATTGAGGTACGGCGGCTGCGGCGTGCGGCCTGGCGACCTAGCGCCTCAGCGAAGCCTGGTCGGTACAGCGCGGCGCGCGCCGTGCGAGCAGATGTAACTTCAGTGGGCGCGAACGGCTTGGACATCCCGCAACGCGTTGTTGACTGTTTCTTATCTTACTACTTCTCTGAACGACACTATCTCGCCCACTCTCCCCCTTCTGACTGTCGCGTACTCTCGACGTTCGACAAGCTCCGGCGCTCATCATCGATTTTGTTGCCTCCGGAATAACCTTTCGCCTGAAGCAAGTGTCCCAGCTGTGTCGAGTTTCGAACTTGATCACGCACGCGCCCGCTCTCGTGCGCACGAACTCTACCTCGAACCTTCACGGCCTCGCCTGACCTACGCCCTCTGAGCGGACCACGGCTCTTGACGGGTTTCTGAACGCTCTACGGACAGTCTCGCGCGCACAACGAGCGAAAGGCGGTCAACGTTGTCACCGTTCTTATCACCGACTACGAGCTGCTGCGCATCACGCACCGGCTGCGTATCACAGACCGTACCCCGCTTTAAGCACCTCTGCTGTCGCGTGCAGAACCTTACGTGTTCCGTTCGGACGTCGACGAAGGCTTGGTCGCTTGGTTATACCAGCCAAGGCACTCCTGCGTCCCCGCAAGCCCGTTCCCGAACCCCGTACCCCTGGCGCATACCAGCCAGCCCATCCAGCCCACCCAGCCCAGCCGTTGATCAGCTGCAAGTCCCCGATCACCTGCCCTGCCCAGCCTGGCCCCGGTTGCTTTTGCCGCTTGCTCTGGCTGTTTGCACTCAAATTTCAACCCGGCCTCCCCCACGCCCATCGCCCAGCGCATGCATTCCATGCATCCGGCGTTCTCGTAAACCTCGACGACTAGTAAAGTTTTGGCTCCCCCAAGCATCAGCTCCCCATCTCCTGCCAGCTAGCTGCCAAGCGGACCGAAAAGGATCAGGCGGAACTAGGGCCGAAGAATCGCTCTAAGATCCACGATCACCCACAATCCACGAGCCGGCGCAGCGTGCCGACCTGCTGCGGAACGGCAACGCCTGGCCACCTTGCCACACAAACCACACAGACAGTCTTTGCGATCTAACTCTCACGTCTCTTCTTCTCATCCATCTCTCCTCTCCTATTCTCCGCCACCGCTCTTCTTCCCCCGCATCCTTCTTGCCATCCTCCGCCCTTTCTCTCTGACATTTGCTCGACCTGGCCCCGCCATCGACTTGCACCTGAAACACATCTCGTTCCGTCACTCCTTCTGAACTGAATCCCGATGTGCGATCTCAGTGAGTAGCTTTTCTGCATTTCCTGGGCAATATGAGCTGACCCATCAGCCCCTTTGCCCTTGCACTCCATGTCGGCCTCCGAGAAGCGCGGTCAGCACGACCAGCACCTCCGGATACTCGAGAAGCGGATAGAGGTCCCCGGCATCGTTCTGAGTGAGTTGCAGACCCATTGCTGTCAACTGACGAGCAGCCGAGGCCGACGATGACTACGACGTCTCGTGCTCTCCGACACCGACAGGGCGCAAGCAGGTCGTGCTCCTCAACCCCTGTACGGTGTACGGCCCCCGTGTCCGACCAACAGCGCCGACAGCACGCTCACTAGTCATCCTCATTCTGGTCCTGCTCGCGGCGTACCACCTCTGGACGCATCTGGACCTCCTGCACGTCCAGGTCCCACAAGCAGCTGTACCCCTATGAGGAGGCGGGTCGTGGGTCGAATGAGATCGATCGCAGCCCACATCTCGAGCTCGGACATCGTTCACGGTCTCGAACCCCGCGCGGCCCTGCCAGGTCCTACCAGGTCCAGACGACCACCCCCAATTCCCAGCATGGACCGCTGTCTCTGCGCGCGTTCGGTCCGCTTGCCCTTTATCGCCATGTCCAGCTCCACCCTACCTCCTCATCTGTTCGACTACTTGCATTATCACCCAAAAGCTCACCACCAGCGTTTGCATTCTTATCTCACTATCTCTGTTGACCCCTCCTCCGGCTCCGGCCCCATATCCCTCGGACCTTGTTATATGGACGCTCAAAGCATCGACGACCCCATGCTCATATTTACCGTCCTTTCTGCTCTTACTCTGCCCGTGCTCCGCGCGGCTTCATTGTATGATTTTGTATCAGTTAGTAATCACTTTGGGTATTATGCACTATGCTCTGTCAGATTGTCGGGGGCAGGAGCCATTGCGAGAGCCGTGAGAAGATAAACAACAACTGGGACAGTCCCTGATCGCCTCAACGTCAGTTGTCAGTCGATATCAATTGAAGGTTAAACTCTTCACGCTGTTCTGCCAGAGCAACTGATCAAGCTGTTATGAGTTCATAATACAGGGTAATATCCATCGTCTGCGATCTAAAAGAACCAAGAGAAAACCAACTCGCGCGCGCAAACTTAGGCGTAGTTGTCGATGAGGGAGTCGCGCATGTCGTTGATGATGGCGGCCTGGTTCTGTCCCTGGAGCTTGAAGGTGGCCTCGATGACGGAGACCTCGGTAGCGGTCGTGTCGAGGCCGCAGAAGGCGGTCCAGTCGTTGACGACCATGCCGGCGCCGATGACGTCGGAACCACGGTTGACCGTTCCGGCAACGAGGGGGACCTGGAGGAGGGAGGAGAGCTCGTCGAGCTCGCTCCTGGTCGTCTTGGGGTGGACGAGGCCGCCCTGGTTCGAGAGGGCGCAGTACGAGCCGACGAGGACGTTGCCGGCAATGGTCTGGCGGAAGACCTCGACCTTGAGCGTGTCGGCAATGATCTCCTCGGTCTCGCGGTCAATGTCCGGGTGCACGAGGGCGACATAGTCGTTGCACGCAATCACATTGCCGAGCGCAGACAGGCGCTCCTCGACACGCTGGATCGCGACGCTCGGCGGAAGCGAGTTGCGCAGGTGCTGCAGCTCCTGGTCCGTCGTCGTTGACGGCACGAGGAGGCCGTGGCGGTTGCCAGCAGTCAGGCGGCCGACGATACGCGTTCCCGCAATCGTCGTGTGGATGATGGGCACAACGTCCTGGAGCTCAGCCTCGAAGACGGAGTAGAAGTTGGACGAAGACGCAAGAGCCGTCAGGCAGTACGAGTTCGTCAGCTTGGCGAAGACGCCAATGTCGGTAGAGTTCTCAAACTGGCAACCTGGCCTGTCAGCTTGCATTCGCGGAAGGTAGCTGGTGACTCACGAGTAGCCATGGTGGAGCAGTGATTCGGGGGTGGTAGGAAGTGCGGTGTAAAGGGTTGGAAAAGTAGCGAAAGTAGTCTAAGTCGTCTAGAGCACTGAAGGCGTGGTGTGCAGCGTTGGTGTCGTTCTGGTCGAGACGAAACAGGTAGCTAGCAGATTTTTATAAGGTAGACGAGGAGGCGATCAACAATCCACGAGCACCGAGAAGCCGTTGCGTCAACTTTTGGACTCAGCTTGCACACGGTTGCAAGTCGTTCGGATCCGGTGGAGGGAGTGCACGCGAGAATTTCTGGCTAAACGGGAGGGATTGGATAAGCCCATCCCGCTGGTCGGGGGCTTGGTCATGTCCTCAGCGGTGGGTGGGTGATACAGCCGTGCCTGAATTAGGACGCCGTCGGCATTGGCGGTCAGTGGGAGGGTGACGGATCACGGAGGACTGCGATCGGCAGGCGGCGAACGCGGTCGTTCTGAGCCGGTACGCATCCGCGCTGCACGGCTGATCACGGCTAATCAGCTCCACTGTGCATCAAGGCGTGTTGGAGCAGAGCGCGGTTCCAAGACAATCTGTCTGATCGCGGCTGGTCTGCCACCGCGCGGTCGAGGGATGAGCCACTAGCCAGGGGGTGGCGAGCCCCGCTGATCACTTCACGCCACTGCCTTGGCGCTTTCGAGCACTCAGAACCACTGTCAAAGCAGAATTGCAGACCACTGGATCCCGGAAGAGGTTCCCATTACGACTGCCTGTCAGATGTGAGTCGATCGAAGTCCCTTGCATCATGTATCAAGTACGCCTCTCTCACTCAGACGCTCAGACGGAGCCGGGCGTCTCGGAGGGTCTGGCTGGTCTGTTTCAGGCACGGCTCTATCGCATTGACCCCTGTCTGCGGGGGCCTGCGCGCCTCCACCCGTTGCGCCCTCACCAAGAGCTCACACAAAGTTGGATCTGTCCGCACCACCTCTCGCGCATCATTCACTGTCCCCCCAGTGCGGTGCGCCCCTCTCGCAGTCAGCTCCTTTGGTGTTCACCCCCGCCTAGTCTCAGTCCAGTCAACACCGCGCCAGCACAACACGATACATAACCTGGTACGTCTACCCGACCCCCCCTTCCCTCTTCCCCTCACCCCACCACTTCTTCACACCCACTGCCGAGCAACTCGCAACAAACACACCTTCCTTTCCTCCACGATCACTTTCTTCGTGTAACCTTCTTGTCAGTGATTGGTCACCAAAACCCACAGCCCCCAACAATGCTGACACCAGCAGACCTTTCCTCAAGTCAGAACAGAATGCCTCCTAAGGGTTCGAAGGTCAGTCCTCAGTCGCGCAGGTGGCCTTCCCTCTCTTTGTTTGCGGACGTCCCTCCTCCCAACATAGATCAGAGCAGTCATAATTCTGATCTGAGGCTTGGTTCACCTCACTGATGCGCGAACTACTGCTACGCTCGCTCTCCTCTTACCGTCGCGCGGTTGCACCTGAGAAACATGTGTGTGGCGAGCGCCTTCCTCCATGTCAGGCGGCAAGCGGACGAGTTGCTCCGGACCGCGCCCTACTGGTCTTCCTCATCACATATTCTATCTGTCTGTGACAGTGAACGGGCGGCTTATCTGCGCCTTCCTCGCCCCGTTTCCCGTACGGTTCTAACTTCCCAGGGCTCGCCGGCCAAGCAGCCTCCGCCCGCCAAGGTCCCTGCGGCCGACGTTGGGCAGCTCGAGTCCATCATGCAGAACATGTCGATTCGCCAGGACTTTGTTCTTGCTGGTGAGTGACTTATTATGGACTGATGAACAATGCTGACGTTACAGACGCCCACCCTCGTCCCGGTAAGCATCGGCGTGCAGGATTGTTCCTTTTGTCATACTAACAGCAGGCTACGGTACCCAGGGCCAGCCGGTGAAGGTTACCGCAAACATGTTCCCCGTTCGCTTCAACAAGCCCAACCTCTCTATCTAGTGAGTTTGGTGTTACCAACCAAGTGCGACTCAATCTAACCTTCCTCAGCCACTACGATGTGGAGATCACGCCCGTCGTCAAGGTCCAGAACCAGAAGTGAGTACAGTCATCGACTCTGCCATATCAAAACTGACTTTTAGGATGCCGAAGAACCTCGCCAGCATGGTCTGGCGTCAGGCGTGCATCGACGGAATGTCTCGTCCTGACAGCGTCGCCTTCAAGAACGCCGTGTTCGACAACCAGAAGAACGTCTACACCATCGACAAGTTCGAGCTCGGCGAGAACGGGAAGCTCCAGATGGTTGTTGCTGTCCCCGAGCCTGACAAGACGGAGGTCGACGATCGCCGCCGCTTCAAGCTCTCCGTTCAGCCTGCCGAGGACCGCGTCGGTAACCCCAAGGTCGTCTCGATCTCGGACATCACCAAGTTCTGTCTCGCCAAGGGCGAGGTCCTGTCCAACATGGAGGGTGTCCTGACGGCGATGCAGGCCATCAACATCCTCCTGCGTGACGACCCCATGACCAAGTACACTCCTATCGGCGCTCGAGGTCGCTTCTTCGGTCTCCAGGACCAGACCCCGATCAGCGGCGGTGGTGTCGTGGGCAAGGGCTTCACCCAGTCCTTCCGCCCCACCTCCAAGGACGGCTACGGCGCTATCCAGCTCGATACCGCGTTCACGGCCTTCTACCAGTCTGGTAGCCTCGTCAATCTCGCGACCGAGATTCTCGGTCTCGGAGGCGGCGGCGGTGGTGGTGGTGGCGGTCGTGGCGGCCGAGGTGGACCTCGCGGAGGCCGTGGTGGCCGTGGAGGTGGTCGTGGTGGTCCCCCTCAGCAGGGCGGAGGTGGCCCTGCCTCACTCCAGGAGATCACTGCCCAGCAGGGCCGTCGCCTCTCGAAGCTGCTTTATGGCAAGAAGTTCACCCTTCCCTACCGGTGAGTTTGGCTTTCTTTCACCAGCTGACGTGGCCAGCAAGTCGACGAGGCAGTTCTCCATCAAGCGCATCTCGTCTGCAGCCGCCGCGGACATCAAGTTCCTGATGAACGGTCGCGATGGCGCCCCGGACCGCAACATTGGCGTCATCCAGTACTTCAAGGAGCAGTACAACATTACCATCACGAAGCCCCGCCTTCCCTGTGTTGTTTATGGAAAGAACTTCATGGTCCCGTGAGTGTTTCTCGATTCCACTTCTACAACGACCAGCTGCTGACCCCGAAGGATGGAGCTCGTGCACATGTCCGACTTCAACACGATCAACTTCTCCGACCTCACCTCTGACCAAGCTGCTGACATGATCCGCGTCGCTGCCCAGAAGCCTACTGCTCGTCTTGAGGCTAGTGAGTTTAGCTGGAACGCCCTTCGTTGGAGTGATACTAACTCACCCAGTCAAGCGCTGGTACTCTGTTCTCGACTACAACAACGTTCCCAAAATCAAGGCCTGGGGCGTGGAGGTCAACAACTTGCCGATGAACGTCATGTCCCGCGTTCTCCCCTCGCCAAAGGTCACTTATGGTCAGGGCAAGACCGTTCCCACCAACTTCGGTGCTTGGAACCTCAAGAGTGTCAAGTTTGCTGAGCCAGGCAACACGCTCAAGTCGTGGGCGATTCTGTCGCTCGACCGCTACTGCGGGCCGCCTGAGATGGAGAACTTCAGGCGTCAGCTTGTGCAGACGATGAAGACGTACGGTATCGCTCTCACCAACGAGAACCCTCCTTGCGTCACCGCTCGGCACCAGAGCCTCAAGGACAACTTCTCCGAGGCGTGCAAGGAGGCGTACATGAAGGGCGGCAAGCAGGATCCTCAGCTGATCATCGTCATCATGCCCCGTCGCGACGTCGAGCTGTACAAGAACATCAAGACTGTCGCTTCCATGTCTCTCAAGTCCTGGGTGCCCACTCAGTGCCTGCAGTGGACCAAGATCCGCAGCCCCAAGGGACAAGACCAGTACTTCGGCAACGTCTCGTTGAAGATTCAGAGCAAGCTCGGCGGTGTTACTCACGACGTGAAGCTCGCGCTCGAGAAGGACACCATGATCGTCGGTGCCGATGTCACCCACCCGCCTCCCACGCGTGGCCTTATCCAGCCCTCTATCGCCGCTTCCGTTGCCGGCATGAACTCCAACAACAACAAGTTCGAGTCCAGCATCCGTCTGCAGGAGGGACGCCTGTGAGTAGAACAGATACCGTTGGCAGTGACTGCGCTAACATCCTCAGCGAGATCATCGGCCGTCTCCAGGAGATGATGGAGGAGCACCTGCGCACCTTCCAGAAACACAACCGCGACCCTCCCAAGCGCATCATCTTCTTCCGCGATGGTGTCGACGAGGGTCAGTACAAGAAGGTCTGCGAGCAGGAGTTCGCCGCGGTCAAGGCTGCTGCCAAGGCTTGTGGCGGTCCCAAGTACAACCCGACTGTCACTTTCGTCGTTTGCGCCAAGAGGGTGAGTTAATAGGTGACCATCGCAACTGACATCAGCACAACATGCGCTTCTTCCCCATGCGCGAGAGCGACGGCGACCGTTCGGGCAACCTGAAGGCCGGCACTGTGGTCGATGTCGACGTCACTCACCCCTTCGCGTTCGACTTCTACCTCCAGGCGCACGCCGGTCTCCAGGGCACGGCTCGTCCTACCCATTACGTTGTTCTCCGTGATGAGAACAACTTCAACGCCGACGCCATGCAGAGGCTCTGCAACGACCTCTCGTACACCTACCTCCGTGCTACTCGAGCTGTCTCGATCGTCCCCGTCGTCTACTATGCCAACATCGTGTGCGCGCAGTCGCGCAACATGACTTATAATGACGACGATGTGTCCGACACTACTACCTCGTACTCGGGCAGTGGCGTCAAGCAGCCCAAGGACGCGGCTTTCGACCCGAACCTCATCGCTAAGCGCCTTAACAAGTCCCCTGTGAAGGAGGTGGCCTGGTTCATGTGAAGAGAACACTGGTCTGTTCGGTCGTACATAGCTTCTTGTAGTGAGCATGTCATCGATACCGAACACGCATCGCTGCACGATACAGACGCCGCTACGTATCTCAGGGTGATCGAACTGTCGGACACTCTAACATCTGCTCCCGTCTCCCACAGCAAGCGTGACGCGGGAGGCTCGCGCACAATCTGGCGCCAGGTGCGTGCTTGGGATTGCGTGAGGCGGCTGTTGATTGCCCCACTGTCGTGGACCGGCGGATTCACATTCGGGTTTCTGCTACAGCCGTGCTGAGTCCATAGTTGCCATCCAGGTGCAGCCCAACTGGATACTAGCAACGAGGCACTTGGGCTGCTACTTTGTGCACCGGAATAAGCAGACGTTCAGGTGGGTCAAGAACTTTGAGGAGTTGGCTTTCAGCCAGACTGTGAGGGTCAGTCGAGCAGAATGGAGATGGATTTGCCACCCAGATGAGATGTGAGGATGGGGTGAGTCAGGAGGGTCAGGAGTCGGCTTGTCAGGGACGAGGGTGTGCGTTCTGGTCGGCCGATAGTGGGAGGCGGATGACTGGGCCGAGTCCCGAGCCGCATCGACCGGCTTGATCACTGCGAAATGGACAGAGAGGACGATTGAGGTCGGCTTTTGACGCAGCGCAGAATATACATGGTTGTCGAAGCAACTGTGTCTGATGTCTGGCCGTCTCTGGTGGTGGGACTGGTGGACGTGCTGTGTTGCGGAAGTGATGTGACCGTGTGGGTCCCCGGGTGTTGAGGTACGGGAAGCGGCGCGCAGACTAGGAGAGCAAGCGCGTCGCTGTGTTCCCACGTGAGCCGAGTCCAGTCATGGTCAGGTCCCGCGATGGACCCTGGCATGTCGGCTGGCTGCGAGTCACAAACGTCATCGCTCCCCCCACATTGCAGTGTGTGGTGTGCCGGGCCGTGCCATCCCACTCAGCCTGCACCCAGCCTTGCCGTTCTTGTGTCTTATCGCGCAACCACCCCAGTTCCCCGCCCCCATTCGCTTATAACCAACCACAGCCACTGTCATCCCCCGTTCCCCTTTCCTCCTCATCTCTCTCTTCGCTCTTGGTCCCATCCATCGACAAGAGTATCTCCAGAGAGTCGTCCTCACGTACACCCTTTCCCACAACTCTCCCCAGTTACCCCATTTCTTGAGCTACCCCGCTAGTGCCCAGCATGCGTCTCGCTGTCTTGTTCTCGTTGCTCCCGGCCATCCTCGCCACCCCCATCTCGCAGCTCGCGCCCCTCAGCTCGAACGGCAACATCATCGATGACCAGTACATCGTTGTCTTCAAGAAGGGTGTCGACCCCGCCAATATTGCCCTTCACCTCGACTCGATCGCCGAGTCCACCCTCGCTAGCGTAAGTGTTTGCCTCCCCTTGCCCCGACGTCACCACCCCATTTCGGTCACCTCCGGTCACACCCACCATTGTCCGATCGCAACTCCGGCTAGCCCTACGAACAGCTTGGCAGCTCTGGATGCGTGCCCACATCGCTGGCGGCGGTGGTGCGCCCGTGCATCGGCGGGGTCGGTGGCTGGTCGGGTGGCAACTCGGTGGCAACAAACACGAGCTCTTGTGCTAACTAGACGCAGCCCCTTCAGGGCGAGGAGGCCGGTGTTACCAACGTCTTCACCCCCCAGGGTATCGACTATGCTGGTTACGGTGAGTAGATGACTTGTTTTGGTGTAAATGGATGGCGTACTGACCCATCAGCCGGTCGCTTCTCGAAGGAGACCCTCGAGCTGATCCGCTCGTCGCCTGATGTCGCTTACGTCGACCACGACCAGATCATGACCACCACTGAGGTCCCCCAGGGTGTCGACGACGCCTTCTCTGGCGATGACGAGCTCAAGACTGAGATCGGTGCCCCTTGGGGTCTCGCCCGTATCTCGCACCGCAAGGAGCTCCGTCTCGGCACCTTCAACAAGTACACCTACGACGGATCCGGAGGTGAGGGTGTCACTGCCTACGTGATCGACACTGGAATCAACATCAACCACGTTGAGTTCCAGGGCCGCGCCCGCTGGGGTAAGACCATCCCCCGCAACGACGTCGACAAGGATGGCAACGGACACGGCACTCACTGCGCTGGTACCGTCGGCTCGCGCAAGTACGGTGTCGCCAAGGGCGCCAACCTCGTCGCCGTCAAGGTTCTCGGCTCCAATGGATCCGGAACCATGTCCGACGTCATTGACGGTGTCCTCTGGGCTGCCCAGGACGCTGCCAAGACCGCTGCCGCGGCTGCGCGTGAGCTCGCCCTGACCGGCAAGACCAAGCACAAGGGATCCGTCGCCAACATGTCGCTCGGAGGTGGCAAGGCCCCTTCGCTTGACGAGGCCGTCGACGCTGCTGTCGAGCACGGCCTCCACTTCGCCGTCGCTGCTGGCAACGACGACGCTGACGCGTGCAAGTACTCGCCCGCTGCTGCCAAGGGCGCCATCACTGTCGGTGCTTCCACTATCGGTGACGACCGTGCCTACTTCTCTAACTGGGGCAAGTGTGTTGATGTCTTTGCTCCTGGCCTCAACATTCTCTCCACCTGGAACACTGGCCCCGAGTCGACCAACACCATCTCTGGTACCTCGATGGCGTCGCCCCACATCTGTGGTCTCCTCGCCTACCTGCTCTCGATCGAGGGTCACCCCACGTTCACGATCAACTCTGACTCTGTCGAGCTCGTCGAGCAGGAGCCCTCGATTTACTCGCAGGCTTACGAGCTTGTGCCCAGCTGGATGAAGCTTGTCCTCCCCAAGCCCGACGAGACGGTCGAGCTCCAGCGTGTCGGCGACAAGAAGATCACGACTGCCCAGCTCAAGAAGGCCCTCCTCGCGCTCGCCACCCCCGGCCAGCTCAAGGACGTCGGCAAGGGCTCGCCCAACCTCCTCGCCTACAACAACGCGACCTCGACCAAGTAAGCCTGTCTCGCCATCAAGTGTTGTTTCACTCTGAAGTCTTTTTGAAGTTATGTACAAGTAATGCAGAAATGAAGCCAAGCCGGGCGTGGTGAGCGCAGCGAGCGCGAACAAGCAATGGGTGGGCGGTGACAAGAACAACCTGCCCCACCAGCACTGACAATCTAAATGACTGAATGGGGTACCGATGTGGGGCCAGCTCGATCGTAGACAGCCGCCTGACTTCCGGTGAGCAGTGGGTCATCACGGCCAGCATCCGGGCCGAGTCACCAGCCACCAGCCCCCAGAGGGAGAGTGACTGCAGTGACCTCCTGCGGGTGAAGCGTGACGCGTAACAAGTGAACAGGTGGGCGTTGTACCGTATTTGCCACCCACCCCCTGCTGAGAGCTGTGGCTTCCCGGCCGCTGGCCTGTCACAGCTTACGTCTGAGCTCCACACCATCCAGCTATGGCGGAGAGTGCGTGCCACCCAACACGATAGTTCAGCAGAAGTCGCTGGGTGATTGACCGTCGAAGTCAAACGGAGCAAAGCCGACTCAGAGCCAACCAGCCAGCCCCACCCTCACTCAGTTCAGTGTGTAGGTAAAGTGAGAACAGTGACGTGGCGTGTCTCGCCCCCACCTGACGACTATGCGTCAGTGGCGTCAAGTCACTGTGCATCGCACATTGAGCAGGGCGTGTTCTAACCTGTGGCATGTCTGGTCTAGATTGTCTCATGCATGTGGGTATCGATACTCTATCATTTGTGAATGCTGGGGGCCGGCGCTCTCGGCGCTCGCTCTCCGTTCACTCTCGCGCACTTGCTCGCGCTCAGCAACGCTCGCTGGATCGCGCTAGCTCCCAGGCGCCCTAATGGTTCGCTGTGCTCACCATACTCGCGAGGACCATGCTCGCTTTCAGCAAGACATGAGCGTATTCAGCAAGACGCTCGCTACGCTCGCGTCATGTCTTAGGCCATCATGTAGTTGCTCTGCTCAAACTGCTCCTCCTTTGCCTGCTTGCGTTCCCAGAACCTACGCACTTCGTGGGCGGCAAAGCTCGTGCCTGCGATGGCGAGGAGGGCGAAGAGGTCGCTGAAGGCGAGGGCCTCGGTCTGGAACACGTGCTGGAGGAGGGGGACGTAGATGAGTGCGAGCTGGCACACAAAGGACACCGAGACCGTCACGAAGAGCATGCGGTTGCGCGCGAGGGGGGTCGTGACGCCCCGGTTCTGGATGGCAGACACGAAGTCGAGGAACACAAAGCCCGTAAAGGTCATGGTCTGGTCGCGGCGGGACATGGACCCGTCGCTGATCTCGTACGCGTAGATGAACAGCGTGCCGAGGATGATGCACGCGGCGGAGAAGAGGACGCGGAAGTGGATGTTGCGGCTGAGCACGCTGCTGTCCTTCCGTCTCGGGCGGAGGTTCATGACCTCGCGCCGGCTCGGGTCGACGCCTAGCGCCTGCGCCGGCGGGCCGTCCATGAGAATGTTGATGAAGAGGATCTGCATCGCGTTGAGCGGGTTCGCGAGCCGGAACATGGTGCTAAGCGTGATGAGCGAGAGCGCTGCGACGGCAGTCGAGAGCTGGAACGAGAGGAAGTTTTGAATGTTGTAGAAGATCGACCTGCCCTCCTCGACCGCGGGGAGGATGGAGCCAAAGTCGTCGTCGACGAGGATCACATCCGCCGCCTCCTTGGCCACATCGGTGCCGCTGCGGCCCATCGAGACGCCAATGTCGGCCATCTTGAGCGCCGGCGCGTCATTCACGCCGTCGCCCGTCATGGCCACGATCGCGCCGCGCATCTGCCACGCCTTCACGATCGCCATCTTGTGTCGCGGCGTCGTGCGCGCAAACACCGTCACGGACGGGACGCGCTCGACGAGCTCGCGCTCGCTGAGCTGGTCTACCTGCGAGCCGAGCATGCAGCTCGAGTTGGCCCCGGCATCCGACGGAGTGACCTTCATGCCCAGCTCGCGCGCAATGGCGAGCGCAGTCGGCTCAGCATCGCCCGTGATCATGACGACCTGGACGCCCGCACCGTGCAGCGCCGTAATGGCGTGCGCGACGCCGCGTCTCGGCGGGTCCATCATCGCCTCGAAGCCCGTGAAGACCAGGTTGTCCTCCTCGCCGAGGGGGCCCTTGGCGAATCCGTACGCACACGCAATGACACGCAGGCCCCGCTTGCTGACTTCCATGGCGCGGTCGAGGATCTTGTCCTTCGTCGCAGCGTCGAGGGCGGGCGTGCTCGTGTCGGACACGTAGTAGAACTTGCAGCGCGCGAGCACAGCCTCAATCGCTCCCTTCATGTACACGAGGTCGGCACCGCCGTTAAGGGAGCCGTACACGAACATGGTCTTGGACTCGGACGTGAAGGGGATCTCCTCGCGGCGCTCAAAGTTCTTCCGCTCGTCATCAAGGCGCAGGATTGGGAGCACGTTGAGGAGCGCGACCTCGGTCGCGTTGCCGACGTTGACGCCCTGCTCGTTCTTGAACGCGTTGTTGCAGATGTTGGCCACGAGCGCCGTCTTGGCGACCGCAGGCGAGGGGGAAAAGGCAGCAGTGTCGGGGTGCGTCGGGCCGAGCGTCGCCGCGGCAGCGAGCTGCGGGTTCAGATCCACTAGGTCGTCGACCGCGTACATGTGCGTGACGGTCATCTCGTTCTTGGTCAGCGTGCCCGTCTTGTCGGAGCAAATGACGCTGACGCTGCCGAGCGCCTCGACACTGGGGAGCTTCTTGACAATGGCCTTGCGCTTCGACATGCGCAGCACGCCGAGGGCGAGAGTGACGGTCGTGACAATGGGGAGACCCTCGGGAATCGCAGCAACAGCGAGCGAGACGCCGATCGTGAACATTTCGAGCCAGGAGCGGTGCTGGATCACGCCGATGAGCACGATCACGCCGATGATGCCGAAGGACAGAATCGAGAGCTGCTTCGCGAGCTCGTCCATCGAGATCTGGAGCGGGGTGCGCTTCTCCTCGACGTCCTGCATCATGGAGAAGACGACGCCAAACTCCGAGTCCTTGCCAGTTCCGACGACGATACCAGTTCCGTGACCTGAGAGTTAGAAAGGAATCATGAGGCTCAACTCACCGCTGCGCACGAGCGTGCCCATGAATGCCATGCAGTGCCTCTCGCCGAGCGCCTTGCCGCCGCCCTCGCCATGCGTGTCCTCGCCCTCGCCGCGGTCGCACATCTCCGTGTTCTTGCGGGCGGGCCGGGTCTCGCCAGTCAGGGCCGACTCGTCAATCTCGAGCTGGACGGCCTTGATGAGACGAATGTCGGCGGGGATACGGTCTCCGACCGAGAAAGTCACGAGGTCTCCGGGCAGAAGCGTGTTGGCGAGCGGGGTATGCGGGCGGCCATCGCGGATCAGGTTGCAGTAGTGCGGGACAAGCTTGTTCAGCGCCTCGAGCGACTTTTCCGATCGCTGCTCCTGGACAAATCCGACTGTCTGTTAGCTCTGCATCATACCCAAGCAGCTCACCAGTGAGGACGATGAAGACAGCAATCACGACGCATGCGGCATCCTCGTAGTTGCCCATGAGAGCCGACACGACACTGCTGCCCAGCAGAAGGAGGATGAGGGGGTTCTCGTAGACCTGCTTGGCAAACTTGATCGCGAGCGGTTCCTCGGGCGGGAGCTCAAACTCATTCGGTCCATATCGCGCAAGCAGAGCGGGAACAACAGACGAAGACAGACCGTCGGTGGGCGAGGTCTCAAAGTCCTTGACAGTTTCCTGATAAGAGTCAGTCAAGGCACTCGACGAAAACAACAGAGTTACTAACCTCAATGCTCTTGTGCGCGTAGATCGCACTTGGGGTCTCGCGCTGTCTCCGATCTTGCCTTTCCCGAGCCTCCTCCTGGAGCTCTTCCGGGTCGCGCTTGCCGGTGATGCGGTGGACGACGTCGAGCGCCTTGTCGATCAGACTCGGCTCGGGCTCCCATGGAGTGAACGTTTGTCCGTTGGGCACAGCGGCGTCGTACGGGTTGGCCATGTCATGGCCTCCACTTCCAGCCCTGGAGCGGGAGAGCGATCGCCTCGAGCGATGCGGCGAGCTCTGCCGCCTCAACGTCGTCGAGTACGCGTACCCGGCCGAGGGAGTGGGGACGCCGCCATCTTCAGAGTCAGACTCGAACGCTCTACCTCGTCTTGAGGAGACAACAGTCGGGTCGCCCATGGGCGAGCCGCGCGACGAAGGGGGCGGAGAGCGACGCTTGACGGGGCCAGAGCGCCGTGAGGGGTCCATTGGCGCACTCTGGACGCTTCAGCGAGTCGCGGTCACGGGCGTTGCGATCGTAACAAACTTGATCCGGGCAAGCGGGGTGCGATGAGAGCGAGGTGTAGATGGGTCTGGGGGCTAATGCACACAAGAGAAAGAAACAAGGTGGTGGCAGGAGAGAAATCGGTTCCAGCGTGATGCGTCGTCGGTCTCCATCCATCTTCGTAATGCACGCTGGAAATCAGGAATCTGGTCCCGCTCCACGCCGGTCAAGACCGTCCGTCATGTCAGCATGCGGCCGTCGCAGTGCCGAGGCGTCCCGGAAGCGCCATCGGCCGCGCAAACAATAACAGAGGCTCCGAGATTGTGCATGCATACCCTGTCCGGATCTGTGGCTTTCGGACACGGTGTCTGTTGGTGGGAGCGAAGATTAAAAGATAGCAGGACACGTTGCGCACCCGCCACAGGCCGGCCAGGCACGGAAAGTGGAGGCCCCGCGTTTCGGACATCCAGTCACCTACCAGCTGCCCATTGCAGGTCATGATCGCGCTGGGCGGAGCAATCTTCCCATTCATCACTCATTTCTCCTAACCCGACATGCCGCCAAAGAAAGCGGCCAAGACGCAAACCAAAGCCTCCCCAAAGAAGCGAGCGACGATAGAGACCACCGAGGAGGTCGTCGTCGAGCAGCCCACGAAGTATGTTGACCTTACCGTCGCGAATGTGCTCAGCGATCCCGTCGCGGTCGCCAACTCGGTCCTGAACGATCGAAGATACTACTGGCTCGTTGCTGGTCTCCTTGCGCTCTTCCAGCTTGTCCTCGGAATAGCTATCATTCTCAAGGTTCCATGTAGGTCGAGGAGACGACAAAGACCTGACCCCAGACACGAAGATCGATTGGGATGCGTACATGCAGCAGGTCGACATGTTCCTGTCGGGAGAGCGCGACTACTCGAAGATCGAAGGAGAGACAGGTCCGCTAGTGTAAGTTATGTGCTACGCTGCATCGAACTGACATCAGATATCCCGCCGGTCACCTCTACATCTACACGGCCTTCCACAAGCTCCTCCCCGCTCACGGTCGCGAGCGACCAGCACAGTTCATCTTCCTCGGCGTCGAAACCGTGACCTTCCTCCTTGCTGCGCAGATCTACTACCTCGCTGGAAGGACGAAGCACGTGCCGCAGTGGACGCTGATCCCCCTTGTGCTGAGCAAGCGTTCGCACTCGATCTACCTCCTGCGCCTGTTCAACGACCCGCTCGCAATGGTGCTGCTCTACTCGGCCGTTGTGCTCTTCCAGTACGACTGGTGGAAGATCGGCTGCTTCGTGTACAGGTGAGCTACAGTGTTCTGCCATCCAGCTGACACACAGTCTCGCGCTCGGTGTGAAGATGAACATCCTCCTGTTCCTTCCCGGCCTCCTCGTTCTGCTGTTCCAGTACACCGGCTTCTTCGAGACGTTCAAGGCGGTCGTGATCATCATCTTCGTGCAGCTCGGTCTGCCGTCGATGCACTTCCTCGACGACGTCCCCAACATCATTGCGTACTTTACGTCGGCGTTCGACTTTTCGCGCCAGTTCCTGTACAAGTGGACGGTGAACTGGCACATGCTCGGCGAGGAGCGCTTCCTGTCGCAGAAGTTTGCGAAGGGTCTTCTCATCGCTCATGTTATCACGCTCATCGCCTTCGGATGGTGCCGATGGAACCCCGTGCCAGGCGGCACGCCTGCGGTTCTCAAGCGCGGCCTCTTCACTCTCCGCAACATGTTCAAGCCCGCCGTTCTCCCCGGCCAGCTGACGAGCCACCGTAAGTTTTGCTCTTCCGCTTCCCAACTGACATCAGACGTTCCTTTAGTCTTGTTCTGCTCGAACCTGATCGGCGTCGCCTTCGCGCGCTCGCTGCACTACCAGTTCCACGCCTGGTACTTCCACCAACTGCCGTTCCTTCTTTACTTTGGAGGCTCGTGGGGCCAGCTGCCTGTCTTGTAAGCTGAAAATACCATGATTGGAGCTAATTTACAGTGCCGGCCTCCTCGCCGTGCTTGAGAAGGCGTGGGACACGTACCCCGCCACGAATAAAAGCTCCCTCATGCTCAATACTGCGCATATTGTCATGCTCGCTGGATTGTGGTACATGAACGCCCCTGGACGGCAGCAGAGGCAGACCCAGCAGCAGCAGACGACGCTGCAGAAGAAGGTCAAGTAAAGAAAGCAATCCTGATGCATTGCCCCTAGATTCCTCGAGGAAGGGAATGAGAGAGAAAGAGAGAGAGCAAGGCCTTCAGCGGCTCTCAGGTAATCGAATGAGTAGGGGGATCGCGTTCTTCACAGCAGGGCGTGCGTGCAGCGAAATTGATCGCGCCTGCTTTCTCAGGGTGGTAGTATCCTGTTCGGTGAGAGTCGCTTTTGTTAAACCCGCACTAGGGTGCTATTACTACTTGAGACACGCCGAGAAGACACGAGCAGGAGTCAGCTGGCCGCCTCGGAGCGTACGGGACAGCTCCACTGCACTTGGACGCTAAGAGGAAGACATTCCCGGCTCCACCAGACGGTGTTGTTTGGTTCTCGGCAGCGATGAGAGTGTGCGATCGACTTTTTGTATTGACGGCGACTTGTAAATGATGCAATGCCGGAAGGTGTTCAACCCTAATTAGTGTTTAGCCGGGGAAAGGTAAAAGGATGATTCACGTGTAATGGAGCCGTCTTAGGCGTGCAAGGGAAAGGTGAGGGCGAGATCGCGAACCAGGGCGGAAGGGGGGGGGGCGCGCGTGTGTGGACCCTGTGGGTGCCGTGCCGGGTGACCACTGATCCACTGTGCGCGCACACGAAAACAAAAGCCTGAGCCCAGTCCCTTAGTCGCCGCCAGCCCAGCCAGTGGCCAACAGCGTCAGCGTGGCCAGCGTCCTGCGACGGGCCGGATTGTCAGTCGTCCGTCTCCCTCCCTCCCTCCTCTCTTGGTCTGCCTGCCTTGCACCTTGGTGCTTGCTGCTTTGCCGCCGCCCCTAACTCTCCTCACCCACTCAACCACACACACTCATGAGCAGGATACCCGTCCCAAACGGCGGCCTCCATCATCTCTCGACTTCCCCAACACACTCCCCCATGTCCTCCCAAAACAACTCCTCCCAAAACAACTCCCCCGCAGCCGCCGCTGCAGACACTCGCAGGAAGCAGTCCCGCAGAGACGAGGTGAGTCCATGTCCCCTAGACTTCCTTCCCCCCCCCCTCCCTCGACCTGCCGTGTCCCGATTTTCTCTGCAGCATCCACAAAGACACCCACCCAGCCCCTCTTTGTTTGGCTTGTTTGGGCAAAGCAACTCTGGTCCCATGACCTCGCACGCTGGCCTTCTAGCCTCAATCGCTATATCACAAGCACCCACTTGCACAACTCCCATTCACCACCCACCTTCCTTCTTGTCTCTCTCAGCTTCCGTTCATTCCCGGCGTGGAGCGATCGGGGGGTTCCTAGCCAGGTTCACCCTCTCATCGATTCGTCCAAGCGTGTCCGAAACTTGCCGCGCCGCTCAGCTGCTCATCGCATGCACGACACTTCTGTGCTTCGTGCATGACTAGAACCCCATATCGCACAGGCCGCACACATCGGAAGCCGTTCATCGCTTGCGCTTGCATTCGCTCGCAGCTCGCGGCTCCCCTCGTTTCGAAAACTACAGCCGCCGCTAGTCACCACCACGAGGCCGGGTTCATCCCACATCCCCTCCCGTGGTAGGCGTACCTGGTCCGATCCCGGTTGTTTACATCTCGTGATCAACAACAACAGACACTCTCTCCATCTCCTGTCCTTCTTTGTTGCCCCTTTCACTCTCTTATCTTGCCATCATGTCGAATGCTTACGCTTCTCCCCGCCCAATGCACAACGCTGCATCCAACTACGAAAACAATAACAAACGCAACTATCTGGCACCACCACCGACGACCACCCGCCCGCTGACTCCTCCCGACTCGGACACCTCGCTCTCGCCCCGTGTCAACAAATCCGAACTCCCGCCGCCCGTGTCGCCCAAACGCACGAAACAACGTCCGCTCCCCGCCGGTGTTGCTTTCCCTGCCAACGGTGACGACTACACCTCTCCTTCCGACGCGGATCTCGCCCAACGCCAACGCTACCGCTCTACCGTCTCTGTCGGGCCACCTTCGCCATCGCAGTCGCTGCGCAAGAAGATTGAGAATGAGCTTTCGAGGAAGCGTCCCGGCGGTGGCCGCGGACCCAGCGAGCCCCAACACCGCCAGGAGTCGAGCTTCCTGAAGCGCCCGTCCAGGCGTCACCAGAAGGGCACCGTCGCCGGTCTCCGTCCCAGCCCGGCGCTCACTGTGCCCGAGGGCATGAGCATTGCCGACGCCTCGCAGCTCTGTGCCGCCAAGCGCACCGACTGTGTGCTCGTCGTCGACGACGAGGAGGGTCTCAGCGGTATCTTCACCGCCAAGGACCTCGCCTTCCGTGTAACTGCGGATGGCCTCGACCCTCGTACCACTACTGTCGCCCAGATCATGACGAGGAACCCCATGGTTACGCGTGACACCACCTCTGCGACTGAGGCTCTCCAGGTCATGGTCTCTCGCCACTTCCGTCACCTTGTGAGTTACCCTTTTCGTACCCGGAACTGATAACAGCCTGTTTGTAACGACGATGGTGACGTCGTCGGTCTGCTGGACATCACCAAGGTGTTCCACGACGCTCTCGCCAAGGTCGAGCGCAGCTCCTCGGCTACGAGCCAGCTGTCTATGGCGCTCGCCGGCGTCCAGACCGAACTCGGCCCGAACCTGACGGCCAACCCTCAGGCTGCTGCCATGATGGCCTATGTCGATGCCCTCCGTGACCGCATGGCGCAGCCGGACCTGACATCTGTCCTGGACACGAGCCTTCCTCCCCCGACTGTCACGCCTCGCACGTCTGTCCGCGAGGCTGCGCGCCTCATGAAGGAGCGCCGCACCACGGCCGTGTGCGTCCTCGAGCCGAACGGAACGAGCGTCATGTCGGGCGTCAGCAACAACGGCGTCCCCCCGAAGATTGCCGGTATCTTCACGTCCAAGGACATTGTGCTCCGTGTCATCGCCGCCGGTCTCGACTCGTCGCGCTGCAGTGTTGTCCGCGTCATGACGCCGCACCCCGACACTGCTCCCCCCGACATGACTGTGCAGGACGCGCTGAAGAAGATGCACACGGGACACTACCTGAACCTGCCCGTTGTCGAGTCTGACGGACGCCTGCTGGGCATTGTCGACGTACTCAAGCTGACGTACGCGACCCTCGAGCAGATTGACACGATGAACGACGACCGAAGCGACGCGGGGCCGATGTGGAGCAAGTTCTTCGACACGCTGAACACGGCGGGCGGTGATGACGAGTCGCACAGTGCCATCTCGGGCGCGATCCCCGACACCCCAAGCAAGGTCGGCCACCAGCGCGCGCTCTCGAACGCGACCTCGCCCATGTCCGAGGTCATGCCTGGCGACAGTGCGTCGGTTGTGAACGAGGTGAACGACGGCATCTCGGACCTTGGCAAGGGCAACACGTCCTCCCTCGCGCCTGCCCTGCCCGTGGACGACGGCACGTACGTGTTCAAGTTCAAGACGCCCTCAGGACGGGTGCATCGCTTCCAGGCCCGACACGACAGCTACGATCTCCTCCGGGACATCATCCACGGCAAGCTGCAGAGCGACCCCTTCTTCGACGAGCCGACGGATGGGCGTCCGGCGGCCGATTCCTCCGTCTTCACGATCGCGTACACGGACGACGAGGGCGATCTCGTCCAGATCACGGCCGACGGCGACGTGCTCGACGCGGTCAACACGGCGCGCGGGCAAAAGACGGACCGCGTGACGCTCCTCATCAACGGCGGCAAGAATTGGGAGGAAGCGGCGCGCAGCGCCGGCGGCGAGGACGCAGTCGAGAAGCTCAAGGTCGCCGAGACGGTGCCGGCCGCCAAGGGCGAGTCGCACTTGCTCGACGAGGGCGCGGACCCGGCGCACGCGGCAGCCTACGGCGCCAAGGGCGTGCATGCCAAGCCTGGGTCCGAGGAGCTCATCGGAGGCGTCCTCCCCAAGGACCTGGCGCTGCCGGCCGCCATTGGGTTCCTCGGCGTGGTCATCCTCGGCGTCTTCATTGCGAGCAGGAAGAGCAATTAGTGTAAATTTACCCGTGCCGTGGAGAGTATACCCCGACGCTTAGATGTGTATGCAAGATTGAACGAACTGCGAGCGTAGCGAGCGGGCGAGTACTAACGAGCGAAGCGAGCTGTATGGCAGTAGCGAGCGCAGCGAGCAGATCAGTACTGGCGGACATGAAGAGTAGAGAGTACTGAGTACTGAGTACTGGGTACGGGCGGGCATATAGAGAAGCGAGCGAGGCGAGGTGATGAATTCAGAGGGATGGTGATTGTGAGGCGTAATGAAGTGTGCATGCTATAACAATGAGTTCTACTGAGTCTGGGTCTACTGCTTTCCGAGCATCTGGAGGATCTGCGACGGGGGGAGGGGCACGGCCGCGTTTGAGAGCGGGGTGGCCGTCGTGCTGGTTGTTAGCTTGCGGTCACGGTATAGTTTAGCTGAGAAAGAGGAAGAGAAGGCAGCCTCCAATGTGTTAGGAGGTGTAGAAGAGTAGGACGGGGTGAAGACCAGAAGAGCAGACGCAGACGAGGATAAGCCACGCAGAGGAAGAGTCGCGGTAAAGGGGAAGGGGAAGGTTGGGAGCGGCCTTTATGTCGAAGGGGCACGACTTCACGACAGCAGCCATGCCTTTCACTCGATCTCGACGGTGGTTCTTTCCCTCGCTCCGGCCGAACCTTTCTTCCCTCCTCTACCTCGTCCACTCTTCCTTTCCCGCTGTCTCGGCCCGAGTTCTGCCCTCTCCGCCTGACTGCCTCCCTACCTTCACGCCTCGGCCAGCAGCCTCGTTCTCTCGCTCAGCCTCGGCCTGCCAACCTCGGCATCACAATACTCACGACATGTTCCTGCGCTTGAGGTGGTTGAGTTTCCTCGCCGTCAGGCCGTTGGAGCGGGTATTCTGTCCGCGGACGGGGAGGCTCATGGCGTGTCGACGGCCGCGGTAGCTGCCGACATCGGCGAGATGCTGAATGTCGGCCTTGCGGTTTCTCCTGAGATCACTCTCAATCTCGAGCGTGTCCATCGGGTCGGGACCCTTGCGCTTTGCGTCCTCGAGCGCGGCGCGGACCTGCGCGTCCGTCGCGTGCGGGGGCGTCACGGGCGTCGGGCCCGGAGGCGTGCTGGTCGAGGGCGCAGAGAGGTAGGACGACAACGCCGTCACCTGCCGCTCGGTCAGGGAGGAGACGAGCGCCTTCTCGGGAATCGACAGGCGGGCCAAGAGTCGGTCGGCAGTGGAATAGGAGATGCCGAAGAACTTGCGCAGCGCGTACTTGAGCACCTTGTAGTCGGCGAGGTGGTGGCCGAGGAGATGCATGGCGAAGGTGGGCGAGCGCAGCGAGCGAGCGAGCCGAGTTGTCGTTGAGCGAGTAAGCCGTGAGAATAAAGCAAGCCGACGAGCGAACGAGCGAACGAGCGAACGACAGCGAGCGGCCGGAAGTGTTGAGTGGAGTGGTAGTGGTCAACGACGAGCAAGCAGCCTGCAACAGCGAGCGATCGAGCTGCAACCCAAGCAAGCAGCAAAAGTCGGTAGAGCGCCGTGCCTGAGATTAGACGGGTGGTTTGTGTGCCACACGTGAAAACTCCGGGCGAGTGGCTCCGTCTGAGCCTGCCTGCCCTGGGTGGGAGGTGAGATTTCGGGCCTTGCCTGCCATGAGCCTTGCAGCCTGGCCGGTCCGACTTTTCTGGACAGTAGAGAGATCAGAGAGAGCTCGATACTCGGCGAGCTACATACACAGCTACACTCCGCACGGCCTACGGACCTCGACGCCGACACCGACTTTCTTTGCCCCCACTCTATACCGTCTTCTCGGCTTCGCCAGCTTCGCTTCGCTCAGCCTCCTCCCCCCTCCATCACCAGCCCGCCTCCGCCTCACCGAACTGAACCACCATGTTGACCGGGCCAAAACTCCGCCTCCGCTTCGGCAAGCTGCCTGCGCCGTCTGGAGCGGCCTTTGCGCTCGTCCGCAAGCTGCTCGAGGAGCGGCCCATGCACTTCCAGGAGCTGCTGCATGACGGCATCCGCGCGCTCGGCGGCGAGACGAACCGCGCCTCGTCGGACATTCCGAGCGCCGAGGAGCTCACAGCCAAGAACATCAAGAAGCGCGGAAAGGCAAAGGCCGTCAAGGAGGAGGGCTCGAACCCGGTGCCCGAGGGACATCCGTTCGTCTCTGGACAGTGAGTGTCAGGTTGCGCGGCTGCTTCGGAATGGAACAGTTCCGTCGGAGGAGCAGTTGCCATGCAGTCTCGATCGTCCTCCTTGCTAACCCCACAGCTACCTCAAGTCCCGCATTCTGCCCATCCTCCAGTCGCAGGAGCTGATCACGCGCACATGGGGTGTTCCAGTGGAGGGCACGCGCCTGGCAGCCGAGCGCAACGGGGAGCAGACCGTGATCTGGAAGCTGAACACGGAGGGCTGGCGCGCCGACAAGTGGAAGAAGCTGATGCGCCCCAATCTGCGCGAGGGCCAGATTGCCGCGCAAGGTCTGGAGGTGAAGCAGATCCAGGAGGCCGAGAAGAAGGCGCAGCGCGAGGCCGACTGCGACGCCGGCATCGCCCAGCGGACAGAGCGCGAGGCCATGGCGTGGAAGGCAAGGCCCAAGGGCATCTCGTACCGTCTCGAGCGCCTGCATCTCAACCCGCGCCGCGCGAGGAATCGCGCCGCCAAGGAGGAGCGCGCCGCCCAGGACGCTGCGCTCCGTCGGGAGGCCGAGGTCGCTGCTAGGAAGCTCCTTGCGGGAGAGAACTAGAGAGGGCGGGGGAGGAGCGTAAGTTGCATTTTTAGTCGCATGCATTACTCAATAGCATTTTTCCAACTCGGAACGGTCGTTACGGGACTCACGGCAGGAGACATATACGGAGGACGACGACTACGGGGGACGGAGATTGCGGCGACACAGAGGGCGAGGAATCGGTGGACTGCGCCGAGGACCGCGGCAGAAGTGCGCCTGTGGAACAGGAGAGCGGATCTATCGGCGCGATCAGCGTCGAAGCATGCGGACGCAGCGACGCAGTAGACGATGGAGAGGGTGGAAGGGGCGCAGGGCGCACACTTGTGCGCACATGGAGGCGACGATGGCGGCGATCTAGGACACTCACACATATCACTCCTGATAGCGCGTTGCGCAGGCGACCCAGTCAACCGACTCTTCTCGCGCCCCTCGATCACTCGAGCAGCCCTCACACGATCGCCACCGTCGCCACTCTGGCCACGCACAACACACAACACCGCGCTTGACATTACACTCACCCCGACAGCCCTCGACAGCCCTCGATCCCCGACAGCCGCGCAAGATGGCAGCCAACTTCCTGTCCGCCACCGAGTCCGGCTCGGTCGTCGACAATGGCTCGCATCGCTCATCCGACGACGACAGCTTTGTTCTCCCCAGCTTCGCGTACGAGGTCCCCGACGACGCGTACACTCCCGCTCCATGGGAGAGGAAGACAAAGCAGGTCCCGCACGACAACCCCCGCGCCGACACCGCCCAAACCGCCATTGCCCTTCAGAAGACAGTCCGCAAGGAAGACCGCGATCATGATCTGGCCCAGGTTGCGCTCGCTGGGGCCTCGGTGTCAGCGCAGAGGACCGCTACGTCGTCGTCGAACATGCCTTCCTCCCTCATTGACAGCACCAACAAACAAGTTACTCAACCCAAACCCCCAGCCAAGCCTACACCCCAGCTCGACCTCCTCACTCAGCTCATGGTGCAGGATCTTCCTGGAACGAACGGACTGTCTTCCTCGTCCCCTCCACGCCGCGCGCAGTTGCAGCAGGTGACTCAACCACCCCTTGTGGTTGCCTCCGCTCCCGCCGCTCCGCGGGTCGACGCCCCTTCCTTTGTGTCTCATCAGCACAACCAGAGTCGTCAACAACAGCACCCTCAGCAGCAAGTCGACATGAACACTCCCGCTCCTTGGTCTCAGCTGTCTCGTGCTCTGCCTCCTCATATGCAGGATCTGGCTCAGCTTGACATGGCCCCGTCGCAGCCCAAGCCTGCAGCGAAGACGACCAGCACGCATGCACATGGTGCGGACGGCCCCTTCCGCGATCTGGAATGTCTCATGGGCGCTTCTGCACCTGCTCATCAAACGAGCTCGTCGCTGTCTTTGTCCCCTTTCGTCCTTCCTCGTCAATCGACTGCGCCTCAGGAGGTGCACTCCTCGCCGCCGTCCTCCGCTGCAACTCTGTACGAGCCCGATCCCATGGGCGGTATGCTTCAGACGCCTTCCTCATTGGAGCTTTATCTGCCTTCCTCATCAGAGGGTCGCTCGCCCTCCTCGCTCGACACCCGCCTGTCGTTCCCGCCCGTGCCCCTTGCGCCTGCCGCGGTTGAACCCCGCGCGCCCTCGCCTCTTCATTCTTCCGACGACTTCGATGATCTCATTCCCGGCTTACCTTTGTCCTCTCCATCATACACACCTCAGCCACAAGCAGAGTCGTCCAAGTACCCTTCAACTTTCTCGTCGTACCAGAACTCCTCACCTGGCTCGCCATTGACGCTCCCCTCAGCGTTATACCACAAGGCTCACCCACCCCCTTCATACCACTCCAACGCCGAGTCCACGTGTCAGCCCAACATGCTGGTCCCCGACAAGCTTGACTTTGACTACTTCAAGTCGCTCATGCGCAAGGGCGTCTTTGTGCGCGTTGAAGGCCCCAAGAACAATCAGCTTCGCTGGACGGGCGAGTCTGCGACCTCGGGCTACTTTGGTCGCCAGGAGTCGTTCAAGGGCCTCGGTCCTGAAGCCTACGAGAAGGCTGCGAGGGCCGCTGGTCTTGACAGGCCGAACTGGGAGTCGCAAGAGTACTTGTGGCGCTCGATGGACGCTCACCGCTGGCCCGACCAGGGTTGCGTTCCCGAGGACTCGCCGTGGATCTCGGCCACTAACAATCTTGAGTGGGCCATCTGGAGGACCGCCAACATTCTCACTTCATCAAGCACGGTCTACATGACGTTCATCAGGCCTACTACGGAGCGCCACAGTCTTCCCAAGCCTCCCCGCTACATCTCGAAGGGCGCGCGTTCGCTGAAGAACCTCAACAAGGGCAACAGCGAGGTTCTTTTCTATGGGAGGATCTTTGCCGAGTCCATTGTCGCTAGGGTGAAGTGGACTCGCACCGTAAGCTTTGGTTGTAGCGTTTAGCTAACTGCAGTCTCTTCCCTTCTCGCTGCCTGCCAGGTTCTGGGGCGTGCCGGCTCTTCGTCAGCGCAAGGCTCCTTCTTGGATTTATTACCTGCGCTGGGAGGCGAAGAAGCACAATTGGACCAAGACCAAAGATCTCTTGCTGGAGTCGGGCAAGCTTGTTGGTTGGCCCACGCAACCTGTGAAGCGTGCTCACTCGTTTGCGTGGCCGCCCAGCTCCGATGAGGACAGCTCGACCCCGCCCTCCAGCGTCGTGGGTCCCTCGACGCCCGAGCCCCAGGCTCCGTCGCGCGATAACCATGAACAGGTTCAAGTCGTCGACCTCATCGATTTTGGCCCCGCCGACAACTTCGCGGCCGACAACTCGGACGACGGCCTCCAGCCGCCCCTTCAGCCCGACACAAAGGAGGTCAACCTTGTGAGCTGTATGATTGACCTTAGCTAACGACAGCTTTGGTTCTGACCTATACCTTTGTATCGTAGGCCAACGCACACTTGTAGTGCAATACTATGCAATAACCATGCAGTTGTGAGGAAAAGGTCGAATCGGGCGCTGGGTGACGGGTGACTGTAACTGATCGGAGCCGCGATCGGGGCGTTGCCGTAGGTTGTGCCGTGTGGTACCGGCTCCGGCCAGATCCAGGCACGGAATGTCATGAAGCCATGACGACAGTCGGAAAGGGAGCCCTGGACGGAGCATGAGGTGACAACAGCTTCAACCGCATCACGTCCGTCTCCACTGGTGCATCCAGCAACGATGCCGCATCGCCCGCATCGCCCATGTCCCAGTCCCGGCCACCACTCAACCATCACGAGTCCTCGGAACGAAGCGAGTTTGGAGGGCGGGGCGACCTCTCCATTCCCGACGGTGACGAGACTATACCCCCCCTCCTAGCAGAAGTCACGCTGTTCGTGGTTCCGGGGAAATTGGACTTGAGGGAAGTGTATGAGCGCATCGACGCGCTGGGAGGCGAGAGGGTGCTGGATCCGGACGAGGCGACGCTTGTGGTGACGGGGCTGAGGGGCGTGCCGAGGTTGCAGCGGGCTCTGGGGGCGAATCTGGTGAGTACCACTGCCGAGCGTTGCCGAGCGTTGTTGAGCGTTGCCGAGCGCAGCGAGGCGGCGAGGCTGTTGCCGTCTGCGCAGTATAGCTGCCGAGAATAGCTGCCGAGTGATCAGGACGTCTTGATCCGAGCCATGGTAGCGAGAGCGGATGGAACAGGTTGAGGACAAAGGTGGAGGGTGGAGGCTGAGAACAGTGTCGAGGATGGAGGATACTGACGCCAGCACGACCGGCAAATCGTGAATGTCGGGTACATCGACGCCGTCTACGACGTGGCCCAGAGTGTGATAGACTGGAAAGAGAAAGGCGTGCCCTCCCTCCCTGACAAGTCCCCTTTCTTGCTCCGGTTTAAGAGACTGAGTGTCGAGGTAGTGTCGCCGCCAGCGTCTCCCGCACCTGCTTCCGTTCATCATCCCCGTCCCAGCTCGGCCGATGAGGGCCACGGGCCAAAGTCTAAGAAACCAAGGCTCGCTGAGAACCAGAAGGATGAAGGAAGGAAAGATGATGTGGATAGTGGCGAGGAGGGGCAAGAGGGAGAGGACTGGGCGCAATCCGACGACGAGAGGGAGGAGGCCGCCCTCGTCGGGCCCCGCGTTGGCGATCTTGAAGACGTGCACCCCTATCCGGTCGATGTGGATTTTGGGTCCATCCCGCGCATGGCCTTGTTGCGGCCCAGCCCGCTCGTCTGCGTCAACCAGGATATAGTGAGTCACCCTAGCTCTCCCTCACTCCTTCTTCGGAACAGTCGTACTGTTCGGGATATGTAGCCCGGCCTCCTCCGCCTTCGGCGTTGTCGGCTGACACCAGATCAACGCGATCAAGCCCATCTACACGGAACGCGAGTTCGACGAGGGCCAGCAGCTCAACAGCAATGTGCTGAGCTATCGGCGCTCGATGGCGATCCTCAAGTCTGTGCCACGACGCATACGGAGCGGGGAGGAGGCGCAGACCCTCGTCGATGTCGGGGGCAAGGTTGCCAATCGAGTGAGTCATGTCTTTTCATTACTTAAGTCCTCGCTCGGAGTCGGGTTGTGCCGAGTGAGCCAAGCTGAGGCGGAAGCTAGCGTCGAGGGAACGATGAGGCGGGGCTGATGCCAGATCGACGAGTACCTCGCCACGGGGCAGATTTCCGAATCCGCCTCCATCCTCGCCTCGGAGCGCTATAAGGCCCTGCGCCTCTTCTCCTCCGTCTTCACGATCGGGACACATACGGCTGTGCAGCTCTGGGACGCGGGATGTCGGACTCTCGACGACGTGCTGCAGCACTATGACTGGACGCCGCCGAGTACACCTAAAGAGGAGCGCAAAGCGAGAAAGCGAAGGATGGAGGGGACCATGACCAAGCCTGAGATTGTGCATGCTTGGGTGAAGTTGAGGGACCAGCTGGATCAGCCGTGAGTTTGCCTTCCACGTTGAGCGATGCGTGCGCCAGCCACATTGGTTAGATTGGCCTCAGCCCTCCAGCACGCCAACTCGCTGTCGCTCGCGTTCCCGTTCGCGGCTCGCTAACAACAGCATCTCTAGGAAAGACGTGGCTGCCATCTCCTCCCTGGTGCGGGAACACCTCCAGGCCCTGCGGCCCGACACGCAGCAGGTGATTGCCGGCGGCTTCCGGCGGGGGAAACAAGACACGGGCGACGTCGACGTCATCTTCACTGCCGGGCCGTATCCCTCCCATGCCACGAGCCCGCAGACCCCCGACTCGGATCCTACAGACGGGCTCCTGTTCCGCCTCGTCCGCCGCCTGTGCCGACTGGGTATCATTACGCACGTCTTGCAGCTTACGCAGCGCGCGAGAGTCGGGCCACTGCACTCGTCAGGCGCCAACTTTGATAATCTTGACAAGGCATTTGTGATTCTCAAAATTGGAGGACAGCATCGACGGGTAGATCTGATTGCCTCGCCGAGGACGAGATATGCCGCCGCCGTCCTCAGCTGGAGCGGGAGCATGATGTTCGAGCGTGACTTGAGGCGATACGTTGAGGACCGGTGAGTTGCTGCTGCGATGAAGTACTGTGCTAACGCCCGCAGTGGCCTCAAGTTCCGCGCTGGCCTAATGGACCCGCATACCCAGAAAGAAATCAACTTTGCGACCGAGCGCGAGCTGTTCGCGTTCCTCGAGCTGCCGTACGTGCCGCCGCAGCTGCGCAATGCGGACGGATAGAAGACAGAGTGTATGCACATTTACAACTGATACATCGTCGCACTATGGCCCGGGAACCAGACCGGGCCGCCGGCCGGCCGGTGTACGACTAGCGTGCTGTCTGGGGTTGTGGCGGCGAGCCCTCAGTCTGCGGCGGCGAGTCGCTCTCCGCCTTGGACTGCGGCTCCGTCTTAACCTGAGCTGGGGACTGGGAGTGCTGCAGCGGCGACGACACGGAGGGGGAAGAGTTCGGCGGCGCGTGCGTGCCCGACGTTGGCGGAGCGAGGCCCGACGGACGTGCAGGGCGAGGAGTCGACTGAACAGGCGCCTCAGCATCGGCGTCCGCGTCGCTGACCCAGTCTGAGTCCTCAGACTTCTCAATTTTGACCTCGTCATCGGGCTGGTTCGGGATGCCGGCCGACTGTGGGAAGCCAAAGCCGCGCGGTGTATCGCCCGCCTCCCACATAAACGGCTTGCCTTCTAACGAGCCGCGGACCGAGAGCGGCGGCGGCGGAAGTAGGCCGACGCGCACCTTGGTCTCGTCGATCCAGGCACGCAGGCCAGACAGGATCCCGTCGATGGCTGCAGCATCTTGGGTCTGCTCGAGGATGTGGTGTAGAAGGCGGAAGGCGAGGAAGACGCAGAGGAGGAACACGAGGAGCAGGCCGGAGATGGCCAGTGTCGCGCCCAGAATTGGGAGAAGAATCGCCACTGAAGTCAGCTCAACCTCCTTCCGTCGAACTCACATCCGAAGAGCGCAACACCAGTAATGGACGCGCCCGCGAGGAAGACGGCAGTGCTGATGATACAGAAGGACAGCACGAGGACGAACCCGCTGGGTGTTAGTTGTGAGCGACTCCAGCAACTTACACAAAGATCAGGATCGGGATCGCGCTGAGAAGCGTGAATGTGGCAAGGAACGTCTGCATTGTAAGCTGGTGGCGATGGAAGAGACAGCTTACGAATAGAACGGGATTCGAGTCTGCAAACTCTTTCAGTTGTTCGGCAACAGGCATGAGCGCCTGCTGAAAGCTGGGCATGTCAGTGAGCTGTTGGGGTCATGTTGGTGAGAATGTGTTGTTAGATTGTTGCAGGCGTGAGGAACGTGTCATCCAAACGGGGCGTCGACCCGCAGCGACTGTCCAGGTCGCGCATGCCGTCTCGAGGGCGCCGAGGAGTTAAGGGATACGGCGATCCGACTAAACTCACCGATCGCTCTGCTCTCTGACTCTCCTGGTGATCTCATCGAGTTTGAGAGCGTGCGCTTGTTGCGGGGTCGGAAGCGAGTGTGAGGTGGGAGTGTGCGGGGTGTGAGGGGTGTGCGGAGAGTGCGGAGTCGGTACGCGTGATTGTGAGCTGATGCTGCTATTGTCCATTTTCTTATTGGGTGAGGAAGAGTGTGAGTGAGAGACGGACCGCCGCCCGAGGAGCGCATGTTGGCCGCCGTACGGGACTGGCATGTCGTCAGCAGCGTGCGCGTGGTCGTAGGGCGTGTGGACGTGTAGTCGTAGGTGCGGCGTGGCGCGTGTCAAAGGCGTACAGGCTTGCGCGGCTGCTCAGACTCTTAGGCTCAGCTGACTTGACGTAGACTGGGGTAACAGCGAAGGCGTGCAGCCACGGAGGAAGGAAGGGGCCCGGACGGATGGAGGAGCTCGAGCGCGGGCGGCTGAGGGCTTCCTGGTTCGCAATGAACAGCGGGTCGAGATTCCGAGGGGGGAAAGTCTGAAAATCGAGCTCGGCGAAATTGGGTGACACAGAAGTCGAGAAGAAAGTGAGACGGACGACTGAGTCGGTATAGTTGAACAGTTGCACACTGGGGAAGAAACGCTCGGAAAGACACTTGTCGGCGACCGGGCGGGGAAGGGAGGCGGAGAGCACTCGCCTGAGCTTGGTCGATGAAGGAAGAAGGCGGGAGGGAAGGCGAACGTATGAAAGAGTCAAAAGGAGATGGATAAGAGCAGATATCAGATCGAGATGCATCGAGCTGTAACCGGCAAGGGCTGGCTCATGGACGCCATGAATGACAGAGTGATCGCGCCTCGTGCCCCGTTGCCGCCCAGTAGCGCCCACCCAACGCCCAGCTGTGGTCAGGGCGCGTGCCGCAGACGCGCCTGTTCTAATGGTATGACGTTCCGGCTGATCGGATATGGCGTCCCCCTTCTCATATCCGACCCACCCTTTAACCCTCCACCATCACAGCGCTAAGCGCTAAGCCCAGGCACCGGCACCCGCTGCAACGATAGATAGATTCACGCGCTTGACTTTCCCACACATGCGCCCCAGCCTAGTACGCCCGTAGTATCAGTGGCACTTGGCACTCTTCCGTCCCTTGTACACCACTGCATCCACTCCTTTCGAGACGTAAAAGCAACCCTCACTGCAACCTGTCGTGTCCAGGGCGAAAAAGAGAGCCTCGTATGGGGCTCGAACCCATGACTGTGTGATCAATCGGCTTGTAATTGCGTAAGAGTCACACTATCTACCGACTGATATAACGAGGCGTTGCTCGTAGGCGCCTGGAAAGCGAGGGGTGCTGCTGCCTGATCAGTGTGGCTCTCTCAGGGCGACATCTGGGTTTTTGTCAAGTCGTGGGTGTTGGAGCGCATCTTGAAGAGGACTGACGGTGTGGAAAAGAAAGGTTGACGACGGTCCGTCGGTTCAGGACAGAAAGGCAGCATGATTGGTTCAAAGACGCCGACCCTCTTCAGCATCTTCCTCTTGGACGCCTCAATAACCTCATTAGTGGCATCGCTACAAGCCTGCTTCTCCTGTTTCTCGGTTCCTTCAAGCATCAAAACGCCGTTTCCAGTGCGTTCCATCGCCCCATAAGCTCTCCTCATCGCAAGACGCTGCCCGTTTCCGTAGTCCTTGTCAGGAGGAGGAAAAAGGGTTGCAACTCAGGATCTCTCCCTCGCTCCAACCACCACGCTTTGCCTTCTACCCGAATCGAACGGGTGACCGTTCCATAGTAAGACTCGCAGAGGAGCACACTACTAGTGGAAAATTCTAGCCACTGAACTAAGAAGGCCGGATCTGTTGGCTTGCTCTCTTGTGGGACAAGACTGTGCGGCTGCTCACGCGAGGTTGAAGGAGGCTGCATGGCGGTGCCAGGGGATAGAGACGCTGCAGGAGGGAAGGGGGCCTAGTAGACGCTCTCATATGAAGCAGATGCATCAGGACCGTCGGTGAGAAGAGTAGTAAGAGGTCAGAGGGTGGAGTGTCGAGGGGGTAAAACAAGCGCGGCAGCGAGTCCTTACCGTCTTTTCGTCACTGGCAACGTCCAGCTTCGCCTTCGCATGCGTCAAGGTGAATCCGGCCTACTGCTGGACCTCAGAGATGGGAAGGCTTCGCGTCGACATCACGATGCGAGGAGGGGCGTCGGCGTGGGCGGGACAGCGTCAGCGGCGTCCCTCCGACCAATCAATTTCACAAAAATTTCAAAATTCTCCGCTACTCCCTACCTCCCTCCGTTCTCTGTTTCTACCTTTCCCCCCCGCGCTTTTCAAAGCACAGCAAGATGCGTAGAACCCCTGTGGCGCCTCTCCTCCGGCTCTAGCCGGTTGGCCGTCCATAGGCTACGAAGGGGTTAGGAAAGTCATCGGTCGCGTGGCCCAATGGCAAGGCGTCTGACTACGACTCTTTCATCCTTCAAGGATGCAAGCAAGGCGTGTATCAGGAGATTGCGGGTTCGATCCCCGTCGTGACCTTTTTGGGCTTCTTGAGATGCATGAGAGCATGCTGAGGATGTTGGAAGAGTCGGAGGATTGAGGAAATGAGGTTGGGATAGGTGGATGGGTCGGATGGGCGTGGTATGGTGGCGAATGTGGCACCGTTGAAAGAGCTTCCGCGGTCTGTGCGGCTTCGGCGGGCTGCTAGGAGACGCTCAAGGAATTCTGGGATGTTACTGTGCTGCGTTGAAAGTCCAGTGGGGAGGAAGGCGAGGAAGAGAGGGAGGTGAGGAGTGTAGAGGGTGTGGCCAGCAATCTGTCCTCCCCTTCCATCGTGGGCAGACGTCAGCCGTACGATCTTTCCCCGCTCTGAAGCTCACAGTTCTCTCCTGCGACTATGCTCTCCGGGCACTCAACGTGCAGACTCCGCCTGTTCCCCTTAAAACAGCTCCAAGCTTCGCTCCCATCGCTCCCATCGCGTGACATCAGCATTTCTCATTCCTCCTACCCTCCGTCTCCGCCACTTTCCTCTACCCGCCGGACTCGCAAGACGTCGTCCAGTATCTACTGCATCTAAACAACGAACAACAACGTTCCACAGACCCCCCTGAGATCCAAAAACAAGCCTCGTATGGGGCTCGAACCCATGACTGTGTGATCTACCGGCACTGAGACTAAGAGTCACACTATCTACCGACTGATATAACGAGGCGACGCCGTTGGGCGCGTGTTCGGTGCGGGGGCGCGTGGGCTGTCGATTGCGCTTGGTTTGGAGGCGATTGGAGGAGAGGTTGGCGAGATATGGGCTGGCGGAGATGGAGGGGTTGGATTGGCGAACGGCGGAGGGGTGGAGGGGCGAGCTGGGGCGAGCACGGAGGGCGGGGCGGCGGAGGCGGGGTGGCGCAGACGAGCTAAGAACTGCGCTATGACAAGCTTATAGAGTCGGCGTACAGACATACGAGAGCATGCACCGGGTTTGTACCTTGCCACGCTGGGTTTGTAGCTTGCCACAACCGTCAGGAGGTCCGCAGAATGCATTAGTGCTGCGCCCAGCGAAACACGCTCAGAGGGGCGTCATTATTTATTACACATCAACTGTCTATTTCTTCGCGAGAAGGAGCTGTGGCGGGTAGTAGCGTTCGCAGCCCGTTGTCGTGCGACATTCGGGATCGAAGGGTACATTGGTGTTCGTAGGGACAGGGAGAGGGTCCGAGTTGGAAGCAGTAGCAAGGGGTTCTATTTGTTGTTATCATGCGGGTACGCATTTGGGGGAGAATGATCTGATGTCAATGGATGGCTGGGGTGAGAAACAGAGGAAAAGTGCAAGTATGCCCTTATGATCGCGTCAGTGGATGAAGTCAGCAGTGTGCGTTCTTAACAGATTGCACGCGCGCATGTCGAGGATCAACCCAGAGTTCTCGGTAGAAGACAGGCAGGTGGAGGAGAGGTGACTGGACCACACGCCGATCACTGTGTCTCACCCCGCAACGCTGCACGTCCTCCACCTCCTTTCGCCACCACACACATCCACGCCCCTCCCAAGTCGGCACACACTGATGCAGTCGCAACATTCTCTCTCCTTCCTCAACACTCTACTCTCCACCTTGTTGACCAATCCACCACATCGACCTTCCCTCCTGGTTGTGACGGCTCCCAGCAACGCGGCAACATGACACAAGCAAACATCGACCCGCAACCCGGTCCGTCAGGGCCGCCACAAGATCCCTCAAAACCTTCCTACAAACAACTCTCCGATGAAGCTGCCCGCGCCGAGATCGTGTTCCGGGTGCACTCAGAGATGTCCGCCTCGCCCTTGCACTGGACAGGTCGGGCCGAGACGTCCGGCTTCTGCAGTCCAAACCCGCACCTCGCTCTGCTGACTCCGGGCGCCTATGCCGCGTGTCTGGAGCCCATCCCTTTAGCCTCAATCCCACTGGACCCGTCGCAGGCCCAGCCGCCTGCACCAGCGCCAGCGACTCCTCCGCCAGTCCTGATCCCGCTCGACGACGAGATGAACGGCCTCCCCTCGACGCAGGACAGTGTGCCGAAGAGCACCCAGGGGCAGGGCCAAGGGCACGTGGAGGTCATCGGCGTGCCGTGGATCAGCTTCGAGCGCGACCCGAGTATCCGCCAAAGCCTCGTCGACCACTGCACGCGCCGCACGCGCCCGTCGCACAACTGGGACTGGAGCGGGCCCGACATGGCCGCCGACGACTACTCGTCCTGGATCAGCTGCACGGGCTCCTTGCGCTGGGCGGTGTGGGAGGCGGCGCACCGGCTGGTGCACGCGGGCGAGGAGCAGGTGGATATCGCCATCATTGGCGTGATTGCCGAGGCCGACGATCCAGCCAGCATCAGCCCCCACGGCGGACCGGGGAAGAGGCCGCCGTTCCAACGCATCCGAGCCGGCGCCTCGGGCGAAGTCACCCTCGCCCCCCTCCTCCCCCTGCGGGACCACCAGCGCTACGGCCGGGGCACAGGCGACCGCGCCCGCATGACGAACAGCGAGAAGGAGGCAGTCGCGAACGCAATCTACATGGCACACTCGAGCGAGGAGGTCCTCTTCTACGGCCGCATCTTCACGTCCAGCGTCCGCGCCAACCTCACCTTCACCCGGGACGTAAGTCTTGAGGAGTCTCTGCTACGAAGTCTTCGACCAAGCTGACAATCAGCACCTGCCCCTGACGCTGCCGAGGGAATTCTTCGACGGCGCCTCGGGCTCGACGGCGTGGGTCGACGACCTGGCCTGGGACCCGATGCGCGACTCGTACGACGCGGCATGCAAGAAGATCAAGGACAACGCGGGCCCGGCCAGGGCTCCGTTCAAGGCTGCTCCCAAGTTTGGGCCGTCGAGCGTCATGAGCGGCGGGGATGCCGGGTGGGGAGCACGCAGCACGCTCTCCGCCAGCTCGGGGCCGAGCAGGCTGAGCACGAGCATCCGAGCCAGTGCTGAGGGGTGGGGAGCCCCGCCTGCCCCGCCTGCCGCTCATGCTGCTCACGCCTCGATGCCCGCCAGGCCGGCCGGGCCACAGCCCGACGCAAGCGGGTGGGGCGCGCCGCCGTACGCGCAGCCGGCTCAGCCTCATCACCCTCAGCCGCAGCTGCAGCAGGCATCCTGGCCTTCGCTCGCTGGATCTCGACCCGAACCCGCCCCGGCACCACAGACACAGGCACAGCGGACTTATGCCTCTGCCACGTCGAAGCCGGCGAACCACTACACGACTGCGGGAGGAAGCCTCGCGCCCTCGTTCCTCAGTAGCACCAATGCGGTGCCCCTTGGGCGCCGGGGCGGAGGCGGAGGCGGGAGGTACTCGGGGTACTCCTCCGGCTGGTAGCCGCAGCCAGCGGCATGAAGTCAGGCGCGCAGTCGTGCTCGGTTCCGATGGCCTGCTCCGCTCGCTCCATAAGCTCCGCTGCCAGGTCACTTATGCATTCCACCTCACCTAGCCTACAGCTCCGGGCTCCGCTCTCGACGCCGCCTCTACGATCTACCGTTTCTCGTATCTGTACATATTAACATGCATTGAGCGCTATTACTCTGCCTCGCCGAGGCCTGTTGCGGTACTGTGTTGCTTGTTGCTTTTGCTTTGCTTTGTGGGGTTGGTGGGGTGCGGTGCGTTGCGAGGATGCGTTGCGTTGCAGTGCGGAGGTGCGGGGTGCGGGGGAATGGTGCGGAAATGTGCGTTGTGGTGTGATGTTTGGGGGGGTCATTATAGAGTCTGTAGTATCCTAACCTGGTAACCTCGTCTCCCGATGATGAGAGCAGAATCGAAATCCAAAATTGAGAAAGAGGAGAGAGAAAAAATGAAGTTGAAAAGGAGAGCGTAATGTCGAATGATGGATGAACTGATCAGATCATCGTGGAGAATGAGGAGATGCCAGATGCCGTGAAATCTCGTCTATCGTTGAAGTCTACTGCGTTCCCTTCGCAGAGCCCTTGGGCGGCGGTGATCCGCTGACAAGTCCGACGAGGTTGGTGCTCGAGTTCTGAACGCTGTTCGCGGGCGAAAACGAGTTGGACCGGCTCATGCTCGTCGACGCCAGCGGGCGCAGGTCGTTAGCCGACGGCCTCCGCGAGCCGGCACGCGAGTTGGAGCGCGACATGAGACCGAGGAGGTTCTTGACACTGTTGTTGCGCACGGGAGTAGGTTCTCCGAGGATGGGCGCCGTGGACGGGATCGGGCTGCCCGGCGCGACGGCGATCGTGCTGCGGCTCGCGGCGTCGGGCGCACCGGGCTGGTTGTACATCCAGGTCGCGAGGAGAACAATGGCGGCTCCAACAATGAAAGTCGAGGTGATCGGGTAGGCGAAGAGAACAACAGAGGCAAGGAACGAGATGATGATGGAGAGCGAGGTCGCGAAGCCCTTCATAATGTTGTCGCTGTAGCGGATGACGATCGCAGTGATGAGACCACCAAACGTCTGGGTCAGGACAGTGCCGATCGCCCAGCCGTTGAAGTGGGCAAACTTGGAAGCGACGTTCTGGACCCACGACATGCCCGCGTTGTGGCCGGTGAAGAGGATGGGAACCAGGGCCGGGATAAGCGAGAAGAGCGAAAGCTGCGTGTTGCGCACCCAGAGGTCCGAGTTGCCGCCAGAGCCAGTCTTGAGGATGAGCTCGAAGTAGACACCGGCAAGGCCAGAGGTGAGACAGGCGAGAGTGACGGCCATGAAACCCTTGAACGGGTGCATTGCCATGTCCTCAAGGAGGGGCTTGTCGCTCGAGAGGGGGACGTCCTCGGTGACGTCAGGCGAGATGTCGCGGAGCGCCTTGTCCGAGACAGAAGCCGACTCGACGGCGGCAGCGGCGGCGTGGGCGGGGGCAGAGGTCGTCTGGAGCTGAACGACACCGACACCAATGGCGAGGAGGACGAGGGCGATCCACTTGGAACGGTTCAGGCGCTTGCCAAGCATGAGGACCGAGAAGAACGCGGTCGTCAGAATCTTCATCTGGTACGTGACCTGGAAGGTCGCGACGTCGAGGTTCGAGGCGGCGACATACTGGAGGTTGTTCTGGATAACGTAGAGAATGGCGGGGACGGCGAGCTTGTAGCAGTCAGGCGAGAAGACGGAGCGGCGCAGAGCGTTTAGCCGGGAGAGCGCAAACATGCTGCAGCCCTTCCTGACGGCACGGGCAGGCTGGGAAGCAGGCTTTTCAGCGCCCATGAGGTCACGCTCAGGCCAGTTGGACTGCGACGAGCTAGTCCACGAGTCGTCGATACGCTTAAGCGCGATAAGAACCGAAATCGAGCCCTTAAGCAGCTCGTTCATGAGGACAGCCGCCGCGGCCGAGTACGTTCGGTTGGGGGGCGTCAATATTCTCGAGTAGTGCATGATGATGGTGAGGAAGGCGTTCTGGAGGGCCAACGTGACCAGCCTGCGTTGTCAGTCGTCTTCCATTATACACCAAGCGCGCGGATCGCTGAGCACTCACGAGAGCCACTTGAGCTCGATTCCAAAGAGCTTGGGCGGGGACTGGTCGCGGTCCTTCGCAGGCATCATCGTAACCGGCTGGAATCCGGGGTACGACTTAGAGTCGTTGAACTGCGTTATGATGGGCGGCGTGCGCATGTACGGGGTCGACGTTCCAGAGTTGGTGCCACCGGGCTGGCTGAGGGCGAGACGAGCGGCAGGGGCGCGAGACGTCGGGCTACCGCCCTTGTTCTGCGATCCGGAGCTGCTCTCCATGCTCGAGGTGCTGATCGCCGCAAGGGGCGGGGAGCCTGGCGGAGAGGAGGATGAGGCCGACATGGTTCTGTTTATTGGGCCGAGAGAGAGGTTTCGAGTTGCAGTGGGGAAGACGAAGAGACAGTGTCAGCGACTCGAACAATTTCTAGAGGGCCGGGGGTTGGGTCGGACACATGCGCGGGGAGGAACAAGCGGAATGGGAAAGATTGCGATGGGAAGGAGAGGGAGATAAAGAGCGGGGGAAGGGGGGAGGCAGCGGTCGCATTCGGCAAGGGCGTCGCCATGGGCTCGGTGCCAGGAGCAGAGAGAGAGAGAGAGAGTGCGTGCAGGTACAGTGGGTGGTGGACGGAGCCGTGAAGGCAGCCGTGTGGACCAGTGTGCGTCAGGCCCTAGAAATCGCAGTCGGGTGGCGGAGGCCAAAGCTCTAAAGAGTCCTGCCCCGTCTGTGCGCACCCGTCTCAATCTGCCGGATGGCCCGGAGACTCCTGACGCTCCGACCGCCTGCAACTGTGACCGGGCACCTGCCAACCTGGCCAGCATCCTGGGCCATCCTGGGCACCTGGCGTGATCGCGGACACTCTCTTGTTCTGGGCGAGGGGGGCGCTGGCGCTGGGCGTCCGACCCATCATGGCCATTCCAGCCTGCTCAGCCAGCCGGACGCCCTGCCTGATCCCTTCTCATGTCGACGCCCAACTTTCCATCCTGGTTCCTCGAGCGCTGTGGTTCGCTCTCCAGCTGACCGAAAATGTTTTGTTGTGCTCACCTGGACAGTCTGCGCTTGGGGCGGGTCACTCCGACTTCGAAAGTTGTCTTGGTCTTGCTGCCCGGCACGTCGCGGGACTCGCGGGCGGTGGTGTTGCCGGTGAGAGTGTAGGGGTTGCTGTAGGTGCTGGGCGAGGTGGGGGACGGTAGAACGTGGTGGTCGTCGGCGGCGGGGAGTTGTTGTTTGCGGTGGTGAGAAACAGAGGTACGGCGCATCGCCAAGATGGCAAAGCGGTTTTAATAAGTGAATGCAAAAGATGACGAGTGTGTTGTTGGGTGCTTCGCAAAGCAAGAAAGCTAGAGGCTTGAGGCTAGCTGCGCAGCAGTTGGCTGTTGATAGCGGAGGGGGAGAGGGGCGGGGGTGTGTGGGTACGGAGGGTACGGGGGGCCTAGGAGGGCTAGAGGGGGCGGGGCTAAGGGGCACGTGAAGGGAGGACGTGTGAGGTGTGTGAGCGGCGATGAGGGGTCCGATGTGGTAGGCGTTGTTGTCGCAGCCGCAGTCGAGGGCAGTGTACGGTGTCACGGGGTTGTGGCCGGTAGAGTCTGGGGCCTAGTCCCAACCTAGAGCCAAGCAGAGTTTCAGACGACAGACGGCGGTGCGTGTGGTGGTCGTACCTCAGCGAATGAATGCCGATAAGCGGTGTTGGGTGAGGATGGGTGACAAGCTGCGAGGAGAATTGCCTTAGACAGCTCGTGGGCGTAAGCGGGCCAAGCTGAACCGGAACCCAGGGAGAGCAGGGTCGCAGAAGGATAAAGGAAGCGGTGGGCAGTGGGCGCGGGCGTGGTGGGGGATAACGATGCGATGGGAGATTGTTGCGCGCAGTCTGGGCTTTCTCGGTATGCTGTTGACGGACTGTGGATGCTGGCTGGCCGGGTGAAGCTTTGAGCTCGTCGTGCGTGGTAGCCAGCGTCAGCGTTTGTGGGTGGGGGCTGAGGGCCGAGGCGATGGGCGCAGAGCCAGAGGCAGGTCCAACGCACACGGTGGACAGCGTCCAGTGTTCTTCCGGCCAGTCAGACAAAGTGTATTAGGGAATTGCTAAGGGCCATAAGGGCCGGCACAGGGTGCTGCAATAGGGCGTCATTAGGGACGCCGGTGCAGGCCTTGGGCTGCCTGCGCGCTCTGCCGGCCTGCCGATTGGGGGAATGTGCCTGGCCAGTTCACGGCCAGACGGAGTGCTACCTCGCTGCATCTTTGCTCCTTGTTCCGTGCTTGTGCCGGCCATACCGGGCATCTGTGCCCTCCTCGTCTACCGAGCTTAAAGCCCTTTATGCCCCCTGCTGCCTCGCTGGTTCATCATGACCGTCTGGCGAGGAACACCCGGTCGCAAATAGAAAAGATAACGTCCTTGGCTTTTCCGGTAAGCCGACTCACCCCTAATGCGAGCTGACACTGACATCGGACTGACTACTGACTGTGTGCAAGACATCGTGTCCGTGACATGGGTGTCCGCGGTCACTGCGCCCCAGGCGCAGTAGGCCATGGCCGATTACTGGCTAGCCGCCGAACGGTGGTTAGTAGCTGTGCAACTCTACTTGGCGATGCGTCGGGCAAATGACCGTTGCGATACAGGCTGAACGGGCTGCGCTGCAGCAGGCGAATACGCTGGGCGTGCTGGGCAGCGCGCTATGCAAAATGTGCAATGTTCAATTCGGCGCCAGCCTGGGCGCAGCAGGCGAAGCGCAGGAAGCGCCTGGGAGCGCAGCACACGGTCAATGTAGACCAGAGGTCACTCGAGGGCGGACGACGAGCGACTGCGCATTTGATCAGGTCCCAAAATGCGCAGTCGATCCCCCTGCCCTGCCTCGCAAGCCTCTGCCTCCACCTCGAGGGCTTCCCCTGGCCCTTCCCCCTTTCCTAGAGCTTGGAACCACTGATAACCACCTATTATACGCACTCTCTATATTGCTGTATTCATGCGTTGGAGGAAGAATTGTAACTTTACTTGGCCGTCGCTGTGCTCGCTATGCTTGTTGATCTTTCCGCTCCACGAGGGATTGGACCTGGTTGGCGATCAAGCGCACATTTTCATGCATACGGAGGTCCCCAGCCATTGACAGTTGCGACCGTCAACCTTTCCTGGAAATTGCCTCATGCCGTAAATTCAAACTATACTCCGCGAGTAAACATCTTGGATCTGTGGCTGTCCCTCTGCACTGACTTTCTGGTCTGGCCACCGCTTTGTGCCCAGAACAATGCACTGCCAAGTCCGGAGCGGATCGAGCGGAAGCGCAAGCCAAGGTAGCTTTCAGCGATGTGCTGGCTGCGTGCTGCGCCTGTACACAGGTGGTGGACCGCGCTGGCGGCTCGTTCCGTCGGACATGAGCCAGGCACGAAGGAACGCAAAGGCAAGAGGGGAGAAAGGGAGTCAGGGACGGCACCAAACATTGCAGAAATTGTGCCGAAGGCAGCCTGCAGCCTTTAGCTAGCCTGCCGACCGGATGGCTCCAAGGTCGGTTCGGCTGAATCAAGCAATGTTCGTCCCTGTGCATACAGCACACCGAGATCGCAATCCATCAACAAAGAAAGCCGCAAGCGAGGGCCCAGAGCGTCCAAGACCGGAGGCTTGGAGGCTGCAGAACAGCAGATTGAGGCAGATCCATCGATCCAAGGCCAGGCCGGAAGAAAAAAATTGTGTACTTCCAGCGCAGCTCAGCAGCGCAGCAAGTAGTGCGCACCCTCCGGCGCACTGGCGCACTGAACGCCCCCGGCAGCAAAGTGCACATCCATTCCGCAGTCGTCCAAGACTTTTTCTTCGTGCCTGGATAATGCGCAGTCGCCCATCTCCTCCAATCACCTGGCTTTCAGCTCTTGGTGGCACCCAACCTACCGGAAGGGGCGCCTGGCGCTCGTCGGCGCGCCTGGTGGGTGGATGCTGCGCGACATGGCTTTGCAGGCTTTGTAGGCTTTGCTGGCGTTCATGACCTGTCGCAATGTCTGTGGCGCCTCTAACGCTCGCTCGCACCCTGTTCACCGGCTCGCCCTTGGTCGCACCCCTGCGACAACCCCTGTTTCCACCCCTGTGGCATCCGGCGAAAGTGGTCGTCTGACCATTCCGCCCCGTCTGACTGGCCGTGCAAGGTGAAACGGGACTGGTTCCTCACCGCCACGCGTGCCATGCGCGCCACGCGTGCGCGCGTGCATATGCGTGGAGATGCATGCAATGCCTGAGCCTGAACAAGGGAACCTGTCTGCTTGTCCTGAGGTCTGTCCTGATCGAAAATCGGCCAACCTGATCCTGGACCTGGCACATTGCCCGGCACACTGGGGCACTGGGGCAAAAGATGGCGGATCCTGCCCTCCGCCCTTATCGCCACACGAGTCTCACGCGTAACAATAATAACGCAGCACTTCTCCGATGAAATGCGAGGGCGCGAGTGGGGAGCGGCGCCACCCCGGACAGCCCGGCTGGCTTAAGGCTTCTCCCTCGCACTCCTGCAGGACCCACAAGAGCACAAAAGAAGGCGGGTGCGGCCAATAGTAACGGACTGCACGCAGGCTCTGCAGCTGCGTGGAAACCACGAGGCGCTTTGGGCGAACGGATCCAAATTCTGCACGGTCAAGCGCTTGCGAATGCTTGGCCAAGTAGGCAGGTTACGAGGTCAGATCTCAAGAGCGAGAGCGAGGCGAGGCGAGGTCATGAAGATCCGAGATATGATCCGGTCAGAAGTTGACAAACACGTGAAAGCACTGCCTGCCTGTTATCTATATGAATGCGCGTGCCCTGTCTCCTCATCATGTATCAGTCGGATCCGTGCAAGAAGTCACAGAAGATTTGTTTTACGACTCTCCGCACAATCCCAACTTTTTTTCTGACACCAGCCCAGTCTCACCTCCACACTGGGATATATCTGGCTCAAGGAGGCTCAGCGAGGAGTTTGGGTGGAGGTGTCATTCCGATGCGGCGCTGTGGGTTCGGAATCGCAGTGAGCAACACGTGATTGCGACATTGACTTTGGCTGCCTTCATTGGCCCGTCGAATGGGCCATTGCACAAATCCCGGCCAGCTCGTCCGTTGATGCCTTTTCTGCTAGTCCGCGGGCTTACGGCTGGGTCGTGTGTGTCAGGAGGCGGTCTGCATCAAGGAGCAGACGCAAGACACGCTTTCGGTCTGCCGACAACAAGAAAGACGTTTCAGAAGCAGAAGGAAGGCATGCACACAGCGCAGCATGCAGAAGCAGAAGCAGACGATCCTCCACGCAGCGGCAGAGTGAGGCCCCATGCCCGCGCCCTTAGTCGCCCTGCCGCCACTGACACGATGGAGCGTGATCGAGGTGAGGCCCCGGTGCGAACGACGGTTGCAGCGGAATCGGCGGGGGCAAATGCCCCCTCCACGTGGGGCGCCCCCTGCCAAAGGTGAGTCGATAGCCAACCACGGCCGAGTAACTAGACTGCTATCGGCTCAACCGGCGACTTATTCTCCAGAGGCACCACCATACATCCCCCCAGGAACCCACCAACCCGGCTGTCTGGCCTAGCTGGCTCAACGTCGACTCGGACCAGTAAAGTCGGAAAATCGACCTGACCACCGCTTCGAAGTAACCTTTGCTCTTACTACTCTCCCACCGTCTCAAAACCTGTCAGACACACGGCAGCTCACACGCCCTCTGACGACGACCGAGCTACGACCCAGATACCACCGTCTCCTCGATCGCTGCCAGGCGCTCAAGTAGGCGAACGGACAAACGAAACAGACGAGCCAGTCACCCACACACGTTCCATTACTCCGCTCCGCACCACCGCACCGCACACCACGCACTACCACCTGACCACCCACTGAACGAGCTACCATGAAGATCACTGACAAGCTCGCCAAGGCTGAGCGCGAGGGCCGCCCCTTCTGGAGCTTTGAGTACTTCCCCCCTCGTACTGCGCAGGTGAGTGGCAGCCAACTGGGTTGTTCGGAGGCCGAGTCATCGTTCGATGGCCGTGATGTAACGTGGCGCCGCTCGCGCTTCTTTGGCGTCGGGGCATGAGCACGTTCGCCACGTTCTGGAGCTTCTGGTAGCCCAAAGGAGAATGCAGCGTGACTGACTCTTTCGCAGGGTCTGCAGAACCTCTACGACCGTATCGAGCGTATGCGCAACCTTGGTCCCGAGTTCATCGACATCACTTGGGGCGCCGGCGGCAAGAATGCCGACCTGACGTCGTCTCTGGTTCAGGTGTGCCAGGAGACGATCGGCATTGAGACCTGCATGCACCTGACGTGCACCGAGATGCCGAAGGAGAAGGTCGAGTGGGCTCTGGCGCAGGCCAAGCAGTTTGGATGCCAGAACATCCTCGCTCTGCGCGGCGACCCGCCTGCGGGCTCGTCGACCTGGAAGCCGACGCCGGGCGGATTCGTCCACGCCGTCGACCTCGTCAAGTATATCCACAAGGAGTACCCTGGCGACTTTTGCGTTGCCGTCGCGGGCTTCCCTGACGGACACCCCGAGACGCCGCCGACGCCCGAGGGACACCACCAGGAGATGCTCTGGCTCAAGGAGAAGGTCGACGCCGGCGCCGACTTCATCTTCACGCAGATGTTTTACGACGTCGACATCCTCTTCAACTGGGTCAAGGAGGTGCGCTCGTACGGCATCACCGTCCCGATCGTGCCCGGCATCATGCCTATTCAGAACTGGCAAAAGTTCCAGACCTGGGTCCAGCGCGAGAACATCAAGGTGCCCGAGCACTGGTACGAGGCGCTGAACCCCGTCAAGGGCGACGACGAGCAAGTGCGCGCTGTCGGCACCAAGCTCGTTGGCGAGATGTGCCGTGCGATCCTCGCTAACGAGGAGTGTGGCATCAAGGGTCTGCACGTCTACACGCTCAACCTCGAGAAGGGTGCGCGCATGCTGCTCGAGGAGCTCGGCATGAACCCGAACCGTGAGCAGGTCGCGCCGCTGCCGTGGCGCCCCTCCCTCGCAGCCAACAGGCGACAGGAGAGCATCCGCCCGATCTTCTGGGCGAACCGTGTCGAGTCGTACCTCTCGCGCACGAGCGACTGGGACGAGTTCCCGAACGGACGTTGGGGAGACTCGCGCTCTCCCGCCTACGGCGACCTGGACGGCTACCCTGTCGCTATCAACGTGCAGCCCGCCGACGCTGAGAACCTCTGGGGCCAGCCGAAGTCGGAGGCCGACGTGCGCGAGCTCTTTGCGCGCTTCTGTCGCGGCGAGCTCAAGAAGCTCCCCTGGTCGTCGCAGCCGCCCGCCAGCGAGACGAGCATCATCTCCGAGAACCTCATCAAGATGAACGAGCGCGGCTACCTCACGATCAACTCGCAGCCGGCCGTCGACGGCGCCCCCTCGGACGACAAGGTGCACGGCTGGGGCCCGGCCGGCGGATACGTGTACCAGAAGGCGTACCTCGAGTTCTTTGTGCGCCCCGAGCTCCTCTCGCAGCTCATCAAGCGCATCGAGCGCGACCCCCGCATCACCTACTACGCCGTCAACAAGCAGGGCGACCTGCGCACCAACACGCACTCCGAGGGCCCTAACGCGGTCACCTGGGGTGTGTTCCCGGGCAAGGAGATTGTGCAGCCGACGATTGTCGAGGCCGTCTCGTTCATTGCGTGGAAGGACGAGGCGTTCGAGCTCGGCAACCAGTGGGCCAACCTCTACCCCGAGGGCAGCGAGAGCAACAAGCTCATCCACAAGATCATGGACGAGAGCTACCTCGTCAACATTGTCGCCAACGACTTCAAGGACGGCCTCGCCATCTTTGAGCCGTTCCTGCTCGACCAGCCCGTCGAGGCCTAGAGTGCCCAAGCTCGAGCCGAAGGCGAGGGCGAGGGTGCGCGGCTAGGCGGGTGCGGCGAGTGCAGGCGGCAGCCCATCCCCACTCCCTCCTTCCCAACTTTTTCTCTCTCAACTCACGACTCAGCAACATCTAAAACCGTAAGGCCCCACTCACGGCCAGGCTCAACCCATACCACAGTCCCGGCATACCCAAATGATCTCTATACCCACACTCAACGTTCCCCCCAGAAATTGCAATACTTGTCCAACCAAATTGTAGACCCTCACTTGGTCATCCGCTCGCTTGAAACCTTGTCAAAAGTATACGAAGTATGACCATCCATTTTTGTTCCCAACAACAAGCCCCCACAAAAGAGGTTCAACTCCTCCACATATTTAACTCAATTAGTATCATTAGAAATCCCATCATGCATGCAGTATCAATCTAGCACTGGTCCGAGCGGAGCGAGAGACGCGACGATGGGCCCGATGGGACTCATACGAGGTTGTGGGCACTGATCAGTGTGGAAGGGCAAGCGCCGAGCATCGGAGTATCGACTGCAGACATTCCGCAACGGCCCTCACGCCGATCACTTGCGCCCCCTTCCCTTCCCTCACTGCTCCTCACCGCTCCGCCCGGATCCGCCCCCTTGCGCCTCCTCCGTCCTTCGCTTCCTTCGCTTCCTTCGCCCCTTCGGCGCTCGCACCACAGCCATCGCACCCTGCTCCGCCAATCAACCCCGTCTTCTGCCAACCATCGATTCTCATCCATCCCTGCCTCAATACAGCCCAAACTCAGCGCGTTCGCAAGCCTGCGCGCCAGCGCAGCAGACACGCATCCAGCGACGACCCGCCTCGTTATATCAGTCGGTAGATAGTGTGACTCTTAGTCTCTATGCCGATAGATCACACAGTCATGGGTTCGAGCCCCATACGAGGCTTGTTTTTGGCTCTTGTGGTTGCTGTGGACCTACGTCGGGGTTGCTGTGGACCTTCACTAGGGTAGCGGGGACTGCTGGAGGGACTGGGAGGAAGGAGGGAGGGAAGGAAGGAAGTGTGTGTCGACGAGGTCGGGAGGTGTGGAGGGCGTTGAAGCGGTGAGAGTGGGAAGTCTGGCGAGGGGTAGGGGCTGGATTGAGCCTTCGGAGAGTCTGAAGATAGCGCACTTGCGCTTGGCACTGCATTGTATTATGAAAGGCTCGCTTCATGGAGACTTATGCGAGGACATGCGGATGCGATGCATAAGCTGACGCACAGATAAATGAGTGAAATCACCTGCCGATGTCGGTCGGGTCGGGTTCGGTCCGAAACAAGGAGGCGCGATTTATTCTGCTGGTAGTGGAGAATGCGCGAATTACATGACTGGTCAGGCCGTGAGAGAACAACTGATACATGAATAGTCTTGCGGAAAGCGTTGAGAGCTTTGAGAGTGAGAAAAACCGGAAGAGGAAACAACCCGTGTACTGAGAAGCAGAGAATGAGAGAACCGGGAGTCGGAGTCAGAAACGTCTAGTGGAGTCGTGAGAACATGGTCGTGAGAACAAGAAAGCAAGAAAGAATGGAGCGGTGGGCTAGCGGCGCTTCTTGCTCTTGGAAGACTTGTGCTTCTTTGACGACGAGTGCTTCTTCTTCTTCTTGGGCGTGAACTCGGGCGGGTCCTTTGCCACCTCGTGCACGACGGCGACGAGGACGGCGGCGACGGTTGACGCGACTTTTGTCAGTTCCACTGATTCCCACGGATGATAGTGAACTCACTAGCTTTCGGGACGCGGAATCCCATCGTCGTCTGCTCCTCTCAATGGAGGGTATAGGAGCGAGTAAGTGTTGAAGAGATGGAGAAAGATATGGATGGGATGAGTGAAGATATGCTAAGACGTGAACATGAACGGATGTTCATGAGCGGGCTACATGACCCGGCGTGACGGCGTGACCAGCCCTCTTGGCGCCGATCGTTAGCCCGTGATGGACCCCGCTAACGGCCTCGTCCTTCCCTCAGTCACGACAAACGCATCCAAGTGGTCAGAAAAGACCGCAGGTCTACTTGCAATGCATCACATGCCCTTCTCCTCGCTGTTCTGCGTGAGACAGTGCATTGGGATCTGTGCATGACAAAGGAGGCGCGAATTATGACGCTGTCGAAATGGGTACCGGTTATCAGCGGAGATGGCCGATCTCCGGGTGTGGTCGGCAACTTGGGCTGTGCCGATCCTTCATACCTCGAGCTTGGTCATCGTCCCTCCTCCGTTCGCCGCATCCACTGCTATCCACAGAACAATGGTAAGACGAGGCTTTTGGGTAATGCTGACGACAGGTATGGCCTCACCGGAGCCCGGCGCGGCGCGTGCTCGCGAACGAGTTCCTCGTCGCCGAGATCATGCGCTACTGCGACCGCGGGACATTAGCGGTGTGTCTGAGAGTCAACAACACCTTCTTCGCCGAGGCAGGCAAGGTCCTCTACAAGATCACGCCCGTCATTGGAAACTCGAACATTGGCTCGTTCTTCCTCGGCGCCCTCGATGGGTTTCTGCCGTTCATTGCAGACCCCCTCGGATGCTCCAGGCACTCGTGTCCACTTGAAAGACGCTTCCGGTGGCGAAACGTCGAGTGCGGCTCGATGGGGGATGCGGAAGCGAGGAGATCAAGACTCAACGCAAAGTATCTCTCCATGCTGACTAGGGATGACCTGAGCCGCGTCAATTTCAAGGCGCAGCTGCTATCCTACGTCAAGGTTCTCAGCATCGGATCACACCACTATTGCTATTGCAAGGCATACGGAGAGTATGCGGGCGGACTACTGTCGAACCTCCACACTCTGCGTGTTGTGCCGAAACCGATGGGCATACAGGAAGTCGACGCCCTTGATCCCGAGATTGTGCGCGAACCACTCGAGTCACTCTGCGACAGCACGGGACAGTGCCCGCTCATGTGTAGCCTGATCTTCCACTGCTCCAAGGTGGTCTTCCGCAACCTCGATGGAAGAGGAATTTCGTACTTCGGAAATCTGTATCCCGAACCGCCGAATCTGCGAGAAGTTGTGTTTTTCGCGCCACCATGCCAGAAGAGGCTGGAACCGCCCGAAGACCCCCGTATTCCCGAGGTTGGGGAAGGGCCCTCGGACGACATCTGGAACATTGCCTGCGCCTTCACCCGCACACCGCTCGTCAAGCTCGTCCTGTGGCAGGAGTGGGAGGGTGAGGCTCAGAATACGGTCTCGGAGCCAACACGCAAGTCCTCTGTGGCCGTGAACGAGCTGGTCAGCCTTCCCTTCCGCGTCTTCCGATCTTTCCATGTCGACCGCTCCAACCGCCGCTACATCCTCGTGGGGCTCGACGATGTGCTCTGGCGCCCCATGGGCACGCTCGTCTGGAACTGGCAGGAAGCAAACGAAAACGACGATGAGCCACGCGAGCTCATAGATCCCGAGAAACTACCGGCGTGGGTTAACGACGACCAGGACCGCGAACGTCTCGAACGGGAAATGAATGCGCAGAACAGACAACTGCTTGAACTCGCCAGGACGGAGATCGAGAGCGGTTTCCCGACCCTGATTTCGGAAGAAGACTTCCCCGAAGAGGAACGAGCGGAACTGAAAGGGGCCACCGTCGAGATGGTGGGCTTAGGGCAGTATCTCGCCAACGTGAAGGACAGGAGGGCAGAGGTCAGCGCTGACCACTGATCGTGTGATCAACAAGCATGAGGCGCCCTTCTGCATCAGCACTACAATCGCATGCACACATCTGTTCCGAAACCCCTGTGCTTGTCCATCGCCCGCTGTCCCATGCATGAAAGATATTCGGGCACTGTGCAGTAATTCGCGCATGCTTGGAAGATGCGCGCATACGGTGGTGGCCACCAGCAAGCCCTGCAGGCTGGCTGCGCGCCACACGCCGGGACGATCGGGTTTATGCGAGAGGGCCACTGAGATTTCCTCCGATTGCCCTTAGTGGAGGGGAGGATCCGCAGAGGATTCGCTGTGCAGCCGCCCGCCGCGAGATTTCGATTTCAAGACAGTCGTCCTTTGGACTCTCTCGTCTGTGTCAACCCCCCTTCCCTCTCCTCCCAAAAACACCAAAAACGATGCTCCGCTCCCGTATCCAGACCGGCCTCGTCGCCGCCGCCCGCGACGCCCGTGCCGTCCGCGCCGTCCCCTCGGTTGCCCGCGTCGCCCAGGTCGCCCGCATCAACACCGCTGCCCGCGTTCCCCGTGCCGCCGCTGCCGCCATGGTCCCCTCGAGTAAGTATCGACAAGCTGCTCTGATGCAGAGCGTTCAGGCTGTTCTGCAAGCGTCAGGAGCAGGAGAGAACGGCGTTTAGACGTTTCGTCGTTTGTTTTTACGACGTTTGCGTGTCGCGATCCCGAGGCAATTCATCTCGCCGGTGGAGGTCATGAATGGCCAACTTTCCCAAAACCTAAAAAAAAGTCTGGGAACACCATCGCTGACGTCCCGCAGCCCTCGGTGCCATCCGTGGCTACGCCGCTGAGGCCGGCGGCCGCTTCGCCCGTACCAAGCCCCACTTCAACATTGGTACCATCGGCCACGTTGACCACGGCAAGACCACCCTCACTGCTGCCATCACCAAGCACCTTTCGGAGCAGGGTGGTGGTAAGTTCATGGACTACTCCCAGATCGACAAGGCTCCCGAGGAGAAGGCCCGTGGTATCACCATCTCGACCGCCCACGTCGAGTACGAGACCCCCAAGCGTCACTACGCCCACATTGACTGCCCGGGTCACGCCGATTACATCAAGAACATGATCACCGGTGCTGCCCAGCTCGACGGTGCCATCATCGTCGTCTCGGCCACTGACGGTCAGATGCCCCAGACCCGTGAGCACCTGCTCCTCGCCCGCCAGGTCGGTATCAAGAAGCTGCTTGTCTTCATCAACAAGGTTGACCAGGTCGACGATCCCGAGATGCTCGAGCTCGTCGAGATGGAGATGCGTGAGCTCCTCTCCGAGTACGGCTTCGACGGCGACAACACCCCCATCGTCATGGGCACTGCCCTTGGCGCTCTCGAGGGCAAGGACCCCGAGCGCGGCACTGCCAAGATCCAGGAGCTGATGGACGCCGCCGACAACTGGCTCGACGTCCCCGAGCGTGACCTCGACAAGCCCTTCCTGATGTACGTTGAGGACGTCTTCTCCATCTCTGGCCGTGGAACCGTCGCCACCGGCAAGGTTGAGCGTGGCACCATCAACAAGGGTGCTGAGGTCGAGATTGTCGGTCTCGGCAACCCCCTCAAGACCACCGTCACCGGTATCGAGATGTTCCACAAGGAGCTCGAGCGTGGTGAGGCTGGTGACAACATGGGTGCCCTCCTCCGTGGTCTCAAGCGTGACCAGATCAAGCGTGGTCAGGTCATCGTCGCCCCCGGCTCGATCAAGTCGCACAAGAAGTTCTCCGCCAACCTCTACATTCTCTCCAAGGAGGAGGGTGGCCGTTCGACCCCCTTCATGAACAACTACCGCCCCCAGATGTTCCTCCGCACCACCGACGTCACCTGCTCCCTCACCTTCCCTGAGGGCACCGCCGACGTCCACGAGAAGATGGTCATGCCCGGAGACTCGATCGAGATGGTTGCCGAGCTCATCCACGACATTGCCCTCGAGGAGGGATCCCGTTTCACCCTCCGTGAGGGTGGCCGCACCATCGGCACCGGTATCGTCTCCAAGCTCCTCGACTAAGTATCTTCACCTCTTGTAGTCTCTTTACCACTACTGTTAAAAGTCTGTGGCGACTAGCGGAGCATCACAACGCATAGTTCGCAGACGTATCATCTATGTACCATCATATGCATCAACCACTCAGGCAGACAGCCGAGGGCACTGGCACTCAATCGCGGCACAGGTCTATGGTCTAGGGCAGATTAACGTAGATTATCACTGATGCAGAGCAGACTACAGAGCGTCCATCATCTCGGACATACCAAAGGCGCTCTCCTCCCACGCCTTGGTCGTCTCGTCAAGCTTCTCGGTCCATTTCCGAAGGCTGTCGAGCGCCTTCTTCCTGTCCTCGCTCTCGGGCTCAACACGGATACGCTCGGCGATCTCATTGCAGACCTTGCGAGCTTTGGTGCCGAGGTCTCCCATCGCCTCCTTGATGTCGGCCACGTCCTGTCCCGTGCTGAGTGCTCCAACGGCCTCGTCGAAGGCGTTGGCGAAATCCGACCCGGCACCCAGGATCGAAGCGCTCGGGAGCGCCTTCGTGATCGTTCCGAGGGGAATGTACCGTGGCACGGTGGCGTGGAGGATCTGGTGCAGGCCGAGCAACGGCTTGGACTGTATGTCAGTTACAGGCAAACAGTGCAGAAACTCACGGCCTCGGCTCGTCTTCGCTCCTCGGGCGTCATGTTTCCTCCCAGCGTCGCCTCGAGGTCGGCAAAGTCGTCATCTCCGAGTCCCTCGTCGCCGAAGGGGTTCTCGCCCTCCTCGTCCTCGTCCTCGAGGCTCTCCTTGAACTCCTCCCAGGCGTCCTTGACAAGCCCTCCATCGCGCTTCCAGCGCTGAACGAGCGCATCAGCCTCAGTCCGCGGCAGCTCGGCAAGCGCATCAATCGCCTCCCACACTAATCCCGTCTGGGAGAGGTACGCATCATTTCCGGACTGGATCTTCTTGACGAGCGCCTCCATGTATCGGCTCAGTTCCCGGCCGAGGGCGGACACTCGCTCAGCCCAAACAGCGGTGATGAGGGAGCGCAGCGGCGGAGTCGTGTTGTCATAGGGGCTCGCGCCGCCCAGGAGCCGGGTGCACCCGACGAGCTCCTGCTGAGCAGCGAGGATCTTGCCTGTTAGCGTCGTGATCGTGCTTGTTTTAGCGGGCGAGACGGAGAGCGACAGCGCAGTTACGTCCTGCCTCATCTGGGCCGCGGCACGGGTCACGAGCGTCATGAGGTCCGGCGTCGTCTTCCCCGGCTCGGTCGCGGGCTCAGACGCCAGCTGCGGCTCCAGCGCAGTCACAGTCGAGGCGAGTTGCTCGCCCACAGTCGAGAGCTGCAGAACACACGCGTCTATCGTCAGCTTTCCCCAACACTTTCAGCCCACCGTTGTCCGCCATTGTAATATCGTCGTGCGAGGTAGTGAGGGAGAGTGGTGTACCTTCACTGGGCAAATTGTTGATCCTCCATTACGGCCCTGGTCCCCGTGTGGCCACTGCTCGAAGGCTCGATGTCGGTGGAGGTCGAGGGATCCGCACAAAATTATCGTTACGTAATATACAGCTTCGTCATGTTTAGTCTGGGCCTCACGCGCCGCCGCCAGGATGAGCACGCGCCTGATCTCCACCACGCTCACGTTTACATCGCCGCAACCTTCATCTCCACCACCCCTTACCGCCCATGCCTTCGTCATGATGCACCCAACACAGGAGACAGGTAAGCTATCACCCTCCGTCGAAAAGCTGACATAAGCGCTCTCCTGCGACATCGACGGCCTTCTCGACGGCTTGGGCGAGGACGACTTCAATCTCGATTGTGAGTTGCCGTGCTGCTTGAATAGCTGACCCCAGCCGACCCGCCGCCGTCCTCACAACCACACCCTCCGTCCGATGACCCGTTCGACGACTTCCTCTCCCCAACCCCCATCCCCGCCGTTATCCCCGCCACCGTGTCGTTCGGCACAGCCGGCGGCAAACGCCTAAAGGGACCTAGCGCGGCTGCCCTCCAGCGTGCGCAGAAGTTGATGCGCGAAGCGGAGCGAGAGGTCGAGGAGCAGGAAGCGAAGAGGAGGAAAACGGAGGAGGAGCGCGAGAAGAAAGCGGAGGAAGTGTTGAAGGGGTTCCCGCCGGCTCCAAGTTCCAGTTCGTCGACTTCACGAGATGGCACGATCGCCCACGGATCAACAAGCCGGCCACCACCTCCGCCTGAAACACCAACTTCTGGATTCTCATTAGGGACAGGAGGGAGTGCACCCCGACCGAGTGCGGAACGTCTCGCGGCTGCAAGGGCCTTACTCGACCAGCCGGCTTCCTCATCACCGCACACAGTTTCATCCCCAACTCGTCCATCGCCGCCGTCCGGATTCACGTTAGGCTCGGGACGATCGGCACCCCAGCCGTCAGCTGCCAGCCTGGCGGCCGCCAAGGCGCTCTTCGACGAGCCAGCACCAGGGTCTCCGAAGCCGCCACCGACCCCCGGGTTCCTGCTCGGCACGGGGCGTAGTGCACCCCAACCCAGTCCGGCGAATCTGGCGCGTGCCCGGGCATTGCTCGACGATGAGCCTCTCACGCCCGCACGGAGTACGCCGTCTCGTGCTCCGCTGCGGCCGACGACTAACACTTTCGACTCACCCGTCGCCACCCCGATGAAGGCGAAGCTCGGGTCACTGGGGTCACCAGCCACGCCGAGGCGGATAGGACTAGGCAGCCCCGCGCGAGGACGAAGAAAGCCGTTCTCATCTCCATTCAAGGCGCCCGGAGCGGCCCGGCCTCTACCTGGCTCCGGACTGAGGGCGCCAGCGCTCGTCCCACCGAAACCGGAAAGGATCTGGAAGTCGGTGTTCGACCTAACACCGCCACCGGAACGACAAAACATGCGCGACGCCGGGCTACAGCCCGGCCGGTATTCGATCAGTGACCTCGAGAAGCTGGAAATGTAGGTAGCAGCCTTGGTGGTATAACCTGATGACAGTCCCAGCGAGATCTGGCAACTAGACGTGGACAATGCGGCCGACTACGAGTTCTTCGAGGCGTCAGCCGGTGTGCGTCTCGGTGTGCGACAAGCGTTCGACGTCCTTAAGGCGGACGGGGCGGAGCTCGCGACCGAGCGCTGGGTCACGAACCACTGGGGACTGATCCTGTGGAAGCTCGCGGCGCAAGTTCGCGCAAAGCCGTCGCTCATCGACGAGAAATTCACGTGGACCGAAACCATCCACCAGCTCAAGTATCGGTAAGCTATATTCGATTTGCTAAGCTGACCCAAGATACGAGCGCGAGTTTGGCCAAGCGCAACGTCCCATTGTGCGCCGGATACAGGAGCAAGACTCGCCGGCTGCGCTGCCTATGGTGCTTTGCGTATCGCGCATTCACCGTCCGGAGCCAGAACGCAATGAACAGGGCCAACTCGTGCCGCAACAGCCTTATCTCACGCTCACGGACGGGTGGTACCACATCAAAGCGTTCGGTGACGAGTATCTCTGTCGTGCGATCACTCGTCGTCGCATCACAGTCGGCATGAAGCTCGGCATCGCGGGCGCACAGGTGAGTATGAAAGAATGTGTTCCAGCTGACGTTAGCTCCAAGCTGGCAACGACGGAACCGAAGTGCTCGATGCGTATGGCAAGTCCTACCTCTCGATCTCGGGGAACTCGACGCACCCGGCGCCATGGGATGCCCGACTCGGCGTGCAACGAGCACCCTTTGTGTGCGGTCTGTCCAGCTTGGCCGTCGACGGAGGAGTCGTTGCGCTGCTCGACGTCGTCGTATCGTTCGCGCACCCGATCGGGTTCCAGAATAAGAACGACCCACGGGATACCTGGAACGAGGACGAGGAAGAAGTCCGCGCGCGGGAATACAAGGTTGGTCCTTCGTAGCTGAGTCGTGTTCAGTGAAGCTGACAAGACAGGACAAGTACGAGTCCGAGTGGAACCGGCTGCAGGAGGACATGCGTCGAAACCTGGAACGGGCGGAAGAGCTCGCCTCTCTCCTCAGGGACTACGCCGAGGACGTCGACTACGTTGCCGGTTCTCAACCCCCGGACGATCTGGACGGACACTACGACGAGCTGCTCGAGTCACCAAACCCGTCAGGCGTTCTGCGCAAGCTCTCGGGTGCGCTCGTGGTGCACCTGGCACGCTACGCCGCTCGCCGCTATAACGAAGCGGTGCAGGAGGAGCGGTGCGTCATCGAGTCCACGCTGCGGGAACGCTGTCCGCCGCGCGCCGTGCGCAACTTCCGCATCATCCGCGTTGAGGACGCGCGCCTGGGCTCCAAGCCGAAGAGGAGGACGTGCCAGATCACCATCCCGGATGCTGTAACTTGCGGTCTCGACTTGAGCGTCGGGAAGAGGTATCAGATCAGCAACCTCGTACCGAACCGGAGGGGAGACTGGCGGTGGCCCGTTCGTCAGGATGCGACGGCCGAGATCGCCCTTCACGCACGCAGGAACACGAGATGGAAGCTTGTTGAGGACGGTGAGAGCAAGCATTAGATGTAGATACCAATATGTTGTAACATGCATTTTGTGTACAAGTATAGATACAGCGCTGTCCAGGTCGAAGTCTAGTCCGAGTTTGATTCCGAATCTGAGCCGTAAGCCGCGAGTCCGCCGAGTCCGGTCGACTTATTCGCTGCCGGCGGGTCCTTCGGTGGTGAACTCTTCGGGGGCGGGGTCTTCGCCCTCCGTAGCCGAATACGTGGGGTATGCGTCTCGAAGGCGTCCATCTTCCTCGCGGTATTGTTGCGTACTCGCTGCGCGAGCGCTTCCTTGCCCGCCGTCTCCCTACTCCATCCTGGTCCTTGAGCCTTCACGACCTCCTTGTACAGCTCCCCGTCCCCCTCCCTCGCTGGACCGAGGTGCACATCATCATTGAGCCCGAACTTCTCCCTCGTCGCGTCGTCCGCCTTCTGTCCCCTGAGCATCTCGGCCTTCTCGGCCCTGAGCCTTTTCCTCAGACGGGCGTTGACCTCGTACGGATCTCCCGCGATCCGCTCGCTCGCACCCTCGAGCTCGTCCAGCCGTGCCTGCCGAGAAAGAGTGGCGTCTCGCTGCGTTTCGCCCTTCTCGAGCGCCGCGAACGCGTCCCCGTCCACTGTCGCCTTGAGCCCAGCCTGCTCATCCAGCCCGCCGCGGTCCTTGTTCAGGTCATCCGTGTCGAACACGCCCCATCCGCCTGACTCGGCGCTGTCCCACTCCTCCGCCTTCCGCGTCAGACCAAAGTTGATGACATAGGCTGCGTTCTGGGGATCGGTCGCGATCTCGAAGGGCGCGGAGCAGAGATGGCATTTGCACAGGAAGGCAAAGATTGGCGTGCTGTAGTAGTTGCCCGTCTTGCGTTTCTGCGCGTTGTACCGCACGCCGGCACCGATGTGGTTCTGTTCGTCAGCTCCCTCTGGACAAGCAGCAGCTGTGCCCGCTCCTTCCCTTCTGTCCCCTGAAAAGCACCTAGCCCATGCGTCCGTTAAATACAGGTGTGGGAGGCCGAGTGATACGCACCTTGCACGAGTCGCACCATACGTTGAACGGCATCTCGAAGCGTACAGTCAGCACGCCCTGGTCGATGTTGCGCGCGCGCTTGCCGAGGGCATGCTTCTTGCCGGCTGCCGCATTCAGCGTCGAGTGTTTTCGCGGATCATAGTCGGGCGGAATGTATCTGTGCTGTTAGCTAGAAGAAAAGGCTGAAGGAGCTGGGCACTCTGTCCTGGGCTCCGTGCTATGACACAGCTCCAAGCGGGTGTTCAGCTACCACTGAGGAGGGTGGACGAGGAGGGAGCTGGAGGAGATTGGAGAGGGTTGATGGGAGGAACTGGACATACCGATTGAAGCCCTGCATCTTGCCCGAGCCCCAAGAGGGATGCAGCGAAGGTAAAGGGGATGGATGCGATCGAGCTGAGATTTCAAGTGGAGGGAGTTCGTGATGTTGGGTGGCGAACGCCTTATCATATTTGGTTCCGTCGGTGGCGGTGATGAGTGGCAATATCCATCACGGAAGGTCGTGTGCGGAGGATGAGGAGCTGCAGATCATCTTCCCCCGATAATCGTCACGTCTCTTGTCAAGAGACATAACAATGACATAGAGATGGTGGCTCGAAAGGGTAGGACCCTGCTTAGCGCTGGTAGTGAGCCGCAAAGAGCACAGACGAGCTCAACTATCATGACACCTTCTTCCCATGTCTCGGCAGCCTGGATCAAGACAGACAGATCAACAATGAGAGTGCAGGACGCACCTGAGTAGTCTCTCTTACAAAGCAGGTGTCTCTCACTCTAGGGAATAGGATGGACAGCTACGCAGTCAGAAGCTATCGACAGTCGGCTGATGATGAGCCATACAAGACAGTACTCCGTAGGCTTTCCTTGCCTCTCACTCTTCATCGTATCATGGCCTTGGTTTCAGCACCTCGAAGTCCTCGTTCAACCTTAAGTACTGCATGGGCGTTCTCGCATCTGCGACTTGTGGTAGACATCATCTGCCTCCCGTGCGGGTCCCTGCTCTTCATAACCAACAAATGGTAGGGAAAGGTAGTAGACGACTTCGTTGCGAAAACATTCCATACACGAGCAGACAACTACTTAAGGCACTTTCAATGTTCTCCTGCCCCGATTACGCTAGTCTGAAGGCATAGCAACCGGGTAGACCGATGTTTCTGGGGGCGTTCCAGGGTCTTCGAAGGTAGGGACGGATCGAGCTGTGAGGCAGCCCCTATCCTCTTCGTCCCCCTTGTTTCTAGTCGTCTGACGCTGCCCAAGGTCGACGCAATCTCTAGGCATGGCTGCAATAGTTCCTCGCGCGATCGAGAGCGCCGGCAGGGACCTGTCCGAGCTGCGGAAATGCTGAACATGTCGGTGTTGTGGCGGAGTGGTTAACGCGATTGACTAGAACTTGAACAGTTCGATCAATTTCCTTCGGGAGCACATGTTCGAATCATGTCAACATCGTTTTTAGCTTTCTGCTGCCCTCCTGTGGATGCTGGAGGCCTGGGAGTAGGTTGGGAAGCGTTTGGGGTGTGCTGAGATCAGTCGAGAGGGAAGGTAGGCGATTCTGAAGTCGGATGCGGCCTAGGGTTCGTTTGGAAGGCTGAGTGGGGAGTCGCTACCCATCACAGCTTGCGCAAGTTTCTGAAAGCCCAAGCAGCCGCTGTCATGACTGCATCGTATATCAGAAGGTATCCATAGGAGGCAGAAATCCACCTTGGGATGGGTGACAGTGAATGTCCGATCCGCCGACTTCGTCTACCGTTCACCCACACTTCAGTCATCACATGCTCCGCTGCATTTCCGGATGCGCCAAATGCTCATATCTGCTCCTTCTTATGTGGGGTTTCTGGTAATGCGCTTCTTTTTCCGGACTTTGGGTGTATGAGAAGCGCCGACTTGCTGCGCCCGCCACGGGGTGGCACAGCTGATTACCTCAGACATCCACTCTCCCATCTCCCTCGCGTCCTTTTCCGTGCTTCTCAGATTCATTCTTTGCCGGCGCAACCTCAGGTGCATCCTCTCTGCTCTTGGTCCTCCTTTGCGGACGGCAGGGGCCCCCGCGCCTCGATTCCCAGCGCCGTCGGTTGCTGACGTGATCGGCGTTGTGGCGGAGTGGTTAACGCGGTTGACTCGAATGGTCTCGCACTTCGAGAGGGGTTCTGCAATCAACTTCCTTCGGGAGCGCATGTTCGAATCATGTCAACGTCGTCTTTTTGGACATCTGCGGTCGCTAATGCCCCGGAAAGGTGTTCAGGGAGGACAGGGGGAGCCAGAGAACAGGTTTCAGAAGGTGTACGCGAACATATGCCTTGAAAGACTACTACGCATATTAACGGCCTATTCTTTTCCTCTCTTCACCTCTTCAACTCAACTTCCAGGAGCTCCACAGCCGTCACCCACCTCCGAAGGGTCCTCGCGGCCGCCGGAGCGACCGCCCCGCCACCACCGAAGCCCAGCAAAGCTGCCATATCCGGTGTTGTGGCGGAGTGGTTAACGCGATTGACTAGAAATCAATTTCCTTCGGGAGCACATGTTCGAATCATGTCAACATCGTTTTTGCTCGTCTGCGAGCATCCTGCCATCTTTTAGGAGCATGCAGAACCTTCAGAACGTCGAGTGGTTGGTCAGGAGGGCGGGAGTGACCCTCGAAGGAAATTCGCCCCTGCCGCCACAGGTACCGCGGTGGAGGTTAGCCACCGTGGGAAACTGACTGACCCACCTCCACTTTTGAACTCCTCAGATTTCAGAGCGACAACAATCACATTGGTCCAGTGACGTACATCAGCATCAACGACATGGCTCGGAGAAACAAGGCGCCCAAGGCCAAGGAGCCCGAGATCGACGACGACATCCTCGACGAGGACTCGGAGGTCGACGAGTTTGAGAACTACAAGCCCGGCATGGCCGAGGAGGCGTATTCCGGCGAGGAGGATGAGGACGAGGAAGGCGAGTTCGAAGGGGAGTTCGATTCTGAGGACGAGGGCGACGGAGTCGGCATCTACGAGGCGGACGACTGGGACGACGAGGCTTCTGCGTCGGACTCTGACTCGGAGGACGATGACGAGGGGCCCAGCATGGTGAGCTCACAAAGCCTGCACGACGAGCTAACAAAGAGCGCAAGCTGCAGAAGGGCCTACAGGATATCCCACTGGACACGCTGCGCAAGGCCCAGAAGGCGCTGAAGGGCAAGGGGAAGGAGGTGGACGAAGACGACGGCCTGACGGCCAAAGAGCGCAAGCTGCGCGAGGCTAAGGCGAAGCTCGCTAGCCTGCAGCGCGCGAAGGGCAAGGCTGGTGCCGTCGAGTCTGGCTCGGACTCTGGCTCGGAAGACGAAAGGGACGAGAAGCGCGATGGTCGGGCACAGAAGCGCGACAACAAGCATGCGTGAGTTGCAGCTTCCTCTACGTCCTAACTGACAACCAGGCCAGTGGCGATGTCGACGAAGAAGCAGGTGAGCCGGTTCCGACATGTCGTGGACGTGCCGCGCGTCGATCGGCGTGATCCGCGCTTCTCCTCCCTCAGTGCGGGCCAAGTGAATGCCGAGCTGCACTCGAAGGGATACGCGTTCCTCCCCGAGATGCTCGAGAAAGAGCGCTCTCAGCTCAAAGACGAGGTGAAGCGCCTCTCCAAGCTGGAGAAGACGTGCAAGCTCGTCGAGAAGCCGGGCGTCACGGCTCAGCGTGAGGAGAAGGAGCTCCAGCTGTCCAAGGTCTTGAACCGCCTCAGCAGTCTCCGTCGCGAGCAGGCCGAGCGCGAGGTGCTCTCCAAGGCAAAGCGGGAAGAGCGCGAGAAGCGCGAGCAGGGCAAGGGCGCTTGGTTCATGAAGAAGTGTGAGTGGTTAACAAGCTTCCTGGGAGAGTTCGAAAGCTGACAAATGCAGCGGAGAAGAAGGATCTGCTTCTCAAGGCGCGGTTCGAGCAGCTCGAGCAGAGCGGCGGCAAGAAGGCTGTCAACAAGGCGATCGAAAAGAAGCGGAAAAAGGTCGCGGGCAAGGAGAAGAAGTCGAGGGCCATCATCGAGAACAGCAACAGGGGCAGCAGGGGAGATGGCAGCAAGCGGAGGCGCGTGGTTTAGACGAGTTATATGTTCTGGTACCCATGTATTGTTATATCATAGATCCACTTCGAAGACTACATCTCGCTGCCGCGGCACGCAAGCTGATCTGACACACGCCCCGACCGGACCCATACTGCTATCTGCACACTTCGACGAGATCACCTTTGGCTTCGGTTAGTAGCTCCTCCTGCAGATAACAGAATGCTCGGACGCCGCAGCTCCCTCAGAGTATGCTCGGTAAGTGCAAACCAGTACATGGATGCGTGGCCATATCCTACAAGTCGTCCACCATGATTGCAAAGGAAATAACCAAACACCTCTTCAAAAAGTCTCTACAATAAAACTTTAGAAGAAGCTTTTAGCGACCACCCTTGCCACCCTTGGCGGCCTGCTTGGAGACCTTGGGGACGTTGGCACCACCCTGGGGGCGGTTGGCCTTCTTGGCGGTCTCCTTCTCACGCTTCTGGGTCTTGGCCTTGGTGATGGCGGCCTGGCGGGCAGCGGCACGAACCTCGGGCTTGGCAGTGCGCTTAGCCATGATGGAGGCAAGGTCGGCACCGACAACACCACGCTGAGAGTCAGCTTCAACGATTTTCGATTAGCTGGCGGCTGGCAGCATCGCGACATCGCGAGCAGCTCATGTCTACTCACCTGAACCTTCACGTTCTTCCTGCTGCGCTTCTTGGCGACCTCCTCAGTGATACCCTTCTTGTGCATGCGACGGTAGACCTGGGTCCAGGCAATCTTGCGGGGGTTCTTGCGCTGGAGGAAGAGGGACTCGGTCTTGGAGCCCGAGAAGCGGAAGGTCTGAATGTCAGCTGGCGTCCCTCAGTCGACGACTCCGAGACTTCGGTTTCGGCATCGACAATCGGGGCACAGGCAAGATTCCCAGCAACAGCACACGGCGACTGTCCACGCATGATCAAGATCTTCGCCCTCCTCAAATCTTTTGTCCCGGTCGAACTCGCACTCCGTCCGCTCTTCTTCGTGTCACCCCTCCGCATCTCTCATTCCAATGATCTGCGCTTCGCCGTGCCTTCTGCCGCTGCCTGTTCGTGCCATGCCCGACTCCCAGTTGTCGACGATCCGATTCCGTCCCTTCTTCGCTTTATGATCGATTCGCACCTTGGAGTCACCACGGACGTAGACCTTACCCCTGGAGGGGTAAACCTTGAAGCCGGACCAGTCGCAACGATCGACACGCATTCTGCAGCATTAGCGACTGTTTGGACGCCATCGATGTCGACTCCGAGATCATGCCGGCCGGTTTGCTTAAACGAAACGCGCGACACCAAATTTCGATCTTCAATCGTCCGGTCTCTCGTTCCTTCCAACAGCTAGCTCCCTTCCTCAGATCGGTCGGCGTGGACGGTCGGTCCGTTGTCGTAGTCGGTGTCGGCGTCGTCGGTCCAGCATGATCTCGTCGGGGCGACTCACGTTGGGTAGTTCTGTGCTGGGTCAGTTGAGAAGACGACACTGGCTTGACTAGGCAACGACTTGGTAGCGGCAGTCCCGGCAGAGACTCGCTGCCACGGGAGCAAATTGGTGCGTACCGAAACTCGAGAATCTCGCGTGGCTAAAAGCCGATGGACACGTGTCAATTTTCATACCGCCGACTAACTCGGCGTGACGCTCACCTCCACTTGTAAGATCTGACCCATGAAAGCTGCCGAGGATTACCCGGTGGCCTGGAAATTCTGACTCATGACGTTGGGACGAAGATTGTTGACACGCCACTGAACCCTCCCTTCACTCACAAACCACCGCATGCAATGCATGCGTAACTTGACACCTCGACTCCCCCGACTTGCCCGACTTGCGCGCAGCATGACGACCAAGCCGACAACACCCATCTACCCCTGTCCCCTGTCTGGGCTCAGTTACGAGCGCTCGACGAGCCCCGTCCTGTCCATCCCGGACGAGCTCAAGCCGGCCCTCTCCGCCGCCGCCGCGCACCTGAGGGCTGGACGCACCGTCGCCTTCCCGACCGAGACGGTGTATGGCTTGGGTGCGCACTCGCTCGACCCCGACGCCGTCAAGCGCGTGTATGCGATCAAGCGCCGGCCGGCGGACAACCCGCTCATCATCCATGTGGGCGGCATGGACATGCTGCGCCGCCTCGTGCCCGCGTCCTACGAGCTGAGCGAGCTCTACGCCGCGCTGACGGACACATTCTGGCCCGGCCCCCTCACGCTGCTGTTCCCCTCGACGAACCCGATTCGTATGCCCGCGCACCCCCTCGCGCTTGCTCTGATCCAGACTGCCGACCTCCCAGTCAGCGCGCCGAGCGCCAACTCCTCAGGCCGGCCTAGCCCCACACAAGCCCAGCACGTCAAGAACGACCTGGACGGGAGCGAGGGGCTCGGCTGCATCCTGGACGGCGGGGCGTGCGGCGTCGGCGTCGAGAGCACGGTCGTTGACGGCCTCGCCTGGCGGAAGGGCGGGGGCGGGAGCGTCAATGTCCTCCGTCCGGGAGGGTTGGGAGTGGAAGATGTCGCTCGCGTAGTCCGCGCCGTTGACGAGAAGTATGGTGGCTCGACGCAGATCCTCCTGCACGGCCGGCCCTGGGTTCCCAACGCCAACGCGACCGAGCCAGCGCCGAAACCAAAGGACGACGCACCCCCCTCTACCCCCGGGATGAAGTATCGCCACTACTCGCCGCGGATACCCGTGTTCCTCCTCTTGCCGTCGAATGTGTTCCCGACCCGGCCTCGCATCTCGCCCAGTGACTCCAGCGCTGCGTCCGTCGTCGCCGCCATTCGCGCCAAGAACCCCCGTCTCGGCTTCCTCGGGTTTGAGGGCTCGCCGCTCTCCAAAGCCCTTGAGGGCGATGCGGTAGCCGTCCGCCACTCGCTCGGCAAGGACGCCGCCAGCGCGGCCCAGAATCTGTTCGGCGGCATGCTCGCGCTCGAGCAGGAGGGCGTGGACGCCATCCTCATTGAGGGATGCAGCGATGATGGCCTCGGCCTCGCCGTCATGGAGCGCGCGGGCAAGGCCGTTGGCGGAGGCGGCGTGAGCGGCGCCCTCGGGCAGGGAGAGGGCGCGAGCGCCTCAGGCCGTCTCTGGGTGCAGGTGTAGGTGGGGAAGGCTATCATACATATTCTTGTTGTACATGCTACATTAATGCTATAGATGTCTAGATTCTTGAGCTACGGCTGGATGTCGTTGTGGTCGTGGTGTGCTGATGCTAATGCTAATTGATGCTGATGGACGTTGGGAATTAGCCAAAGACTCGCGAGAGGGAGCCATCCTACAGCTCCCTTTCAAAGTCCTTGAGGAACTCTTCGGCGCGCTCCGCCTGCCTCTGAGCACGCAGCGCGGCGACCTTGTCTGCTCCGCCGAGGAGTTTGGCCCTCTTCGCCTCGACGAGGGCCCGGCGTTCTTCCAGCCGCCGTTTCCTTGCTTCCTGGGCGGGCGTCATACCGCGAGCAGCTGTCTTGCCGCGTGCCTGCTCAGTCGTGCGGCGCTCGGCGTCGAGACTTGCCATTTGCTTCGCGCGCTCTTCTTCGTCCAGGCTGAACTGGTACGCCCCGGCACCTCGGGTACGGACTGTTGTCAGCTTCATCTCCCGGACACCCAAGCTCACCTTCCTTTGTCGAGTCGTAGTGGTGTTGCCGCGCTTCGCGCTCTGCCTCCAGGTACTTTTGCCGCAGCGCTTCGTGGTCTGGCTGGTACACGGGGAAGTGGTGCTGGTCGCCGTGGATGAACTGAGACTTCCTGTCTGTCAGCTACGAGGTCGCACTATGTCCAGCTTACATGACTTCAGCGTATGCGGACTCGCCAACCAGAGGTTCGTCATTCCGTGATGGCCCAGCTTCGCCCTTCGCTCTCTCCGCCGCAATGGCTTCCTTCCTCGTCCCCATCCGCGTTCGTCCTAGCTCATCGACATATTCGACCTGGTCGTTGCCATCCAGCGTGTCGAACTCCTCGGGTGCCCGTGCTTCCAACGCCGACTCATCGACGTCGCTCGAGTGGTCACTCCACTCATCTCGTTTCCGGTCGAACTGAGGGTCAGCTAAGCACCGAGTAAGAGACAGCTCACGTCTATTGTTGCTTCGGCGAGTTCGCGCTCGCTGAGCCCTTCTCCACCTCTTGCGAGCTGCTCATATCGCCGAGCTTTCGCTTCGAGGATCGCACGCCGTTGATCCTCACTCGGTCCGTCGGGGTCATCGGCAAAGTGCCGTCGCTTGGCGTCGTTGCGTGCTTCGCGCGCAAGACGCTTCACAAGACCAGGGCTCGGACGGTCAAAGGGGTCGCGCGCAACCTTTTCTGGGCGGTCCTTGCGTGCACCCTTGACAGCGGTGCGGCCCTCCTTCTTGAAGCGATCGGCGTGTTCGGCTGTGAGAGCCTTGAGGCCGAGGAGGGATGCCTGGGATACGCCGGACCCGGACATGTCAATATTCAGACGAGGAAGACTGTTGTTATTGTTGATGTGACGTAAGTAGTGAGGACTTGGACGGTAGTAGGTGGCAAATCGCCACATGGACGGAGATAGGCTGGGGTGAAGCCAGTGGGGTTGTGTGGTGAGTGGACGAGAGTTGGTCACGGGGTCACGGGGTCTCTTGGTCCCTGGGCTGGCGCGGCGCGGGCGGGGCTGGCTGGCTGCGAGCCACGATCCACCGCCGCGACTCGTCACTCCTCACTTGGTCTTGCTCTGCTCCTCATTGCATCCATTGCATCCATCCCATCCATCCCCCTATCCCCCCATCCAGTACAATGTCCGCTGCTAAGGTTTACGTCGGTATGTCTCCCCTCCAATACTCTCGACCTACCACGACCCTGCCGAGCACCGAGCCCTTGCACCGCCGTCACCGCAAAGCGCACGGACACAACCCAGCAGACGTCATCTCCACCGACCCCCGCGTTTGTCACGCGTTCGGCTGGGCCATAGGGTTCCTCCTAGCACGTCTGCATACACCTCTTGCCGCTCGGCAAACCTCGCACAGCATCCTTGCGTCCCAGCAGCACTGCACTGGCATCAGCTTCGTGTTCTAGTCTCGGCTTGATATCTCTTTTGTTGCTGGTGGAGCTCTCTGCTCGCCCTGTGTTTGTGTGACTCTCGTGTTGTGTGTCTTGTCTGCGCACAGCTTCTGCTCCCCATCCACATCCCCCCCATTGTTTCGCTTGTGCCTTTCCAGATTGCTTACTCTTCTCTAGGCAACCTCTCGTGGAACACCACGGACGAGGTTCTTCACCAGGTCTGCATTATTTCTGGTCTTCGTGTTAGAGATGCTCATACTATTGGATTTGATTCAACTTCGTCGTTTCGTTCCGGTTTCTCGCTCTCTTCGCTGCTTCGCTTGCTCGCTATCGTTCGCACTTCGTCTCTTGTTTTGGCTTGCCGTCTTTGGTTGTGGTCCCGGGTCTTGGTTTGTGCTCGTCTTTGATCACTAACGTCATTTTCTCAATTGCCCGTGTTGCCCCGTCTGTTCGTCTGTTCGCTTTGCCTCGTCTGTTCGTCTGCCCGTGTGCCTCTCTACTCATCATCCGCATCGGCCAACTACCGGCTCTTGCACACTTTGCTTGTGTTTGTGCTCCGTGTTCCTGAACTGTCCGTGCAAATGAACAGACTTTCGCCGCCTACGGCCAGGTCCTCGACTACATCGTCATGAAGGACCGGGAGACCGGCCGCAGCCGTGGCTTCGGCTTCGTCACCTACGGCAACCAGGCCGAGGCTGAGGCTGCCATCAACGCCATGAACGAGCAGGAGCTCGACGGCCGTCGCGTCCGCGTCAACATGGCCAACTCCAAGCCCGCTGGTGGTGGCTACGGCGGTGGTTACGGCTCCGGCTGTAAGTTGTGAATCGCTGGCCGGAACTAACTTCAGACGGCGGCATGTACGGCGGTGGCTACGGTGGTGGCTACGGCGGCGGCTACGGCGGCCAGGGCGGCTTCGGTGGCCAGCAGGGTGGCTTCCAGCAGGGAGGTTACCAGCAGGGTGGCTACCAGCAGGGCGGCTTCGGCGGCCAGCAGGGTGGCTTCCAGGGCGGCTTCAACGGCCAGGGCGGCTACGGCGGCCCCGGTGGCTACGGTGGCCAGCAGGGAGGATTCGGTGGCTGTACGTTTATCACTGAGGGCGCGGTTAACTGACAGCAGACGGCGGCCAGCAGGGAGGCTTCCAGCAGGGTGGCTTCGAGGGCCAGCAGGGTGGTGAGTGAAGGGTTCTTTGTGTCGTGTGACTCGGTCTGATCCGTGCTCTTTCTTGTTTCCTTTCGTTCTTGTTCTGTGTTCGAATATTCTCGGTTCTGTTTCCTCCGTTCTCGTCGTTCGTTCGATCAATCTCAATCCTCTCGAACAACTTGCTTCGGTCCTTCTCGTTCTCGTATCTAGGCTACGGCGGTGCTCCCCCTCAACAGGGCGGCTACCAGGGTGGCAACTTCGGTGCTGGTGCATACACAACTCTTGCAACAGATTAGCTGACAATCGCAGGTGCCCAGCAGGGCGGCCAGGGTGGCTTCGGTGGACCCGGCCAGGGCTACTAAGTGATACCGGTTACGCTGCTTTCTTTCGTTAATCTAATTTCTGTTCGACTCCGCATACGCTTCTATCGCAATGTACCAACAGCCGAGCTCTGATTATTTGTCTGAATTGAAGTCCCGTCTCCGTTCCCGCTTTGCCTCCTTCTCGTCCGTCCCTTCTCCATCCTTTGCTTTTCTCTCTCCGACCTCTTCTCAACCTTTCACCCTGTCCCATTTTTCTCTTCTTCTGCCCTTCGTCCCGAAGACTTGTCTCGTTCGAAGAACTTGTCCGATATCTCCTCGCTATCTGTGTGCAACGATTAAAACCCAAGTCTCTTCTTCTCTCATTGCTCTCTTAACCTTACCGTTTCCGCGTCTCGTCTACCCAAAACATCCTTGGCTCGGCTTCCCAACCTGCTGCTGGTTTGTTCCGTGAAATAAGAATCATTTTGTATCTTAGATGGCTATTCTCGGCTACGTGGTCTCGGCGTCTCTACCAATCTTCTATTCCCCTATCCAGATCGAATGCATCCAGATGTGAGAATGACCATGGGCTTGGTTGGCTGTCTGACAGCGGATGGAGAGGAGTCCGAGTGCCATGAATTTTCCAAGTTTTGAGATGTTTTTGCCCCTTGTAGTCTGCGTCCGTCAGACGGTACAGTATACGATTTTGACCCGTATATTCCACAAAAAATGCATACAAGTTCGAAAGGTAAAAGGCTGCTCCTGTTGTCCGCGGAGCATATTGTAAGGAAGCCCGGCAGTCCATGGGCTTGAAGTGCAGGAAGTGCGACCTGTTGTCCGCGGAGCACATTGTAAGGAAGCCCGGCAGTCCATGGGCTTGAAGTGAAGGAAGTGCGACCTGTTGTCCGCGGTGCGCATTCTAAGTCCAATGAAGTGTTCTCCGTTGGTTGAGCAACGAAGTGTGAAAGTCTAGTGACTACTGATGGCCAAAGCGGCGGCGCCAGATCTCAGCCATAGACTCGTCAAAGGGGAAGTAGCGGCTCATGAGGGGGACGCAGAGCGCGAGCAGCGTCATGAGCACAATGACGGCGAGGGCGGGGGGCTGGCCTCCCTCGCTCTCGAGGCGGAAGTTGAGGAAGCCGCGCCAGAACCGGGCCGCACGGCCACGAACATCGCGGAACGTGCCGAGAGTCAAGCCCAGTGCCGCATGCAGCGGGCCCCCAGAGGGCGAGGCGGAGTCGTTGACGGGCGTGTTGGGCGGCGTCGGCGTAATAGGGGGAGGAGAGGGGGCGGGGTAGTAAGGCGGGAAAGGGCAGGGCGTCAGGGAGGCACTGGCGGCGACAGCCCTGGCGACGATACCGTCGACGAGACTGGCGACGGCGGAGACAGAATCACCGGCACAAGTGTGATCGGCTGACTCGGGAGAGGCAGCGGCCTCACTGGTCTCAGTGGCAGTGGCGGCAGCACGCTCAGCACGCTCGGCACGCTTAGCACGAGCGGTCTCGATGTCGGCCACACGCAGCGCATGGCGACGGATGGGCAGCACGCCGCGACGGAGACGCACGACGGGATACTCGGCCGGCGCGATCGCGGGGATACGGCCGATGAGCATGGCGGTGGGCGCCGTCGCTCCGGCGGGAGGAGTGTCGAGCGAGAGACTGACGTCGGCGATCTCAGTGGACTCGGTGGTCTCGGCCTCAGTGTCGGCCTCAGCGGTGATGGGAGTGGCGGAGAAGGGGTTCATGTCGTCCAGAGCTAGGCTGACGTCGGCGATGTCCTGCTCCTCGGCAGCCTCCAGGGCCTGAACGAGAGGCACTTGAGCCATCTCCTGGGCGGTGCTCCGGGCGGAAACCTCAGTGGCGGCGTCACCAGCCTCAGAGGCAGCGGGCTCCTCGTTCTCCTGGACGAAGGGGTCGGGGGACTCGAAGTTCCGCGAGCGCTGCTCCCAGTGCTCCTCGTCCCAGTGGCGAGTCGACAGCCCATCATCGCCAATGTCGAGGCGGCGCAGCTGCTGCATGGTTGGAAGAGTCGCCGTAGGTGCATCGGGCATGACCAGCTGACCAGTCGCACTGGTGGCGCTGGCAACGCTGGGCGGACGCTCAACGAAGGGAGCGCGCGTCTCGACCATCTCGCGCACGGTGAACGTGAGGCTGGGCGAGCTGTCGACGCTGTCAGTGTACTCGGACCCGCGCCAGGTGAGCAGCGTCTCATTGCTTGAGCGCGTGAGCGACGGCAGGTCCGACTCTGCATCTCCCCCGCCGTCGCGCGACGCAAAGGCGCGCTGGGCGGAGAGGCGGAACGGCTCGTAGGTCGTCGGGAAGCTGTCCTCGTACAGGGGTATGAAGGCGTCACTGGCAGTGATGGCCGAGACGGGGGGCTGGTTGAAGACCGACTCGGACGGCATAGGCGAAGGAGCGCGTGTCGCCTCGGTCGAAGAAGGCTCGATGCTGTCACTTTGCGCCTGGGCCAACAGGTCGGTCAAATCGGGCGGTCCGGGGTTGGCGAAGAGGAATGGCTCGTTCGAGTACGGATGAGGCGAGGGGTGCGAAGGGGGCGAGGACTGTGTGTCGGCCTCCAGGTCTGTCTCGAGGATGCTGTAGTCCGCATCAGCAAGACGGACCAGGGCACGGGCGGCAGACTGCGCGCTGCCACGGGGCCAGAACTCGGCGTACGCTTGGTCGGGAGAGGTCGAGAGCGTGCCGCTGCCGATTGAGTTAATGGTGGTGGGACTGCCGCTGGACGAACTATCGGTGCTGATGCTGTTGTTGCGCGAGGACTCGCCGAGCTTGGGCTCCGTCAAGGCGGACCTGTGTGACTCCATGATGGCCGCCTCCAGGTCGTCCAACATGAATGGGTCGTCGTCACCAAAACGCTCGGACCACGCAGGGGACACGGGCGCGCTGTCGGTCTCGTCGTCGTCGTCGACAGGGACAGCCTTGGCCTTACCCTTGTCCTTGGACTTGGGCGAGTCATCGTCGAGGTCAGAGGAGTTGCTGGTGTCGGGGGTGGTCGGAGGCGTGTCCGACGAAGTAGGGCTGTCGCTCCCCGAGCTAGCACATTCGTTGGCATCCATCACAGCCGGTGCGGTGGCAGTGGGAGTGGCGGCGACGGGGTTGGCATTGATCGTGACCTCCTCGTTGAGGGTAGTCATAGGAGTGGACGACGAGGGGGCCATCAGAGTGCCGTCTGCTGTCTGCTTACTGCTAACGCCCATCCTGGTCAATGATGGTCGCGTTAGCCTACGTCTTGATGTCCAATGTCACCAGGGACAATGAAAAAAAGGCGGGGACGGGGTTGAGGAGAGTAAGAAGAGGTAGCGAAGATGAAGAGAGAAAGTGAAGAGGTAAAGGCTGAAGAGAAAGATGTGAGTGTGTGATCAAACGAAAGACGGCCGCTGTGGACGTGGCCGGCAGGGAGGACACACACAGCGGGGGAAGACGGTGGGAATGGGGACAGATGACGAGGTCAGGAGCAAAGAGAGCGAGAGGCTCTGTCTTATACTTTGCAGGTCACGTTCTGCTTCACACTTATGCGTAGATTTGTGCGTTTGGTTTTCTGCACGTCTCTGTTCATCATCACCATCTCGAGCTTCGGTGCTTTTAACATCAATCACCACTCCTTGTTTTCAACAGGGGCGGTGCCACAGACTCGAGGTGAACAATACTGCATGCAAATTCACTTTCGGGCAGCGAGGGATTGAAGCGGAATTCTTTTGCATGATTTGATGATGCACAAGCTCCGGAAACGTCCAGCGGTCCGTTGTTGGACTTCTACATCATCAGGACGGAGAGTGTGAGCAGGGCTGCCACACAAGCACATCTGCTCCCGTCAGCAGTGTAGCACTTGTGCGTTCCTCTGTTCTTTCCATACTACGGCCAACTCAGGGAGCTTGTAAGGCTCTTAGAGTGCATAAAAACCTCCCTCAAAGACGCAAGGTCTCTGAGGCTCTCCCAGTGAAGTTGATGAAGGCCGAGAGACGTCCGAGTAGGCAGAGATAGCCACGTTCTTGGTCGCCACTCGCGCCACTGTCGTCATGCCCTGCACTCTCTTCTGGTTGTCCATCACGACATCGAACTTCTTCCCCTTGCATCTGGAAGCTGACCATGCGTTTCGCACCACCTGTCGTGCCTTTGCCTAACCACAAATGCATGACTGCTATCCAGGCAGGTCTTCAACCGCACCGCACGTGCTTTCCCTAGGTGCTGCGCCGCTATCGGCGGAAGCAAATGGATAAAGCGATCCCGGCCCGATCGCTTGTGGACACGACGCCGGTCCGTCGCCGATAACCGCAACGTCTGACCCCTTCCTCAACTTTAACAACAACGACCGCTCTACAAAGTCCACATCCGACCTCTCCACACTCCTTTCACTCCCTCACTCTCCGGTACTCATGGAGACGATACGCGCGATAGCGGAGAGCTCCGCGGGCGAGTGGGCCGCCATCCTCTCCCTTGTCTTTGGAGGGTGCTGCTCGTGAATTTCGGTTGTCATGTCGTAAACTGACAAGCAGAAACGTCTGGGCGCTTGAGGCCGTGCTCAAGTCATATCCCTCCAGTGGTGAGTCCGTACTAACGTCCAACTTACTGGTGTCCTGCCAGCTGGTAGAGCTGTCAGCCCTAAGCTAACAGCAGGCACGTTCCTCACATTTGCGCAGTTCCTGTATGTCACAGTGCAGACCATATCCTCGCAGGTCGAGTGGGACGGTTGGGTTCCCCGGCGGCGGCGTAATGTTGTCCCCCTCTCCCGCTGGACGGTGCAGGTGGTGCTGTTTGTCGCCGTCAGTCTCAGTGAGTTACCTGACGCGCTATTTGCTAACTCATTGCAGTGAACAACTATGCCTTTGGCCTCAAGGTGCGCATTGCTGTACACTAGCTACTGAGGACGAGTACGTTAGCTGATCTCAGATCCCGATCACGGTGCACATCATCTTCCGGAGTGGCGGTGAGCTGCCTCACGCCCAAAGTGCAATGTGACTGATAACAGGGCTGTGCGTTTCGATGCTTGTCGGATATCTGCTCGCTGGGAAGCGGTATACTCTCGGGCAGATCATCGCCGGTGTCGTCATCACCGTTGGTATTGTGCTTGCCACAGTGTCGGCGCCGCGGCCGCCAAAATCGTCTTCCGCCTCGTCTTCCTCGACCACGGGTAAGGAGGACCGCCTCCCCGAGAGCGTGCAGTACGTGATCGGCATCGCAATGCTATCCGTCGCTCTCTTTCTCTCTGCGTGGCTGGGACTCTGGCAGGAGAAGACGTACCGGCGGTACGGCAACCAGTGGCGGGAGGCTCTTTTCTTCACGGTGAGCTGGTCAAGCCCTATCCCTCAAACTGACAGCAGCACTTCCTAAGCTTGCCTTTCTTCCTACCCTTCGCACCCAGCCTCTGGACCACGTTCAAGGCGTACGCCTCCACTGCGCCCGTTAAGCTGCTCGCTTTCCCTTTACCCTCGATCAAGCCCAACGACGGGTTCAACTGGGCCGAACTCGCTGTGCCGAGTGCGCTCCTCGCCCTCGCTGTCAACGTCGTGACGCAGGGTTTGTGCATCCGCGGCGTGAACCGTCTCACCTCTGTAAGCTGTCGAAGTTTCGGAGGGAGCTGACCCCAGCGTGTCTCCAGCACAACCGTGAACCTGATCTTAACGCTGCGCAAGGCTGTCTCCCTCGCAATCTCAGTGTGGTACTACGGCTCCGGCGCCAGTGTCGGCCTCGTGACGGGCGGCGCAATGGTGCTGGGCGGGACGATGATCTACTCGATGGCAAGTCCGCCGCGCGTCGTGTCCGAGAAGAAGTTTGATGACAAGGAGGAAGAACTGAAGAAGACTCACCCCAAGAGGATCAGTGGAGAGGTAGAGAGCAATGGGAACGGGGACGCCGCTGAGCACAGTCCCAGGCCAGGATCACAAGAACAGACTCGGGCTTCTTCGACATCTGTTAGGGTTAACGGAGACGGCGGCCTGCGCCAGCGATAGCTCAAGTGTCACACCTCCACAGTTCCCGGTCATTATAGAGTGTAGAGTATCAGTTCCAATGCACATTGTCCCAGTTAGCCATGGCTCCGCAGTGCCATCCCCATAAACCGTTTGGGCCAGTGTAGAAGAGTGCATGCAATGGGGATGGGAGAGGAATTATGACTTTTAACCGCGAACACAAGAACGCACTTAGCTGCGCCTCTTCTCGGCGCCGCGAGGACGTTCCTGGATGACGGCCTTGTTGCCGTCGCGGTCGCGGGGACGGCGCGTACGCTTGCCCTGGAGCACGCCCTTGGCCGAGCGCGGGTGCTTGCCTCCCATGCTCTTACCACGACCACCTCCGTGCGGGTGGTCGCACGCGTTCATCGCAATACCGCGCACCTTCGGGCGCTTGCCGAGCCAGCGGTTGCGGCCCGCCTTGCCGAGCACCTCGAGGTGGTGCTCCTTGCTGAGGGGGGTCAGCTTACACCATGGAGGAGCAGCTGCTGTCTCGTGCGAGAAGCTGAATACTCACTTCGAAACCATTCCAATCGTAGCGACGTTCTCGGGGTCGAGACGGCGGATCTCGCCAGAGGACAGACGGACGATGGCGTCTCCGTTCTTCCTGGCGCGGATGCCGTTCGAGTCCAGACCTCCTCCAAGCGTGAGGACCTCGGCACCACCAACGGGCTCTCCGTTAGTCTGCTGGTGAGCGACGAGCGTCGCGTAAGTGCCGGCAGAGCGGCAGAGGGCCATGCGTCCGTCGGGGTTGATGGTGAGGTTGTGGATGACGGTTCCGGGGGGAATGAGGGAAAGGGGGAGAACGTTTCCGGGCTTGACAGCTACGGAACGGAACACACCGAGCGCACGCTGCGCGGTCGAGTACTGGCCGTATCCGCCGACAATCTCGGTCGTGTGCGGGTTCGCCCAGCCCTCGACGAAGCCGTCGGGGACACCGCCGCGGAAGCTCTCCACCGTGTCACCCGCACGCAGTCCATCGGGAGCGAGAATGTACGACCATCCGCCCTTGACCTCGTTGCGCGCGAGACGCTTCTCGGTGCTGCCACCGGGAAGCTCGGAAGACGCCTCGGCGAGAGCAGCACCCTCCTCGGGCGAAACGTCGGCTCCGCCTCGGCGCTTGATCAGCGCAATGTGTCCGCTGCGTCCCGGGTCGTACTCGATGCGCACAACGTCGTGCACGCCGTGCTCGAGGCGGTAGAAGTCGACGATACGGATACGCTGCTTGTGTCCTCCTCCGACACCGCGGTTGACGACCTGACCAGTCGAGTTACGTCCTCCCTTCTTGCGCTTGGCGAGCGTGAGCGCACGCAGCGGCTTGCCGTCGAAAAGGTGCGGGTGCTGAACGTGAACGCGGTGGCGGAGCGACTGGGCGTTAGTTTACCACTCCCTTGCTTGCGCAATGTTTCCAATGCTGCACGCCGAGGACTCACGGGGATCATGGGGAAGCCCTTGCCGCGGTATCGCTTGATGATGGCAGTCGACTCCTCCTCCGCGAACCGCGGGCCAAGGAGCTCCTCAACGCCCTCGCTGGCGAGACCGCGCGGCGTAACGGCCGGCGTCTCAATGTCGGTCGTCGGCTCAACGGGCGTCGCGAGGAATCGGACCTGGGCGGCCGCGCGCGGCACAACGAGGGGCGCCCGCGGCACGGTGGCCAGTCGTGTTCGGAGGGCGGCGCGGAACATTGTGTGTTCTTGGCGGCGCCTGACTCGGTTTCGACTGGGGTATAGGTGAAGGTGGTGTCGAGCGAGACGAGAGCGAGTACTACACCTTGGTTGCAGCTGCTCGACGGAGGATCTCAGCCGAAATCTCGAGCCAGGAGAGAAAAGTGGACGGAGGCAATTTCGATATGCGAGAATGGTTGCAACGTGGACATCACGCGAGAACCATGCGATCCAAGCTTGCAACAGCTTCCTCTTGCGGCTACGGTATCTGGAATGTATGCATGGTCTACGCGCTGACCGAAGATAGAAGCAATGCATGCGTTGCGTCTGAGAGGTTCTTGACGAATGTCTTCCTCAAGCTCCATCTTTATGGCGCCCGTTGATCAACCGTTCATGACGATGCACGTGACTTTGACCCAGGGAACACGGAGATTTCGCGCCGCGCCGCGTTGCAGTGACGCCAGGCCCCACGTTGGGTGGACAGGTCCAGGCACATCACACACCTCTCGATCTCGATCTTCTTTCCACTCCCAACTCTTCATCACTCATTTCCCCCGGCAAAACGATGGTCCAGGTCACCGTCCAGCTTAAGGGCGCAAAGCCCGTCGAGCTCAACCTCGACGGCACCGTTCACCAGGTCACCGTCGCCGACGTCAAGCGCGGCGTCCAGAAGCAGGTCACTAAGGTCAGTGTGTAATACCCGGAGCCGGTCCAACTACATCGACTGTCGCCCCGAGCCCCCGGATCTCTCAGCAACCACATAGTCAGCTCAGGTGTAGCTGACGTCGTAGTTCGTGCCCAACCGCCAGCGCCTCACCCTCGTTCCTACCGGCAAGGAGAAGCCGACCGCCCTCACCGAGGACAACAAGAGCCTCGCCGACTACGGTCTGTCTGGCAGCAATGTCACTATCCGCCTTAAGGACCTGGGCTACCAGGTTGCCTACCGCGCTCTCTATCTTTGGGAATACGTGAGCTTATTAGCCCCCTCGCGAAGCTAACAGCAGTTCGGTCCCATCTTCCTCAACCCTCTTTTCCTCCAGCTCTCGCAGAAGATCTACGGCCCGTATGAGCCCTCGACTCTGCAGCTGTGAGTTGAATTCAATCCGCTTCTAACTGACATCAGCACTATCCGCAACCTCCTCGTTGCGCACTTCATCAAGCGCGAGCTTGAGTCCATGTTCGTGCACTCGTTCTCGCGCCCCTCCGTGCCCCTCTCCTTTGTGTTCCGCAAGTGAGTTTCAGCACTGGCCTGTGGAAACTGACATCCAGCTGTGCGTACTACTGGGGCATTACCGGCGGCCTGATCGGCCTCACGCTCTACCGCCCGGCCTACGGTGCCAAGGCGCTTAAGGGCACTCTCCTCGACAACCCCAAGTGGATCGGTTTCTGGACCGCGTTCATCATCGTGAGCTGCTCTACTCCACTTCATCAGCTGACGTCCAGATCAACGAGCTCCTCAACCTGAACACTCACCTGCACCAGGCATCCATTCGCACGCCCCCCGGCGTCAAGCGCAAGTACCCCACCGGCTTCGGCTTCCAGTGGATCGTGTGCGCCAACTACTTCTTCGAGACCATGGGCGTCCTCGGCATGGTCATCATGACTGGCGGCGACATCGGCACCATCGTCTACCTCGCCATCGCGTCCTACTTCATGGGCACCTGGGCCAAGGGCAAGTACAGGCGTTACAAGAAGGAGCAGGACCCCAAGGTCTTCCCCGGCCGCCGCTGGATCTACATCCCCGGCCTGTTCTAAGCTGAATAGCGGTGTGAGAATTACCCTATCTCTCCTGCATAATCACATCACACCCTAGACTACAGAATGCAGCCTGTCGCTGCAATGGTGGAATACTAAAGACTACGAGTTACTGACAGTCTCCGACCGACATATGGGCACTGATCGAGGCAATGCTCGTTTCCTCCACCCGTCCCTCAGCCACTAGCAGCCTCGACCCTCATCTTGAGGTCCACCCACACTGGAGGGTACATGACACAGAGTACCGACTACCTAGCCCGCACTTTCTCCGGCCCAAAGAGGACGACGTCGGCGTGCTTCTCTGTCTGGAGCAGGCCAAGCCCAATCCGATCAAGCCACCACACGATAGCAGCCTATCTCGCCCTAATCCCGAAGACGAACGTGACGAATGGCCAGCTACAACACAGCGTGTTGCTCCCGCAAAACTGGACGAGGAGGCTCCCCTCACATTCACCAGTCTGGGGAATCCCGGCCGCGCGGCGGGGATATCTCCGGATCTGCCAAGTGCTCGCGAGAACATAATCGGGGCATGGTACGCTTGCCCTTGAATATCCTGATGCCAAACGTGGGGGAGGCGTCCGACCTGCGTGTCAGGCAGGAAGCGAAGCCACCGAGGCAACTGGGGTGCGTCAGAGACGCCCGCGTTCCGTGCCCTGCGTACCAGGACGAAAGCGAGCGTCCCAAGAGCCCCAAGGATGCAGTGCCAGAGCGGACTGCTGCCGCCCTTTAGCAAAGCGTACAGGTCCGACTGGCACACGGTGCGCGGCGTCACAGCGTGAAGTAGCTTAAGTGGGGAGTAGCCGAGCGAACATTGGAGTTAGTCCCCCGAGGGATCAACTGTGGGACGGGCGGCCGCGAAGAGAGAAGTGGCGGAGACGAGAACGAGCGAGAGAGACGTGCATTGTCACCTCGTTAGTTCTACATCGACCCAGTCGCCCAGGGGGGCGGGAGAAGAGCAAGGGGTTCGCGCGTCACTGGGGCTGGGGCGGGCATGGTGGTGGTGGCACTGCGGCGAAGAGAACGATGCTGATAATGAAGAAGGAGTCTTGCAAGACCAACCGGAGCTATGCACTGGCCGGAGCAACTGCGTGGCGAGCTCATCGCCAGATCTGCACTTCTCCGACCATGTCCATGCGGTGCGGGGGCTACGGAAAATTGGAGACGCTTGTGGCTGAGACGCCCAATTTTCAGAATAAACTCTGGTGCCTGTATGACAATGCCGGTTATTCACCCGAATTGGGATCCTCTTATGCCCCTACCTCCTGCCTCGTCGCACCAGCGTTGTCGTCGCACTAGCGTTGCAGTTGGGAAGCGTCACGCGCTTTCTCTTGTCCAGGTGCACTGAGCGCCGGGTCAAGTCGATCGGACCGGTGAGGACAAGGTCGACCGGCTCCACAGCAACGGTACCTGACTGCTAATCAGCGCCCAGCTTTCAGAAATAGACCTCGGTACCTTGGGTCGTACGTTATCACGCCACCAAAGCAGCGTACGTTCGCAAACTTGCATTCCGCAACGGATCAGTGACCCATTTCAGCTGCAGGGAGCGTGGACGAGATGGCACACCGATGCATACAGCAGCTTCAAGCTATGCCCACCCAAAACCGTCATACAGGATTTCCCTCTGAAGTAGCACCAAGGATAATCCGTTCGCTGCAGCCGCAACCGCTGCATTGAACGTGTACAGGACAGCTAGCATGACGATTCTCCAAGTGCGATCGCAGCGCTGGCTCCCACCACCGAACTCATACACGTAGACGGGGAACCAGGAACCGCCCCGCTGGCAGACGGGGGTGTCTGGGCTCTCGAAGGCCCAGGTCTGGATGAGCAGCGTCCACAAGATGTCGAAGAAGACTACCACTGAGAGGGTGGTCATGATCCCTAGCCCGACCTCCAGGAACCATGGTATTGGCAAGTGCACTGGCCGCTCGGCGGGCGGTCCTGGTGGTTTTGGAGGTCGAGCACCCGCGTATCGATCTATGGGGCGTCCATCGACTCCGTGAGGGATGTAACGGGGCGCCCATGGGAAGGACAGCGTGATGCCTGCATCTCGCGCTTTCCGGAGTAGCACGAGCACGAGGCCGGTGTATCCTGCTCCGAGGAGTATCCAGACTAGCGTCGTCGCTGCGTCAACGACGATCACGATGTCGGCCTTGCACCCCAGAGCACTGTCAGCGGCGTACACGGAGTATCCCTTCGGACAGTCGGGGACCGTCACCGTCCGGCCATTTGCCTCGAGCCACTTCACGAAGTCCGTTATCTCGCTTTGTCGGAAGTGCCAGAAGAGCTTGGAGGACCAGTACAGACTCAAGTAGGGGCAGTAGGTCAGAAGTCCGACGTGGTGCCGCTCAGCCCAGATTCCGAGGGGTCGTGACCAAAACGTTCCCTCCGGCGTAGGCGAGGGAGCCTGGCTCGGCATGTTGCGCAGTGGTGCGAGAGTGTGAATGGTCAGAAATCCCCGCTGTCCACTGCCGACTTAAGAGTGGCGACTGATGGCCACCCTGTCGGCCCCTCACATCTCTGAGCTCCGGCAGGTCTGACGCTTCTCCCCGTTGAAAGTGAGCAACAGGCGTAGGTCCGATGCTGAGGTCATCTATCATGTGACTGCTTGCATCGATGCACCAAAGCAAAGCCTGTATTCGTGACCCAAAGCCGGAGTTGTCAAAGGGTGAGGTCAGTTAGCGTGATCACTTGGCGTCGTCGCAAACCCAAACTCCCATCCAGTGCCGTAATCTTCAAGCTTGTACTCGACACCGATCCAGTGACGACCCCGGCCTCAATCTATCTACTGTAGGAAGGCACCACCCTCCCCTTACATAAAGCCGTCGATATCGTCTCCCTGCAGAACAGATCGACAGCTAGGCCGCTCATGGGGCAGCCTGCAATTGCAATCCCTCAATGGTGGGTCGGCGCCTGTCACACATACATGCATCTTGGTTACTTCATACAACCGTCTGGTGTTCGCGCCGTCCTGTCCGCGGATTCCGCGTCGTCGCCAGGGTGCAAGAACTGAAACTTCATCGCCATGTTGTCCTCGTGCAATAAGACGGCCGCAAGCCATGCAATGGGCAAGACCAGCAGAGCCAAACCGACACTGCTGTTGATGTTCCGCGCCATGGTTTGCGAAGTGTAGCAGGTAGCCCTTCCCCCCACGATATTGGCAACCCACCAGCCGTCGGGTCCTTCTTCACAGGCAGGATAGGGCGCGTCCGGCGGTACGGCGGTGACGATCCGATAAAACAAGATCAAGATTTGAACGACGGCAAGCAAGGCAAAGAAGCCAAGCAGGTAGGGAACCCCTGGGATATTGAAGTGATGTCTGCGGATAGGGGCTCGGCGGACTACGCCATCTGAGGGGCTCCCATCTCCTTCCCAAGTCGGCCGTCTGGGAAGACCGAGGCGCAGCGGATTCCAGGGGAAGATGGCGCCGGCGTCACGGACGCGACGGAGCAGAGCGAGGCCAGCTCCAGCGCCGGCAGCTCTAAGCAGACGCCGGGTTACATCCTGGCCTTGATTGAAAGCCCAGTTGAGGTCGGATATGCACTCGGCGATGTCGAAGTCGCCCATGCCGATCCTTCTCATTGAGAAGCCAGGCGGACAAGTGTGCCAGACATCCTGGCAGAAGCAGGCGTCGTTGACAGTCCGGGGCTGGCGGAAGTGATCGTATACTCCTGTGACGGCAGATCCCAACGCCAGGCTCACGTAAATCCCCAGTCCCAGTTCGACCCATGAGCCGAACGGAGTACTAATAATACGCCGAATCAAGCTTCGGGATCGCTGGGGCGCCACCTGGGCTGCGGGGCTGCCGGACCCTGCCGCCTCAGCCGTAGTGGAGACAACACCCGACCTGTCGAACTGGTCCATATCGACGATTTCGGTGTTGGCTTCGTCGACCTCGGGAGTGGCAGCCCCAGACTGAGCGAGCTCGGTGTTACCGCCATCAGAAGTGTCGAGCTGGTATGGCCTAAGTCGGAGTCTGAGTTGTCTGACTTCCGATCGAATTTGGGTGCTAGTGCTGGACATTGTGGAGAGGTTGTAAGCAGTGAAGAGGCACGGCAGTGGCAATCCGAAGTCGCTTTAAGTACAAGGTGTCGTTCAGCATCAATCGCGCAGATGTAGTGCAGGCTGTGCAACGTGCGGACGAACTTGCATCCGTCGCCATGTCAAGCTCATATGCTCACTAGTGTGTTCATCATACCGTTTGAACCACTGAAGCGAACCGGCGGCCGACGACGTCACGCTGGTCCGGCAGCTGGATCGTGTTTGACGTTCATTACGGCATTGTTGGTGCGATGAGTTGTTTTGGTTCAGGGCATTTCTCAACATTCCTCTCTCCTCACCCGATGAGGTTCAGCCAGATCTGCAGTAGACCCTCGATACCATGTGGACCTCTGTGCCTGCTCCGACACCGGCTCGGTCTTTCGGTCAGCTGATAGTTGCTTGGCGATGGCTTGGGAACCAAGAACAGCACGGCTCCTGAGCCTCACATGTTCACGGATCGACAGTGGCCTTTCCTGCAATTGGCTGTGGAGGTAGAGCAGGCATCGCAATGCAGCGCTTGAGTGAGTTGCCAGAATTCTTGGGCGGGAAGGCAGGCCGATGTCCGAAAGTGTTGGACCCCTGGTGCTTCACCCAGAACCTTATTGAGGGAGCGCAGTGCCTAGTTGCCTGTTCGTGAACCGAGGTCGTTCTTGCAGTTGATGGCATCTCTTTCTTGTCCACTTTATTGCCCTCGCCAACACCGACATGCCATCGGACACCCGTGCACCAACGCCCGAACCTCTTCTCGGGTCGTGGCCGCTCGGGCTCATTGTCGAGCTTGGGCTGCTGTCCTTTGTGGGCAACATCGTCTACACTAGCCTGTACTACACCTCAAAGCTGTTCCGGCATTTCCGCCTGTCGGAGATCAAGAAACAGCTCAGCGACCTCATACCTCCTGGAGCCCAGCCGGTGGGACAGTGCCCCGCGACCTACTCGGAATGGATCGACTACCCCCGGCTTGGATGCAGAGCGGACGCTGCACATGTGACTGAGCGCGCGAGGACAGTGACGTGGATCCTGTTCGGCGCTGGCGTCTCCGCAGTCGGACTAGTGCTTGTTCGCAAGGCACGCGATGCCGGCGTGACATTTTCGCTTCCTTGGGCTCCGAGCCACCCCGAGCCCTCCAACACTAGCCTCAGCAGCTACGACCGGCGCCGAGGAACGCCAGGTCCGAGACCTCCCGGACCGCCCCCGCATCGCCCGGAGCACCTGCGCATACCTTGGTGGCTAGAGCCGGCGCTCACACTCCTCGCAGCTCTCTCCGTGTTTGTCTTCCTCCTCATCGGGTGGAAGCTGCTCACGCAGCAGGGTTACCAGGAGGGTTATGGCATGCCCAAGTGCACCCCAGGTCCTTTCGGGACACCCGCATGGGTGTACGAGTACAGCGGCAGATCGGCCCAGTGCGTTGACGCCTGGTGGTTGTATCTTTTAGGCTTCCTGCAGATGTTCAATGCTGCATGCGCTGCAGTCCTAAACGGACTTGCAGTTGTCCTCGTGCGAAAGGAACTTCTCCACGACGGATGGGACTGGTTGTAGCTCAGCTGCATGACAGCAAGGTGCAGTTTGAGGTTCTGTCGGACTCCGTCCAGTTAGATCAGTGTCAAGGGTCGAGCTGATAGATAATCGCCTCATGCAACTGTTTTGCCTGATCCTCTGGCAAGTGCAGCTATCTGCACAGCCTTTGGACACCCTCAGTCGTGTTCCTACTTTCACAAGCGAAGCGAACTGCCATGTCGTCGATGCCTAGTTCTGCCTAAAGTTGAATGGCATGTTGCCATTCGCGTTGTGCCCCCACTGGCGAGTCTGGCAAGTGTCGGGGTAACCTCATGGTGAATCTCATCATTGGGCTGTGCGCTGTGCTTCTCTGTTGCTTACACAGCGCTGAGATACCAGGGGGGTGTCGATAGTTTTGCCTAATCTCGAAATCTCGGTCACTTCGGAGCAGACAGGAACCAAACAACGCCACGGTTTGGGCTTGCCCTATGTACCCACGACGAGAGTCTGTGGGAGTGGGGAGGACAGGAGCGGCTTAGATGGAACTACTGCGCCTATGCAAAGCTTCATCATCCAAGTGATTCTTGGGGGCTCAACAGCCGTTGGATTACCAATGGTGACAGTAGTGCTCGGGTCTCCGGCTCCACTCGTAATTCCGAAGTTAAGCTCAGCGAGCAAACTGCCCTTTTCGCCCATGCCGTACGGTCGACAATGGCTGCGCACGACGCTGTAAGCGACAATGACGCACGAGAGCTTCTGGCCTGACTACAGAGGCTCAGTGTAGCAGTATTATGGTGGAGTTCGGGGCCGGGCTGTCGTACATAAGCCGCCTGCTCCTACAAATGGGCGACTTGATACACCGCGATTCTACACTTGAGCGGCAACCATCCCACCAAAGCTGCCATGGCCACCACACCTGAACCCTTCATCTGCGGCAATCAGCTAGGCGACTGGGTCGAGGCGGCCCTTCAGTTCTATCTATACACCACCTGGGTATACAGCATCATCTACATGGTCGGCTACTTCATGAACGTCAAGATATTCGGCGCCGGACGCATTTTCAGCTCTGCTTGTCCCAAAGGGTTTTCGGTACAAAACACCTGGGCCGCTGGCTACTCGGGCGACACGAGTTGCATCTCCGACGTGGCCTGGTCAATTGAGAAGGGCCCAAGGTTAACCTACCTTCTCATGAGCGGATGCGTCGCTGCTCTTGCCATAGTCCTGGTCAGCCGTGCCCGTGACGCTGGCCTCGCTTTCCGCTGGCCTTCAAGTCGTCGCTTGGGGGCCCGATCTCCGCCACCCGCCGACCAAGACAACAAGCCTCAACACATGTTCCTCTCCACCAACGACAATAATGCCTTCCAGGTTTACCAGTACATGCTCTTCGCGTTCTTACAGATCATTGGGCTCTTGTGGCGTGTCCTGACGGCTCCGACCCTGCATGATCCGTACCCCTCCTGTCCGAAAGGGCTGTGGACGCACGACTTCAGCGCGAAAAACATCAACTGCTTCAGTCCCTTTTATCTTGCCTTCTGGGTCAGCTTCGAAGTCGCCCAGTCTCTGCTCGTTATAGTGCTTGCATGGCTAGCGGGAACGCTACTGAGGCAGGACAACTACAGACGGTCGGTATGGAGTCCTCCGCCGCCTCGGCCGCCCGTTGCGCGGCCGGATATCTCGCTCGACCGTCTTTGATCTGCGTAGCGTTCACTAAGCCAAAGATCGGGATACCTAGTCCTCTCATCGCAAACAGTCGAGAATGCGAACTGTTCGTAGTATCGTGACTGTCTTAAGCTGTGCTGTTATGTATGCTCTCTGGACCTCACCAAAGGATCGAACGACTATAATTGATTGCCACTGATCCCATAATCCAGACAAACAATAGGGTCACTGACGGCGGCAACCGGACTGCAGACTCAGCTCCAGTGACTCAGTGCGGTCTGTCCGGTTCTGGGGAATTGTGGGATGCGGATCAATTGTGATGGGAGTCGATAGTTGGGGCCCACGAGTCAGGAACCATTGGGTCAAACACCGCACCCTCGGACTCCATATCGCAACTAGCGCGAACCAGGCTCCACACCTCGATCGACTTTAGACATCGCACATCACGGCATGCACAGCGAAAGAACTGTCAGGCTGACCCGTTGTGACGTCGAAGACACTCTCTCTGAAAGGCAGGCTGCATCTGTCAGCACAGCTTGTACTAATGTCGAGCATCCGTCGATGCATAAAGTGTGGCACCATGGTGCGGCCACACTGAACGGTTCTCACATCTACTACAACTCAATCATGAATAGCAGCGCCAAGAAAACCACCGACACGGTTCTATTTGGCCTCGGACTCGGCGTCTGGCTCGAACTCGGTCTCCTCGGATACCTTCATGCGACTTTTGCCTACATCGTCCGACGCACGACAGACTACGTCTTGAAGACTACGATATTCGAGTCAGGTGGGTGCCGGGCTGGTTTCACCACGCAGGAGGTACCCACTACCACGGGATCTGCGTACTGTATATGTGCATCTCGGGACTGGGTTGGGCACTGGAGCATGACCTAAAGCTCTCGTTCGTGATGCTCAGCGCTTGCGTGGCTGGACTTGCTCTGGCGCTCGTGCGCCGCGCCCGCGACGCCGGAGTCACCTTCCACTGGCCGTCGAGTCGGTCGCAAGATTCTCCGAGTTCGACGACGGAGGAACGGGCTTATAACCAAACCACCTTCATGCACCATCCCAATCACTTCGGCGTGTACATCATGCTCTACATGTACGCCGTGTTCGCCCTCGTACAGATTGGCGTCATGCTTTTGCAAGTGAAGAGGGCGTTCACGGACACCTGCCCTCACGGCTTATACGCACACGAGTCCGGGAGCAAGAAAGTACATTGCTTTGGCCCCGCCTACGTTCAAATGTGGGCTACGATTCAGGTAGCGTTAAGCCTGATCGTGATTCCCGCCGCGTGGCTTGCTGGTCGATTGCTTTACTGTGACAACTTCATTCCGGAGATCGTGGTGAAGCTTCCGGCGCGTGCTGTCGCAGGCTAAGTGGAACCTTCCCTCAAGGGATGCCGCCCTTGTATGCACTTGCTATCTAGCTCCGGTTTGTAACCTTGAATGAATTGATCGTTGGCAGACCGATGCATTGCGGAGTGGGCTCGTTCCACATGTTCGACAGATGGCCGATGATTGCGATAATCGGCGACTTTTCGGCTGGCCGGATATCAGAGACCACCGGTCCGGATCTGGATTCACCGAGCAACCTGCACCCTGCGAGCTCTCCGAAACGTGAACGTTGCCCAGGAGCTTCTACAATGCGGACAATGCATGGTACAGGATACGATGAAACGGCTGCAGCTGTCAGTGAGCGAAGGTTTCGCTCTTAGCGCTGAAGGCGGTCTCGGATTGGATCACATGATCTCGGCGTTTGCTGAGAGATGACAAGCACCAGGGCTTACTCTACGCAACTGCCTGACATTTGTGCTCCGCATCGAGGATTATCAGGCCGATCGATCTACATGAGCACTAGATTACTCTTTCACATAGCCTGCTTCGGTGTTTGCTCCGATCAAAGCTATGAACAAGAGGTTACAGGGTTCCGGGGTTTGCTTTCGGACGTCAGAAAGCCGACCTCCTCAGGACAGACCCGCGTGCCATCCTCAGCCCTCGTTCTTTCTTTCCTGATGTTTGGTCTGCTCCCAGGGCCGAACGCCGATATCTCTCGCAAATGTTCCACCCCCACTTGTGCAAAGCCGGATGTCGCATCTTCCTGAGGAGGCCCCGCATGGATCCCCCACTCGGCAAGACTTGCGGTGTCTACGACCGAGGTCGCAATCTCCAGATGTGAGGCTGACGTCACCACCTGACACTTATCTGATCTGCCCCCGCCGAATCGGTTTCTGCTCCGCGTCGAACGGCCGTGTCAGCACTATGCACAGTGGACAGCCGAAAGCCCCGACGGAAACTGACACACCGACAAGCGACAGCCGACAAGCGGGCAGATCCGCGAGCGGCGATCTCCTGCCCTGCACTATTTGCAGGGTTTGTGTTCCAGGTAGCCAAGGATGTCACCTGCGCTCCGTCGGGGATCGCCAAGCTATGCCTAAGCCTTCGGCACAACGGCACATCGCGTTCCTGTTGCCAGGAATCGATGATTAACAGCACAACACAGCATGCTGTGCGCGAACCGCATCGGCGACCTCTAATCGTGAGACAATAGCGAGCCTTCTAGCGTCCAAGCCACCGGACGCCACCCCAACGCCAATCAAAGCAGCTTACGTCCTGTGACCAGATGCTGACCAACAACACAATCCAGTGCCCAACACAAGCGCCGACTTCCCCGCTCGGCCCTCGGAACGGAGCAGCATCGCAAGTGAGACACACAATAACGGAAGCGCCGAGCTCTCACATTCACACTGCCCACCTGTCGCTTGCCCGCTGCCTGGCGGCAGGCGCGTAGGAACAGATCGAGACCTAACTACCAGGGGCGAGTACGTCCAGGGGCACCATGCTTAGCCGAGGTGGCCGCGTGCACACCAGACACCGCAGTCCCCACGAGATGCAGATCGATACGACGCAGCGAGGAAATGACGGCACCTGGCGACGGCAGTCACCTGATCGGTGACTTCGGTAACTGCCCACTTGCCGGCTGTCGGACCCGTTGAGGTGAACCGTGGGTATTATATAAGCTGGGCTTGCATCGCATGCACTTGGGAACTCCCCTGCAACCCGTCACATCACCTAAAACTCCCACTTTCATTATGCCTGACGGAGTAGCTCTCGCGAAGAAGGCGATCGCTGCGCGCGACGCGACGATTCCAAAGGAGTACGCTCTGCCCGAGTCGCTCTTCCCCCTGCCCAAGGACAGGCGCGACTTGCTGCAGCGCTCCGGCCTGCTGGACAAGAAGGAGCTCGAGATCGTTAACCAGGGCGTTATCCCTCTCGCCAAGGCCATCGCAGACAAGAAGTACACCTCGGTCGAAGTGACTAAGGCGTTCATCAAGGCTGCCGCGATTGCTCAGCAGGTACGTTCTCACCTCCACCTCCACCTCCACTTCTTATCTTGCTGACAAAGGCAGGCGACGAACTGCGTCCTCGAGCTGTTCCCGGAGGAGGCGCTTCAGCGCGCCAAGGAACTGGACGACTACCAGGCGAAGAACGGCAAGACTGTCGGTCCCCTCCACGGCGTCCCGATCAGTATCAAGGATCACATCCGGCAGAAGGGCCATGCGGCGCCATGCGGCTTCCTCTACGCTGTTGACCAGATCGCGGACAAGGACTCGCACCTGTTCGCAATCCTGCGCGAGGCGGGCGCTGTACCTTACTGCCGCACCATCAACTGTCAGGCCGTCATGCACCTCGAGTGCCGTAGCGCGTGGGGCGCGACTCTGAACCCGCACAACGTGGACCTCGTTCCTGGTGGTTCTACTGGTGGTGAGGGCGCGCTTCTCGCTATGCGCGGCTCGCCTCTCGGTATCGGCTCTGACATTGGTGGCTCCGTGCGTTCGCCCGCTGCGGCATGCGGTATCTTTTCGTTCAAGCCGTCCATCGGCCGCGTGCCCAACACTGGTGCCGAAACTCTGTCTGCTGCGCCTGGATACGAGGGCATCATCTCGACCCTGGGTCCCATGGGTCACAGCGTCGAGGACCTTGAGCTTATCATGAAGATTGTCGCCGACGCCAAGCCCTGGAACTACGACCCCAGCCTCCAGGTCAAGCCCTGGCGCAAGGTCGAGCAGAAGGGCAAGCTCCGCGTTGGTGTGCTCCGTGACGACGGGGTTGTCCGCCCCGTTGGCTCTGTCCAGCGCGCACTCGACTATGCCGTTGACAAGCTCAAGAAGAACCCCAACTTTGAGGTCGTCGAGTACAAGCCGTACAAGTCGGAGCGCTCGTGGGAGCTTATTGTGAGTAGAGACAGGCTTTGGAAGTGCGATCAGACCGATAGGGCGCCTGATCAGCTGAAGCCTTGGGTCACAGAGCTGACGCCCAGACCCACCTGTACTTCCCCGACGGCGGCAAGCTCGTCTACGACTCGCTGGCCAAGGCTGATGAGCCTGCCGACCCGATGACCGACTGGATCGTCGGCCAGGGTCGTGCGCTGGACCGTGATGAGATCATCAACCTCGTCGCTGAGCGTGACGCGTACCGCATGGAGGTTGCGCACCACTGGCAGGACGCCGGCATCGACTGCCTGCTCTCGCCCGTCGGCCCCACTCCTGCCCCTCAGCCATTCACCGCCAAGTACTGGAACGTGAGTTGCCCATTCCACGCAGAAACTGACAGCAGTACACGTCATACTGGAACCTGGCCAACTACCCCGCTGGCGTGTTCCCGACTGGCCTCAAGGTCGACAAGCAGGATGAGAAGGACAAGCAGGACGGATACAAGCCCCGCAACGACAAGGAGAAGGAGATTTACTCGACCTACGACCCCGAGGTCGCCCAGGGCGCGCCGCTCTGTCTCCAGGTCATCGGATACGTTGGCCACGAAGAGGAGACCATCGACGCAATGAAGAAGATCGTCGACGCCGTTACCAAGTAGGCGTGCGACAGGGTGAACAGTGCTGTAAGGGGAGATGTCATTTGGGTCAGAAGTGCCCCCACGGGGAATCGAACTTGCAAAAGGGTCGCTGTTCTACTGACGAGCACTTACTGTGTCCCAGGTGAGGAGTAGGAGTGAGGCCCACCCGATCGATGCATGAGACCGCGCCAGGAACTTGTTCCGGAGTTCTGCACGCATGAAGAGCATCTTAACAGGCGCGCAGTGCGACCAGGCGGCGAAGTGTCTGCACAGCAAGATGGTAGCGCAGGGTCCGACACGCGACCTCGCACCACGCCCCCCGCCCGGCCCCGTGCCAGTGTGACCAGCCATTTCCCACACCTCCTTACCACCACAAAAGCCAAGCTTGCGTCCTTCTCGCACCTCCAGAGAGCGAGCAGAGCAGCAAAAGAGGCACCAACCGGGATTTGAACCCGGGACCACTTCCAAGGATGATTCATCCGGATCGTAAGAACCCGAAGGAAGTATGATAGCGACTACACCATTGATGCCACGTGGTTTCTGACGCTCTCATCGTGTTCCCCGCCCCAAGAACCCTCGAAAGCGAGAGTTTGAGGGCGTGGACGGATGGAAAATGAGTAGTAATCTCGTGAGGAGATGTGGTGGGTAGGTGCGGAAGTGGTGAGCGCCACACGGCTGCGGTGTGTGATCGGTGTGCTTGCGCCCCCTCACTGCGACGCTAGAGCATCCTGGGCAAAGCGACGATCACTGTCTCGGGGGTCATTCGGCAGTCTACAGCTGCTTGGTGCGCTATTATATTGCCGGGAAGGAATCTTAGGCACGGGTGTAGGAAGGCGCCACGCAGAGGGGGTAGGCACACCTCTAAGTAAAGCTCCCAGCGTCTCGTCAGCGACAGTTTGGGCGTTTCAACTGCTGCCTCTCCTCTCAGTTGACTTGGTCGGGGTGAAGCTTTACCATGAGTGAACCTGCACGTCACGAGTGCTGTAACCGGGTTGCGTGATGAGCTGCTCTTGCTGTTTACCTTTGCTGGAACTGGAGCAACACTGAGACCCAAAGCGCTGGGCAGTTTTCACTCAGAGACTGAGCCGTGTTGTTGGAATAGAAACGAGAGATACCAAGGACTTGGCGTATGATGGAGACTCAGATAGAAAGGAGCGTCAGTTGAGGAGTGACCGCCTCTTCGGCAATGCAACATGTCTAGTCATGCCGCAACCAACTGTTGATACCTACCTACCTAGCGGACTTCCGAATTGCTGTTTTCTCTCAAGTGATGTCCGCGCCGGTCATGCAGAGCGCGGCGCGCCGCTCGGCGGCCGTAGCTTGCATCGCAGGCAACCCTCAAGCAAGTAGCCCGCCAGAGGGTACCAGTTCTTGAACGGTGTCCCAGCGTGGGTTCGCACTGGGTTAGCAGTTCTCGGCACAGTGTCAACGTGCGGTGATAGCTGGAACCTCGCGGCTGAGTGACTCTCATGTCTATCAAAGCAGGGAACCGTAGTCGCACTGTCAGTGAGTCAGTACGAAGGCCAGTGGGGTCTCGCAGCGGCTCAAAGGTAGAGACTGGTGTAGGTTGGTAACTGACAGCATGTTGATGATGCTTCGAGCATGAAGCATGCGTCTCGTAACATTGAGGCAAGTAGTGAGGCCACAGCGTGCAGCCGGAGGATCCCCCTGCCACGCGGCGCCAGTATGTAGCCGGTAGCGCTCGAACACGTGGCTCGACGGCGTCCCGACGGGTGACATGGTGGGTGGTGGGATCGGAGTCGGTGCCTTCTTGCGGCGCCCGGGATTGCAACGAGCCAGTGAGCAGCAGCGGAACTGTGGACAAGGTCGAATATCGCCGTGCCGTGCAGCCGAGGTCCGTTGGATGCCGTGTCGCAGTCGCTTCGTCGCCAGGCACACTGTCGCAACCACTGAGTGTCGGTCCTCCAGACTCGGTGCCGTTTCATGAACACAAGCTTTGGCAAACGTCACGACAAGCTGGCCACAAGCTCACATCGAGTTCGCAAAAGGCTCACGCTGCCTCCGAATCGACACGTTTCAGCGCTTGTTGTCTCCCACGGATTCGGAGGCAGTCGAGTGCACAACGCAAATGCTCATCAGGCGATTGGCGGGCTGGGACCGGGACGCTGACGGTGACAACCAGGCAGCGAGAGCGCATTGGACGCGACTTCTGGTGATCGAAACTGATCTGGGTTCCCGGACGGGAGCAAAGAGTGGCCACATGGACTGGTCTGGAGCTGGCTGTCGCCAGTGAGCTTATCACGCTTGCGACGTTGGCGCCGGCGAGACGAGACGCTGGCAGGTGGTTCGCACGCGGAAGCCACTGCTGAAACGCTGGCCAGGCCATCCCGATGGTTGTTCAAAGTGGAACGGCAGCTGGACCGACATTCGATCAACTCGGGTCCGGGGGGCCGTTCCAGATACGGACAAATATGGGCTGGGGCTCAAGGCTGCAGCAGCTACGCACTCAATATGAGGCTCAGAGCTGGTCTCACGTCTCATGCCACCCGTCATGCCCAGAACCTCACTCGTGCGCTCACGCCACCAGCGCCGGAGGCTGGCGTCACCAATAATTGCCCAGGCAAACCGAGGCTGCATGCTTCAAGCGCACGACACAAACGGCGGCAAGCATAAGTGAAGGAGAGATGAGACACGATCAAGTAACTCCAGCCCATAATGTCGCACGATGAAGGACTACTCAGTCATAGTCACGCATACCCCCGCAGACCGCAGATGTCATTCGGCAGACGCTGGAAGGGGGCGAGAACTCTAGGGGTAGGGTTCCGACATGAGGAGCCGGAGGTGGAGGCCAGGGGGCCGGATCGTGACCGCCTGGAATGAGGCTGAAGATTTCTAGACGGGGTCTAAGGTAGAACGAGCAATGTAAAAGCGCGTGCCTTGCGCTGAACGCAGCAGTTGTGCGCACGAGGCCTTTAGTGAGTGCTTATGATGTCAGTGCGGTGACAGCGATAAGATTTGTGTCACTGATAGGAGATGAGAGATCTTAGCACTCCCGGGTGTGCAGCCTGGTGGGTCCAGATCTATTCTCCTCACCCGCGGGAAGGCGAGGGATGTTAAGGGGGACAGGGGAATGTCAGCACAATGACAACTTGAGGGAGGGACGAGAACAAGTCCCAGTGTTGTGGGACGCTCTGCCCGCTCGTCAAGCCTTCGTACTCTTGGGCTTCTCTACGCGTGCTTCGGCCTCGTCCGTGTCTCCGCTCCAGTGCCTTCTGACACTCGTGCTTCCCCAGTTACATCTGTGTCACGTGATGAGAACCCCCACCTCCTTCGGTTGCCCTCGATCGATCACTTGATCGTGGACAAGGGGCCAAAATCGCGCCTCGGAAATTCTGATACGCACAAGCCGCCCATTGTCAGCCCCAGAGAGGGGAGCGATGGGCCCATCATGTGCCTCTCGTAGAACAAACCGAAGCAGGACATCCGACGCCAAATTGAGCGCGGCCAGTATCGCGTGGCAGACAAATTGTAAACAAACCGTCGAAACCGGTGAAACGACCGAGCGGAAGCAAAACCGCGCCGGGGGTCTATCGCGAGCACTGTCGAAGATACACCCACAAACTCAACTCTCAAACGTACAAACCTTATCATCCTGCGACGCTGCCCCGCAATGCCTCTTGCCTGCTCCCAGATCGCAGTTGTTTCGCTTGCCCACCACGCTAGTGCTTCCATCCTTCGTTGATCCGGCGTATCCCTGTTCGGAATGATCTCATCTACCCCCCAGTAATGTGAAACGTGATGGCCAGCGTGTCGCTCGGCTCCACCGCTGTGGGATCTCACATCGATCAACCGGTACCAGTATGATCTCGTGTCCTCTACGCCCGCCAGATCTCCACCGCTATGTCGCCTTGGATACTCTCAAGTGAAGGTTGGCCGCTGGCACTCGAGTTTCCAAGTTTCATGTTGCTAAACCAGTTGAAACATATTAACCTACGACTGCAAAAGTCTAAACCAGCATCGTTCTCACGTCGCTCGGCACTATCCACGAGCTCGTTGAGCTATGCAGCGTGCCTTGTCGTCCCCATCGTCTTTAACTTTGCTATCAACCCAAGGCATGGCGGTTGTAGTCGAGGCGAAGGTGCTGAACGTACGATTTCACCCCCAGCATGGGTTCGGCTCGCAAAGCGAGACCGCTGTGCTACCTCGTCTCGCCCACATCACACTACTGCCGGCCAGCCGCTTGTGACACAGCCATGCTGTGATCACTAGGACCGCCCAGACCATGCATGTTCCGGTGCCCGATAGACGCCTTCTGTTACGGTACCGGTTCTAGGAAAGTTTGGTCCCCTGGGTTCCTGGACGCCTAGTGCGTGGACATGGTTGCCTTCCATCTGGGCCCTCCGCCAGTGTCAGTTGCTCTCTAGGATCTCGGTAGGACCTCGCCGCCAGTCATCAGCGCATCAATCGCACGCAGCGTGTTTGACACACGAGTTGACGGGATCTCCCTTGCCCCAACCTTGATCTTGACCGTTGTTCTGATCATCACCGTCATTCCGGCCCCATTATGCTTCAGCATGGCCGACCCCGTGTCTGCGGCGTCGACGTTACAGCCTGTCCCGGGTATCGAAACGGCAACACGCCTCTTCCAAGCACGGGGGTTGATAACCGTGTTGTTCTTCAACTTCTCGGCAGCGTCTTGTGGTCTGAGTGATATATAAAGACCCGGTGGACCGTAAGCTATGCTCCTCGTATCCAACGGACTTTCATAACTCGACAACTGACTTGACGAGTTAAGGCTTCGACTCTGCCTTTGTCTCTCTTTCTATATCCACTTTCTTTTATCACTTCATCACCTCGACGTCATGAAGGTCTCTGCGCTCATCCTTGGCGCGGCCACTGCCGTCACCATGATGCCAGGTGCATCGGCCTACCCCTGGCTCGACCCCGATCTTTCTGAGCACGATCGTCGCCAGCTTCTCTCCGGCCTCTCCAGCATGCTTGGAGGTGGCGGTGGCGGTGGTGGTGGCGGTGGTGGTCTCCTCGGTGGTCTCCTCGGAGGGGGCAGCAACCAGAACGGCGGTTCTAATGCCAATTTCCTCACCGGCCTCTTCTCCGAGGGCAACTCCTCCGGAGGACAGGGCAAGGTCGGTCTCGGTGACCTCATGAACGCCTTCAAGGGTCTTACTAAGACCTGGAACCCGGCCGACATCCAGCGCCTAACCCAGGCCTTCCAGGAGGGCTCGACGGAGGTTCTCAGGCGCGCGGCTGCCAACCCCAAGTTCCCCGGCTGGCCCAAGAACCCCTTCATGGACAAGACCGCCGCCGACATTACCCCAGAGATGCTCTACGACGCTTATGGTCTGTGGCGCGGCGACTCCTGTGGTGACCTGCGTCCTTGGGGCCGCAACTCCTCCGGCTCGGCTGACTTCTCCTCGCGCAAGACCCCCTTCCGCGAGGACCTTACCCTCGAGAACTGCGACTGGGGAATCTGGGGCCCTGCCGAGAACGACGAGCACCCCTACCAGCCTGCTCCTGAGGGCGCTATGCGCGGCCCTTGCCCCGGTCTCAACACTATCGCCAACTACGGCTACATCCCCCGCAACGGTGTTGCTACCGTGCAGGAGCTCTTCGTCGGTGTCTGGGAGGGTCTCTCGATCGCCCCCGACCTTTCTTCTCTTCTCATCATGGCCGGTATCATCTTCAAGGGCGACATGAAGACCCTGACTGTCTCCATCGGTGGCGCTGTCCAGAACGCCGGTGTCGGTATCCGTGAGCACGGTATCCTCGAGGGCGATGCTTCAGTCACTCGTAAGGACCTCAAGCTCGGCAACAACTGGGCTGTCGACGAGGGTCTCCTCAACCAGTACAAGCAAGAGATCGAGCAGTACGGCAACGGCGATGTCACTCCCAAGGTCCAGGCTCAGTCTCGTCTCCGTGCCTACACCAACTCCAAGGAGAACAACAACGGCTTCGACTTCAACCCCCTTCGCGCGATCGTGGCTTATGCTGAGTCCGGTTTCGCCATGGAGGTCTTCCGTGGCCAGAACTCTCGCCAGACCCCCATCGACATCGACCACTGGTTCCGTCAGGACAAGTTCCCTCCCTACTGGTCGCGTCGCTCTGTCCCCATGACCGCTGCTGAGATCATCACCTGGGGCATGCTCTTCTACAAGGAGGCTCCGACCAACCCTGGCATGAACTTCGGCTTTGGCTTCACCAACTTCCCCGAGAGCTTCAACTGGCTCGGCACCGGCACTGTCTCCTCGAACGGATGTAACTTCCAGGGCTTCATCAAGACTCTGCTCCCCAACGGCTTCAGCGCTATCACCAACTCTGAGGCCATCGGCGGACTCAACGAGTTCAACTGCCAGTAAGCGCGCATTGCCGCCATCGCTGCCGCTGGTCCGGCCACCGGAGGCAGCACCCCCAAATATTAAGTCATTAAATGCGCGGGTCACATTTCCTCGCTCTAAACAGTAATCCTGTAGTCCTATTACTCTCCTGCCGCTCGGTACCTTCAAATGCACGTATGCTTTGTTTCGTTACTGCACATCCGATCTGCAATCTGCTTCGCTTGCCCTGGCACTACGTTGCCCGCGCGGCCGTGCGATCTCGTCGAGACATGGTGGAGGCGGAGAAATAAGCCTCGGTCCCTGTTTCGTACATCAGATATCAAGGTGGTTTCTGCGAAATTAAGTCGTCCCCGGCTCCCCACACCCCACCGAACCCCTTCCCCAGGTCCCCTCGTGTCAGCGCTGGAAACGCCCTGGAATTCCCCTGTTCAACGGCAGTGCGCAGTGTGCGCTGGAGGGAGGTACCTCTGCCCACCGCATCTGACGTCGCACTACGTCTGCACGCGGCCACACGATTCGGCGGCGTACGCCTTGGAGGACCCGGAATCGAGCAGGTGGTCGAATTGGAATCCGCCCAAGGCACTGGACCTCAAGCGGCCCCTGGTAGACACCTTGCCAGCGTCCTGATCGATGCCGGCAGCACTGAACTCTGCGGGCAGTGTATCGGTGCATGCTGACAAATGCATGCTCAGAAGCAGACGGGGGAAACGGGGGCCGGGACACTATGAAACTCTCCAACCCAACTTCTCGCCGCGTCTGGACAATCTCATGCATGCCTGACTCATCTCATGCTTCGGGCGGTACTCACATCAGCAGACATCACCACCACTCAATCACTGTTCAGCGAAACACTGGTAACGGCATAACACCCCTCACCATCGCCCTGTGCGGGCACGCGGGCGTGGCCGCGCTCGCCAACGCCACCATAGACTGTATGCGGCGCATGCAGACGAATACTTGGCCCCAGACTGGACCGGGACCTGATGTGGAGTCAACGTAACGTGATAGCGGGGGCGCTCTCCTCCAATGCTCCGGGCAAGGTCAGGACGTTGCCATGTACACAGCCGCGGGATTCAGAAGCTTCAGGACGTTACCGCCGAAACGAAGCACCAAAGCAACGGATTAACCCTGCCCGCGGGGACCGAGCAGAGGATGACAGCTGAGGGGAGCCGCGGAATTGTGGCTGAACGCCATCGAGTACGGACAGGTCCCGGCGACAGTCAACGGACGTCAGCCAGCGATGTTTAGACGTCATTCTCGCTATTGAGACTGATCACGCTGGCGGTAGATGCCATTGACCGACGTCCATGCAATCAATGCTGAGGAGCCCAGCTGCACTGACGACCAGCGCTGTATCGACCAAGAGTGAACACTACCTGGAACAAATGGCAGAACCTCCGATAGCCTCGGAGGCGTCCGACTGCACACTGGGAAGCATGCTTAACCGCGCCTTTGATGGCGTACTGAATGCCCCGCAGCACTTGGTCCAGAGAGCCTCTGGGATCCCTGATTCGGCTTAGTTCACTCACTCCAGTTGGAACAGCATTCATACAGTAAAGCGGAGACCGACAATCCAGGGGCGCGTATTCGCCACCTTCGCCCGGCAACGCACACCATGCTCGACTCTACATTCGACGGACGCTTCTATACATGGGAAAAGTATCCCGATTGGAAGGGCAAGTTCGGTTTCACAATGGCGAAGTGCCCGGAGACCGAGGAAACTCGACTGCATGTCGATAGTGGCGGGAAGAATGCTCCACGGCGTGCCGTGGTACGCTACCGCATTTCTCCATCGGTTGAGGGCAACTTGATACAGTTGCGGCGCAAGCTGTCGACGGATCCTTTCTTTTTCACCAGCTTCGTATACTACGATCAAAAGGGCAGGACGTGCGAGATCTCCCGCACTGAACTCGTAACAGCGTTTTACGCTCTGGTCGACCAGTGGCAGACGCTCTTCGATCTCGCATGCGCTGTGCATGCCGTTTGGAACGATACACCATGGCTGGATGAGAAGGGTGCTCCACTCTTGCCCAACTCGGAGGAGACCATTCAGCTCGACAACGAGCTGCTACCTCAAGTGCAGCTCGTCGCAAGGCACTGGGCACGGCTCTCAGTGCGCCTGTATAGGGAGGCTGAGTACTTTTCTCAGTACTTGCAATACTTCCTACGCCTAGAGCGCAAGGGCAAGATGCCTGCGGCGTTCTCACGGTACCCAGGAGTCATCTCTAAACCTCTCGATGACAAGTTCCAGCGCAAGAGGAAAATCAAGGTGAAGCACGGCCAGATCGACGACTGGGCTTTCCGCATGGCCCGTGTCGTCAATGACGGATTGCAGGACCATTGGCCCCGCGTGCAGTCCGTACGGGATAACACAAGCTGGCTCACAAACACCCTGCTCCGTATTCTCGAGGTCAAAGGATATGATGCCGAAGAGGAGGTCAAGAAGTATTATCCTCCGTTGAATAAGGATAGACACGTTCGCCTCAAGAAGAAGGAGTGAGTTCCAACCTTAAAGCGCGCTGACAACTACAGCGTGAAAGTTTGGTGGCTGTACGAGAATCTTGTTCCGGACTACCACTGGTCATCGGGATGGGCTCATCACGACCCGGCACACTGCCGCCAATGGAACGACCCTATACCCAGCTCCCTACCCAAGCCCGTAGTGCGCTCCGCTGAGAACGCCAAGCCACCCTCGGCAAAGAAGAGCCATAATGACTTAAACCCGATGACAGAACTGCCACCGTACAGTGCACAGACGGAGGGGGCGGCGACGGCCAGCTAAGTTCCGTAGAATCCGAATGTCATTATTGAGATAGCATAGTCCGGCAACGAATGGGTATCCAAGTTCGACCGCCTCTAGAGAGGAGAGATGGCACCGCAGTCTAAATTATCGCTGCGCATGTGTGAGAACTATTGCACTCAGTTGGTGCAGCTTCTGAGGCTGAGATCACATATAGAGTCGATTGCCGAGGTAGGCAGATCTCAGTCCACAGATTCGAAGCGAGGTGGAACTGCAATCCAGCGTATAGCAGTGCAAAGACCGAGGCACCTTGCAAATGCACGGCGGACACTTCCTCACCTCCGCCGAATGGAAGGGAGAGCGACATGGCACCTCCGCCCTACATGCACTCTACTTGGGCTCACGATCTGTCCACGTGGTTGGCACTGGAAAGGCCGGATTGACGATGTAAAGCGACCGTGGCACCTTCTCTCGTGTCTTTGATATGAACATATCCGAGTCTTGCGTAGCGAGTCGAACAATGATGCAAGCACATACTGTTACATTGCCCTGCGTATACTACGCTTTAACACAAAGAGCTCAGTGCGTTGATGGCTTGTGTGGGAAACTGCGAGCGGCTGCGCCCTCACCCGTTACAGTTCTCACGAGCGTATCGACCCAGCGTCGATGAGCTAGCTCCATTGATGGCGCTGTGCGCAAACGAGCTACGACGAGTGCCGAGGTTCGCAAGGTGTGACCATCTCATCCTCGCTGTTCACTACAAGAGCAGAGAAACTGGTTTTCACGTTCACAACCTCCTCAATATCATCCATGCGGAACTGGCACAACGTTATCGACAACGTCTGGACCCCATGGGATACGTTCCCCAACTGGCACTCAGCGTATAGCTTCGGGGAACGACCATCGCCATACACTGGTCCCAGTGTGCTGTACATTGACAGCAGTCCTTGCTTAACCCGAGGCGTAGTCCGATACCAGGCGGATCCCGAGGCACCTCCGCCCGCTCCTCTTCCAGGTGTCCTATCTCGACTGTTCGGGCGGCGTTGGACACCCTCTCACCCTATCTACTTCACGAGCTCTATATGGTACGACAAGGGCGGTTACACCTGCGAGTGCACCCGCGAGGAGTTGTGCCGGGCTTTCCACCGCCTCGTCGGGGACTGGCAGGAGCTGTTCACGCTCGCATGCGCGGCGTGGTCTGCGTGGGAAGCACCATTCCTAACCTACTGGGGCCAGGAGCTGGACGTCAATTGCCCCCAAGTACGCGGGCGCAAGAACCAGCTCTACCACCAGATAATACGGGATGCGAAAAGATGGAGCGCCTGCGCTACGGAGCTGTGGCGGGAGGTGGAACTGTTCGCGCAGTATTTGAGCCGCTTCGCCAGAATGGAGAGCTCAGGGGAGATGCCCCATGCTTTCAGCCGGTACCCAGGCAAAGTTGGTTGCAAACTTTCAGCCCGTTTCTCCAGGCCTGTGCGCATGAAAAAGACAAACGATATCGACGACTGGGTGTTCCGCTTCACGAAGATCATCAACCAGTACGAGAGCAGCTGGGACAAGCTTCACGGGATTCACAGCATGAAGGCGGTTCTGGTCAAGATTCGTACCGACATCCTCAATGCGAAGGGCTACGGACCCAGGGAAGGCGCGAAACACCTCAACGCCGTCACTGGTGTTCGGCATGTCCCGCCACCACCGGAGAGGTAGGTTTTGATTGTGCTCCTGGTGAGCTGACATGTCAGAAGGAGTGACCTGTACCGAGATCTCGTGCCCCAGTATTGTCTGGTGAAGACGGAGACTTACGCAGTTGCAGCTCCTCCTCGAGCAGTCTCGCAGTCGCGACCGCCGCCGCCGCCATCGTATCAGGCCAAAAACAGCAACGGGATTGCAGTCGAGACACCTCCGCCTCCATACACTGCAACGCCACGTGCATGAGAGGTTAGCCTCTCCTGACGGAGGATCTGCATGTAGGATTGGGCAGAGGGCAGCTGCGGTGGTCCACGGTGCGCAGGGTCGCGCAACCGCGGCGCATACCTTCACGTCCTGCTGGGCCGCATCGCGCCACCCCTCGCGCCCGTTCTCCCGAAAGCATTCAGCTCCTGCGGCGTTCTTCCCCCGATCCCGAGTCTGGAACCGCCCCCGTGCGACCTGCAGGCTCGGCGTGGGCTTCCGCTGCCCTCAGCGGTGAGTGATCTTCGATTTCTGTATGAACAGTATCTGAAACCTTCAGCCCTAGCCTGGCTCCTTTGGTGTGGCGGCCTCGTCATGACGGGAATGCGCCTTCATAGGCTCCAAGAGATTTCGCAGTTGTGAGTCTGTGTGTGTGTGGTACCACTCTAACTCCGAGGGCGATCGCCATCTGCGGTGTCATCGGCCATCGTATCGGGCACCATATGTTCAAGATTGCGGCCGCCCACAGGGCGGGCCGCTGGCCCACGGCACAGGTGTGGGAGTGGGGTTGTCTGTACGCAGAAACCCCACTCGACCCGCTGCCCGCTGCCACGACTACCCCAGCGGCAGTGGGTCCCGTGGCCGTCACCGCCCAAGACGACCCCTCGGTGACGGCCCCGGCCCGCACCTCTGCGGACGACGAGCATGTGCGCTCCCCTCTCCCATCGCCCGAGGGCGACACTGAGGAGGACGAGGGCGACACTGAGGAGGACGAGGGCGACACTGAGGAAGAAGAATGCCACCCGTAATTTTGATACCCATGCAATGCAAAATCAAGCTGCTTGCGCCGCAAATGCGAACTTCGAGCCTCCGCATGTCCTGTTATTGGCATTCCAAGGCAAACCCTCGCACTTGCCTAACGGTTTGGCAGACGGGCAGGAGATGCCAGCTGTGTCCTTCTGGCTGTGAAGAGGAGCCCGTTGTACTCGTGAGAATCGCTTCAGCGCAGCTCGGGCTGCCTCGCAGTCAAGCATTGACCCCAGATACTCCGTCATCCCTTTTCGAAGTTGCTCGAGTCGCTGGGGGGCCGTGTCGCACTGTAATCCGTCAGCGTTGGGTTGCCCGCAAGACGAGCTACTCATCTTACCAGCCGCAGCATGTGTCTTCATCAGACTAACTTCATTGCCAGCACACTCTATCGGCTCATACTGCACGCCGTAGTACTGCATGACCCGTGATAAAGTCCCTATTGCGTTCGGTGACTTCCATGTTTAAGACAGTCTGGGAAGGAGCGTTTGTTTCAAATCGGCTGCGCCGGTGCGAATCACATTGCACGGCCATGTCGTCGTTGAGCGCCCGAGCAGTAGCGGAAGCCGTCGCGGACGATGGCTGCTTTAGGTCGGCGCGGGGCATTTCCACTCGTTGACTCGGTCAACCTTTCGATGAGAGCAGCCAATCACATCAGCGGCATGTCATTTTTCACCCTCACCCCCACTTACCGTCCATGGGATATTTGACCGAGTCAAACTCTTTTTACGTCGGCGTTCTTCCCCACCTCCTCTCATGTCACTACCACCATGGCCATCCCCAACGACATGGAGGAGATTCATGCCCTCCGTCACTTCAACCGGTACTACACTCAGCGCATTTCTGTGCTGAGTCCACTGCACGATGCAGACCTCACGCTCGCCGATAACCGGGTGCTGTACGAGCTCGCAAACCCTCCCGGCGAGAGTACGGCTTCCGCAATCGGCAAGCGCCTCGACATGGACGCAGGCTATCTCTCCCGGGTCCTACGCAAGCTCGAGAGCAAAGGGTACGCTCGCCGAGAGCAGAGTCCGAGGGATGGACGCACTACCCTCCTCTCCCTCACGGATGAGGGGTGGACGGAGTATCGCGCGCTTCAGGAACGCACCAACGCCGAGATTGGAAACATGCTGGCCCCCCTGTGCGCCGAGAGGAGGGAGCAACTCATGCAGGCCATGAAGACTATCGAGAGTATTCTTGACCCTGTCACGGCTCCTGTACCTGCCACTGCATCGGCACCAACGTCGCCTCCCGCCAAGCGAGCCAAGCTGAGCGGTACGAATGGCACCGAACCCAAGCCCGAGGTCGAGCTCCGCGACCTGCGCACCGGCGCCGGCGACCTGGGCTGGATTCTCTCGGCTCACTCAGAGCTGTACTGGAAGGAGAAGGGGTGGAACGAGGAGTTTGAGCGGATTGTAGCGAAGATCGTTGCCGACTTCCGGCCCTCGGACCGTGAGCGAGCCTGGATCGCGACCGTCAATGGTGAGCGCGCGGGATGCATCTTCCTCGTCGCCTCCCCTGGAGACAGGAACTTCGCCAAGATCCGCGTCCTCCTCGTCACCCCTCAGGCAAGGGGATGCGGACTCGCCAGCCGCCTGGTGGATGCTTGCGTGAGCTTTGCAAGGGAGAGGGGATACGCCGGCATCGAGCTCGAGACGGAGGCAGGACTGGGACCGGCAAGGAGGCTGTACGGCTCGAGAGGTTTCAACAAGGTCGGAGAGGAGAGGAGCGTGGCTCCGAATGCGTTTGGAGTGGACGAGTTCGTATCTGAGAAGTGGGAGCTGGTATTCTAATGCATCACATCTACCTTCTACTCTAGTGCCAGCGAGAGTTGCATGCTGCCTCAGCAGCGGCGTGGCCGTAGTCCTCCCACCGCGCTTGGTTTTCAACATTGTCGGAGATTTTGCGACCCCTGAGAGGGACGTTTCGCCCAACACACCCAATGTCGGCCGTGCCCGTGAAAGTAGTGAGGGCATCGTTGAAGGTGATGCGGCCCATACTGGGATCTGGGTCGATCTCGCCGGTCCCAGTCTCACAGGTGCGCATGCACAGGTAGAGGCTCAGAGGAGCACTTGCCGAGCTCTCAGGGGCGGATTCGGTTTTGGCCGCCTTCGACGGACGACGATCTTCAGCATCATCAGCCTTGCGTTTCGTCCCCAAGGAAATGCCGTCGTTGTCCTTCCGTTCATGATGGCCATTGACGCTTTGTTTCTGGTCTGCCTTTGCAACCTCGTCGGCTGTCTCGAGATCCCTCAGCTTCTCCTCGCTGAAATAACTCAGCGCCTTGCGGTCGGCGCTCAGCATCATCACGCCCTCATAGATGCCGAAGTTGAAGGTGGCCTGGTAGAAACCGGCAAGAGGGGTGCTGGCTATGGACAGCTGGAGGTCACTCACATCGTCCCACCCGTTCTCGATCTCGGGGCAGTCGATCACGTACGTCCCAGCAATGGTGGTTGACTTCTTAACGCGGGCGCAGTACTCTGCGTGTTTGGCTGAGCGTTCCTTCATAACTGAGTCTTCCACATCAGAGTCATCGTCGTCTGAGGCCGAAAAGACATCGTCCTCGAAGTCGTGTTCGACGGGCATCCAAATGGGCATTAATAGGAGTTAAGTTGAGAGGTTTTGTGAGTGATGGGGATGAGTGAGCGGGAGCCGGTAGGAGAGCTTGCTCTTTATTGTTGAGCAGCCCAGCCCAACAATCAGGTTCTGGCCTGTTAGTGCTCTGCTAGTGCGCGCGCCTTCTCGATCTGCTCTGCTCCCGCGCCTCTTGCGCCTTGGCGCACGATGAATGCAACCTACTGGGGCTATCAAGGCTGCGAGCATGGAGGCGGGGCCCCAGCCGAGAAAACGCTCATCGTACTTTTCCCGACACCTTTTCAGTTCTGTGCTCCCCACGCACCAAGGTCAAGTATGCATATAGTTTGCCAGAGGATGCTATTGACTGATTGCAGCCCCCGAATCACCAACGGGCGGCCGCACTACAGTACTCCTCCCACTGCAAGCGCAGCCCAGGCTTACTCGAGATCTTGCGGCCGGTGTAGGGAACGTCATCGCCCTCGTACGTCATGTCCGAGATGCCGGCGAAGGTGGCGAAGTTGGGCGAAAACCTGATAGTGCCTCGCTCGGGTTCATAATTCATGTCCCCGCTGTTGACGCACCAGGAGCGCATGACAGTGTGGTAGACCAGCGGCTCAGCCTCGGACTCTTCGTGAACCTCCTCCTTGGCTTCCTCGCGATCCCCGTCGTCCTCACCATCCTCCCCTCCATCCTCTTCCCGGTCCTCCTCACCATCCTCTTCTTCATCCTCCTCCCCGTGCTCCTCGCCATCCTCCCCGGTGAAGTAGGCCAGAAGCTTCCTGTCGGTGCTGAGCATGATGGGTCCCATGGTCCTGCCAAAGTTGTACGAGGCCTGATAAACTCCAGGCAGCGAAGTCGTGCGGATTGAAAGAATGGGCTGATCCGGCCATGGGTCGTAGAGGGCTTTGCAGTCGATCAAATAGGTGCCTACGATGGAGGGGCTGTCTTTAGGACGGGCGAGATACTCGGCATGCATGTACGCTCGCATGCGTTCGCGTACGGTGTCGGGCTCGTCCTCTTCGTCATACGCTGTGGAGGGAGTGTGGGCTCCAGTTGAGGAGTAGACGTAACCGAGAACTATCCAACGGTGCGCTTGGTCGTCGTAAGCGATCTCTGAGCCTTCCAGGACACGCATGATGTGGAGATGAAGGGTGGTGAGTGGGGAGATGGAGGAAAGAGAAGCTTTGTCGCTGTCAAAAACTTATGCAGGCTTCATCAGCCGTCGTCAGCGGAAGCACCGGTTCGCGCAAAGAAACCAGGCTCCAGCTTCCTGAGCTAAAACAGCCTGCCATCGCGATTAACACTTCCATCGAGACTACTGAGATAACAGAATGCGCTTCAGACACGAGCGGAGAGGTCGTTTTGGTCGTTCTATAGTTAGGCTCATCTTGGCGTGCTCTGCGCCGTGGGTAGTGCAGTGATGTCGGGCTTTAGTGAAAGGACGAGTTGGAGGCAACACCGGCGGCTGGATAACCTTTCCCTTGTATCGGAGCAGTGAAGCGGAGGTTCCCTTCGGTCTGAGATGTTAGAAGAGATGTGAAAGCGCAAGTTCACCAACTAGGGATAACCGAACTTCTCACAGTGGGCTACCAAATATTGAATGCTGGTCTCACCTGAACTTCCAGGCTACCCGCACGTGTACCGAACATTATCAGTGGAACGGATCTGGGCAATGCTGTGCATTGTCGCTGATCAGGTCTATAAACAGAAGCATCCGAGGTGATGTCAGCCTGATACTCCCCGAGGCATGCTTTTCCACGGTTTCCTGAGTGTGCACATGCTGACCGCCGCAAACAAGGCCACCGGGGTGAGGGCCGAGCCGGCCGATAAATGCAGATTACAGGACTACCGCCCCCACCCGCAGACCTCCTCACGCTCAGCGTAAGGGCAGCAGTACATCGATACCTCCGTCCTGACAGTTGGCAGTGACGTCGCCGTCTCTGAACCCAGTGTTGCTCGTTCGGTGGGGAGGGCTAGGCGACGCAGATCCAATACAAAGAATACGGCGCGCCACAGCCACCGCCATCGGCGACGCCACTTTGCTCTGGGTCTGGGCTCTGTGAGTCAGCACTCCTCTCAAGGTGACGATCGGTGATCTAAGACCGCGGATACAGGCAGGTGTAGATCCAACCACGCGGACTCTACGCTCAGCAGAACAGCTATACAGGTCGTCCAACTTGTCGGCTGTCACGTGCGGCTGGTACGCGTCCACTCGTTAGACACTGTGCACTCGCTCGGGGCCAGCGGGCCAATAGTCTATTTTGGACCCAATTTGCTCCGCTGTCGGAGCAGTGCATTGCTGACGGTCGCTTCGCCGTGACCAACGGTCGAGCAGAGGCCGAAACAGGCTTGCACAGATCTGTGCCGCGGCCCCGGCTACGCCGACGCCAGGAACTATCTGTTCATTGACGATCAGGACCCTCATGACACCGAGGCCTTCGAGGTCGACGAGGGCTGCATCGAGCTTGCGCGTTGCCTGTGAGCTGCGCGGGCCATTCCGAGACGGACACTTTTCGGATGCTGCTTGCGGACGCTGTTGGCGAGGCAGGACGCTGGGGCATGCAGAAGATCTGACAAAGACTACGCCCTGCCCGACGCAGCTTAGCAAGGTTGCCCGCAGGGCTGGGGTCGGCTTGGTAACGTGTTCACGTCGTCGCGGGCGATGCACGATGGTCATTGGTCGTAGATGAGAGAGAGGAGAGGGAATAGAGGGTCCGCCTGCGAAGTTGGGCCAGGGACGCGGCGGCGGCATGAGGCGGGGACCCCGGCATTCGGTCATTTCCGAGCCGGATCGGAACTCTCCCATCGCGCTAATGGCGCGTAGCTAGTGTCCGGCGTCCGGGGCCCGGCGATTGACTTCTTGGGTGTGGTCTTGGGTGAGATGCGGCTTTCATAACGTGTTGCTTGGTGACAAACCCCAGAGCATCACCTGCGATCAGCCCTATTTAGTCTGCCTGCCAAGCTTGTCAGGCGACCTCTCTTCCCCACATCTCTTTCCCTTCTCCCACCCTCTTCAGTCAGACCAAAGCAGCACCATGACCGCGGACAACAAGCTCGACTGGACTGTGAGCCTGACCTCCCCTCACCACTGATTCCAGACCTTCACCAATACCATCGACGGAAAGCCTTCCTCGACTGCCAAGACTCGTCACGGCATCAACCCCGCTACCGAGGAGGCGTTGCCCGAGGTCCCCGTCGCGACTCAGGAGGATGTCGACAAAGCCGTCGCTGCCGCCCGCCGCGCCTTCCCCGCCTGGGGCAAGACCTCTTGGGACGAGCGCGAGAAGCTTCTGAACAAGCTCGCTGACGCTGTCGAGGCCAACGCCGATGGATTCAAGGACATCCTTGTTAAGGAGACGGGCAAAGCGATCTCGACCGTCGAGATGGAGTTTGCCAGCACTCCCCGCTTCATGCGTGCTCTCGCCTCGCTCCGCGTCAAGGACCAGGTTCTCGTTGACGATGACGAGCACACCGCTACCCTTCGCCACATGCCTCTCGGTGTCGGTGCCGCCATCGTCCCCTGGAACTGGCCCCTGCTCCTCGCCACCGCCAAGTTGGCTTCTGGTCTCATCACCGGCAACTGCGTCATCGTCAAGCCCTCTCCCTTCACCCCGTACAGCAACCTGAAGCTTGTTGAGCTTGCCGCTGGTATCTTCCCTCCTGGCGTCGTGCAGGCTCTCTCTGGCGGTGACGACCTCGGCCCGATGCTGACCGAGCACGACGGAATCGACAAGGTGTCCTTCACCGGCTCGTCGTTCACGGGCAAGAAGGTCATGGCCTCGTGTGCCCGCACCCTGAAGCGTGTCACTCTCGAGCTTGGCGGCAACGACGTCGCGATTGTTTGCGACGACGCCGACCTCGCCAAGACCGTTCCCGTCGTTGGCACCATGTGTTTCCTCGGCTCGGGCCAGATCTGCATGGACGTCAAGCGCGTGTACGTCCACGAGAGTATCTACGACAAGTTCAAGGCTGCCCTCATCGAGTTCTCCAAGCACATCAAAATGGGCGACCCCAACGACGCCGGCACGACTGTCGGACCCATCCAGAACGAGATGCAGTACGGCAAGGTGCGCGAGATGTACGAGGCCATCAAGGCCGAGGGCTGGAGCGCCATCGTGGGCGGACAGACGGACGCGCGTGACCAGTTCCCCAAGGGCTTTTTCATGCAGCCCACCATCATTGACAACCCGCCCGAGAACTCGCGCATCGTGCAGGAGGAGCCTTTCGGCCCCATCGTTCCCCTGCTCAAGTGGAGCAACGAGGAGGATGTGCTGAAGCGCGCGAACGCGAGCAAGATGGGCCTCGGCGGCAGTGTCTGGACCAAGGACCTCGAGCGCGGTCAGCGCCTCGCCTCCCAGCTCGAGTCTGGCTCGTCCTGGGTTAACTGTCACTTCAAGCTCGACCCCCGCGTCCCCTTCGGAGGAGCCAAGTGGAGCGGCCTCGGGCGTGAGCTCGGCACAACCGGTCTCGAGGGCTGGCTCGAGCCCCAGTCTCTCTGGGTTAGCAAGCTGTAAGGGTTGTTAGTTAAGGGATGAAGTACGTTGTATCGGAAGTCATGCAAACTTGTTCATAGCACATCATCTCCAGCACAACAAAGGCTGTGCGTGCGTGGTTCTAGAGAGCGGCTCCGAGGGAACGGCTCCGAGACGCTGGACATCGGAGAGGGGCGAGGCGATCGAGGGCGCACGGCGATCAAGGGCGCAGGGCGCAGGTTTCAAGCATCAAGGCGTTGTGGCGGAGCGGTTAACGCGGTTGACTAGAATGGTCTCTCCTCGGAGAGGGATTCCGGAAATCAACTTCCTTCGGGAGCGCATGTTCGAATCATGTCAACGTCGTAGCTTTTTGCGTGTGTCCTGGTTGGCTTTTTGGTGCTCTTATGCATCCTGGGTGCTGTAAAAGGGCGCCGAATGCCAAGAATTGTGCGTCAGAGGGATTTGTTGGGCATACGACGACGTCGGAGATGAGCGCGGTGAGGTGGGCGGAGTCTATTTTAGATCGGTTACTTGGAGCCGGCGTCCATCGCCATGCTGATCCATGACCCGACCCATGGCCACTTGCGCCCTGCATCTTGCCCGACTTATGAACGAGCAAGGACAATGCTTTACCTTTCAGCATCGCTCATCTCACCACCATGGCACCCGTAGCAGCAACGAGCACGACGGGCTTCTTCCAGGTCCAGCCCGACATCCCAAACCAGTTCATCGAGGACGCTGCGCTGAATCGCGCTGCGCACCTCTTCCTAAGCCAGGAGCTGCGTGAACAGCGTTCGCCCGACCTCATCCGCTTCGCCGATTTCCTCAGGACGCCCGAAGTCTGGTCCTGGGTTGCCAACGCCGAGCACGACCTCCCTTATGTTTCCGGCAACGGCTTCCGCGCCTTCGGCACGCCCAACCCCGACCCGCTCGTGACATCTAACGGATGGAAGCAGCTGCAGGCGGCGGGCATTCGGGAAGGCATCGTTGCCAACGGCTACGAGCACGAGCTCCAGGCCTACGCCCGCGTGCACCAGATGCTGAAGCTGTACCTCTGGAACCCCGCTTCGGCCACTGTCACTTGCCCCTCGGCTATGCAGGACGGAGCCATCTCCGTGCTCCTCCGCGAGCTTCTGCGGAAGGACGTCCCAGGGTACACGGCTGATCAGCTCCCGCTGCGCAAGAAGGTCTTTGAGTCGGCTCTCATGCGGCTCATGAGCCGCGACCCTTCCTACGCCTGGACGAGTGGGCAGTGGATGACAGAACGCGCGGGTGGTTCGGACGTGGCCGGCACGCAGACCGTGGCGACGCATGTCGGCCTGGGCGGCAACGAGGTCGACGGCAACGGACACCCGCTCGGCCCTTGGTCCATCGACGGCTTCAAGTGGTTCAGCTCGGCGACTGACAGCGGCTGCGTCGTTCTCCTGGCCAAGACGGACGACAGCGGGCGCCTGAGCTGCTTCTGGGCCCCGACGCGCTACTACGTCAACGGCGTCGAGCACATGAACGGCATCCGCATCCAGCGCCTCAAGAACAAGCTCGGCACCAAGTCGCTGCCCACCGCCGAGGTCGAGCTCAAGAACATGCGCGGCTGGCTCATCGGCGAAGAGGGTCGCGGCGTCGTGCAGATTGCGACCGTCCTCAACATCACCCGCCTGTACAACGCCGTGTCGGCCATGGGCTCGCTGGGCCGCGCGCTCGGCGTCGCTCGAGCCTTTGCCCGCATCCGCGAGTTCCCCTCTCGCAAGCCGCCCAACAATGTCCTCCGCACCCTGCCCCTGTTCGTCAAGACGCTCGCGGGCGTGACCCTGACGCACCGCGCTGATACGCTTTTCACTGCATTCGTGTCGGCGCTCGTCGGCGCCGGTGACCACCCCGGTGCGCCGTCGGCCCCTCTTGTGCCCAACAACCCCGCGCAGGTGGCCGCGCTAATCCGCATCCTTACGCCGGTCCTCAAGTCTTCGACGGCGAAGCACAGCATCGCCGGCGTGCAGGAGTGCATGGAGTCGCTCGGCGGCGTGGGATACATGGAGAACGTGGAGAACCCCGAGATGAACCTCGCGTGCCAGTTCCGCAACGCAAACGTCCTCGCCATCTGGGAAGGCACGACCGACGTGCTCTCGACCGACACGGTCAAGGTCCTGCACGGACGGGGCGGCAAGGCGACCGTTGCTGCGCTCGACGCGTGGCTCCGCTCGTCTCTTCCCGGCGGTCCCGAGTCAGAGGAGGTCCTCACGGCCTGGTCGCGCATCACGCAGCTGGCCCAGCCCCAGCGTAAGGCCGAGGCGATCGCGCGCGCCCGTCAAATCACCTTCGCGCTCGCGGACATTGTTGCCGCGACGCTCCTCCTCGCCGACGCCGCCAGTGACGGAAACGCACTCGCGCTCGCCATTGCTCAGCGCTTCGTGCGCCGCTCGGCTACCTTCCCCGGTCTGCAGGCGGACGAGGACGACTGGGAGAAGGAGTGCAAGCTCGATGCGGCGATCGCGTTCGAGGGCGAGGCCAACTTGAAGGCTAAGGGCAAGTTGTAAATGCACTCGCAGGAGGATAGTTGTAAAATAATAGCTGGAGCACAGCAGCAGCAATAGCGGAAGAAGTCATGCATGTTTATCAAAGCCAAAGACGTCGGAGATACGCCGGAGCAGCGCCGGAGTGGTTGGTGCGACGACGGCCGACTCGTAACGAGCAAGCCGAGATGGCCGATCGCCGAGTGCGCGATTTAGACTTTTTCGCCGGTACCAGGTCGTAATCTGATAACAGCGCTGGGTACGGGGTGTTGTGCCTTCGCATGGCGTCGGCCGAAGTTTCATAGGACACTATAAAACAGTCGTGCCAAGACTGCTAGTACACCATGTATCCACATCGCATCCGCATCCACACTGCTCGTGCACCATGAAGAACATCGTGATTGTAGGAGGTGAGTTGTTACTCCAAGGGCATGGCGCTGATATCCAGGGAGCTTCGCTGGCCATTCGGCAGCCAACACCCTTGCCAAGAGACTACCTGACGACTACCGCGTCGTGCTCATTGACGCAAACGCATTCGCGACGCATCTCCCCGCCATCGTGCGCGCGCTCGTCGTCCCGGACTCAGAGAAGAAGAATCTGACCGCGGACCTGACAACGGCGACAGTGTTTCCGGCCAATTCGCGGCATGTTGCCGTCCAAGCGCGCGTGGTGGAGTTGAAGGAGAGCAGTGTAGTCCTCGATCGGGAATGGGAAGGAAGCACGGAAGTGTTCTTCGATGTAGGTCCGCGAAAGGAGAGAGTAATGATCATGTCTGATGGCAGAAATGCATCCTGGCGACGGGAGCCTGGCAGGCGTCCCCGATGCGGCCTGGGCTCGGCGCAACGCGGCAAGGATACCTGTCCGAGCTGCGCGAGTCGCAGTCGTCGTTCGGAAAGGCAGAGCGCGTGCTCATTGTCGGTGGCGGAGCGGCTGGTGTCGAGATCGCAGGCGAGCTGTCGACGCACTTCCCGGAAAAGCGGATCACACTCGTGCATTCCCATGACCGACTCCTCGTCACAAAGGGCTGGTACCTTGTCCCCGAGTGGGTGTCGGAGCGTCTTCACACACAACTGGAAGCGCGCGGAGTCATGATTCATCTGAACGAGCGCGTGGCCGAGAAGGGAGGAGCGTACTTCACGTCTGCTGGCGAGGTAGTGGCCGACTATGTCTTTTGGGCTGTCGGCAATAAGCCGAACACCTCGCTGGTGCACCCCGATCACCTCACCTCTACGGGAACAGTGATAGTCGATGACCAGTTCCGCACCCCTCTACCTGGCGTCTATGCCGCTGGAGACGCCTGCAGCACGCCGGGGCGGAAGACGGCAGGACTTGCAAACTGGGAAGGCGCTGCCTGCGCCTCGGCGGTCCTCGCCCACATGTCTGGAAAAGACGCGCGACAGCGAGCAGGCAAGATCAACAATGGCATCCTGATCCCTCTCGGCGACGGTCGACCAACGAGCATCCCAGGCGATGGGATTGGGGCTGGAGCCATCGATCTCGGCTGGTTCGGCATCTGGGGTGCGCCGCAATGGATGCTGCGCTGGTTTGCGAAGGATTATTTTGCGAAACGCGCTTTCGGAGGCATGTTTACGGGACACGAGGACATTGGGTTCGAATAAGAGCCATCTTCACACGTTGGACACGTTGTAGCTCCTATACATAGTTGCAAGAGGGGGAGAGTGGGGTGACATGCATAGAGTGCCCGCGGTCTGCGGAAAGAACAAAGGGCTAGAGGTGGACAAGTGGGGCTCACCTCGGGGCAAGCCTCGGTTACCGCGGTGCGCCACCGGTGCCGCCGCCTAGTCCACAGCTACCCGTGACTAACTCGACACGCATCAAGCCATGTTGATAACGCCCATTCACCGCGTTCGGGGGGAATGAAGAACATTGTCGTCGTAGGCGGTGAGTCACCCACCCTCCTTTGGTTTCCTCGCTGACATCTCAGGTTCCTACGCCGGACATGCAGCTGCGAACGCGCTCGCGGGGTCGCTCTGGCGCGGCGACCGCGTGGTTTTAATTGACGCAAACGACTTTGCCGTCCACGTCCCGCTCGTTCCCCGCTCGCTAGTCACTGGCGAAGTCAGGTCCGCGCCGCTTCGCACCTCCACCGTGTTCAAACCGGGACACCATGTCGTTGTGCGCGCGCGCGTGATTGCGGTTCGCGATGGGGAGGTGGAGCTCGACACCGAGTTTGAGGGCAGCACACGCATCAAGTTTGCCGCGTGCATCCTCGCCCTGGGATCGGCTGGAATCGGCAAGCCGGAGCTTGGAATGAGTTTGGAGACGTATAAGCGGGGGATTGAGGAGGAATCAGAAACAATCCGGGACGCAAAGGAGGTGCTCATCGCTGGCGGAGGTCCGACAGGCGTCACGCTCGCCGCAGAGTTGACACAGGCTTACCCCGACAAGCGGCTCGTGCTCGTCCACTGCCGGCAGTATCTGGCATACAGCCGGAGAGACGGAGAGTCTTACCAGCTGACCGAGGGGCAGAAAGCGATCTCGGAGCAGCTCTTCGGCCCATTATGCGCGCGCGGCGTTTGGATTCACGTCAACGAGCGCGTCAGCCCAGACGGGAAGATGCTCGAGCTCGTCGGGACGCCCGTCACGGCGCATGTTTTGTGGTGCGATGGCCCAAAGGTCGCGGAGCGCACAGACCTTCTCGACCGGAATCTCGTGGGGCCGGACGGCCGCATCGGCGTCGACGAGTACTTCCGCACCAAGATGCCGAACGTCTATGCTGTTGGCGACTGTGCCGACACGGAGGGACGCAACACGATAGCCCAGGCCATGCGGGAAGGAGCAGCGTGCGCGCGGATCCTCCTTGCTCACCTTGGGGGGAAGGGCGCCGAGTACGACCAGATGGAGGACGAGACGTACGTCGTTCCCCTCGGGCCGAAGGGAGGGACATACCCCCGTGCCGTGGACGGCTACGAGGACGGCGCTGGCGCAGGCATTGTCGATTTCGGCTGGCTCGGCACCTGGCCCGCGCCAGATTGGTATCTCACGCGGATGCACCGCGACTACTTTCACTCCTCGTTCCGGGGTCTGTTCAAGGGAGCTGAGAGTGTGTAAGAGTTTCAAGATCAAGAGGTAGTTACATTTTGTACTTATGTGTCTGTCTATATGTCATGGATGTCTGAATGTCTAGTCTAGTTCACGTAAAGGTTCTCGGGAATGCGGAGGCCCTCGTTGATGCCGGCAGCCATGGCGCGGCCGCCGTCGACGGTCAGCATGGCGCCGTCCATGTATCCTCCGGCGCGCGAGCCGAGCATGAGGATGGGACCGACAATCTCGTGCGGGAGACCGGGGCGGCCGACGACAGAGCGGCCAGCAGCCTTGACGGCGCCGTCGCTGACGTCGTAGTTGTGTCCACCCTCCTTGGCGCTGGTTCCCGTCATCTCTGACGGGAAAATGCCGGGGCAGATGGTGTTGACGCGAATCTTGCCGGGAGCGAGGCGGCCGGCGAGGAGGTTGGCAGTGTGGAGCGTTCCAGCCTTGGAGGCAGAGTACGAGACACTTCCGACTGAGCGCTGGAGAATGATACCGGCAATAGAGGCGATGACGACGACAGAGCGAAGAGTCGACTTGAGGAGGAGAGGGATGAAGGCGACAGTGGTGAAGTAGACACCATTGATGTTGATCTGGTTCGTGTAGTTGAAGTCGTCATCGTCGTGGCCTTCCCAGAGCATCTTGGCGACGGCGTCAATGTTGTCGTGGTCCGTCGTCGGGTTCTTGTACTGGCGCATGACGCCGGCGCAGTTCACGAGGACGTCGACGACATCAGTCTGCTTTGCGACAGCGTCGTAGAGCGCCTTGCAGCCCGCCTTGGACGAGACGTCGCCCTGGATACTGGAGCTGTCAGCACGATGCCAAGAAGCCGAGCTGGGTGGATTACCCGATGGAGGGTTGTAGATACTCACGGAACGACGTCAGTCTTGCCGCCAGCGGCCTTGATCTCCTGCACGGCCTTGTCGAGGACCTCCTTGCGACGGCCAGAGATGAAAACCTTGGCACCGTTCTGAGCGTACGCCTGAGCGACGGCTGCGATATCAGCGCTGCGTTCTCCTCATTGTCGCCAGCCGGAGTCTCGGCCCACCAAAACTCACCCTTGCCGAGACCGGTGCCTCCGCCGGTGATGACGACGGTGAGGCCCTCGACGTTGTAGAGGTCGTTGATGTTGAAGGAGACGGGGTCGTTCATTGTGTCGTTTTTGTTCAGTAACGTGTCAGTGGGAGGGAAGTTGACGTCGCAAGAAGTTGTCGAGACCTTTATACGTCGTGGGAGTTGTCTGACCGAGATGCCCGGGATCGGTTACTGTGGACGGCACGGCACAACGCGGCAGAAGCACCCGGCCCGCGCGGCCCGGGTCATACTGCCCAAGATGTGGGCGTTGGTTTAACCGCTCCCATTGGTCATTGCCTCTGTCACCATCACACACACCGTCCATGCATACGGACTCGACGGCCGACACGGAGAGACTAACCGTTCAACAGGCTATCGAGTGCATAGAGCATCGGTGCACGGCGTACAGTTGTGGACTGTACGGTCGGCACTCGCAGGGGATCGAAGTGGTCTCTCGGCTACCCCCTTTCACGAGTACCGCCGTGCGGCGGGCAGCAACAAGAAGGAGGTGCTGGGACCCGACCTCGTTCAAGTGGAGACCTTGGACCGCTACTGCTGGATACTAACCGGGTGGCCCCGCTGTTGCTGACGACAGACAACATTCCTACATTGCGCAGCAACTCGCTGCCGAGATCCCCCACGATCTCGACGTCATCGGTGTCTTGATTCCCACTGGGCGAGCTGCCCGAAGGTATATCAACTGCCTTGCGCAAACAGACAACTGAATCACTGTCGCCACTGCGCCTTCGCTTACCTCTTCACCAGACCAGCAACTACACCATCACCATGGCAACTCTTCCGAAGCGTGTCCTGATCGCTGTAACTTCAGCTCACGCCCCGTTGTACGAAGGGGGCAAGGAGACTGGGCTCTTCATCACGGAGGCCCTGCACCCCTTCAACGTCTTCCGCGCCGCCGGCTTCCAAGTCGACCTAGCGAGCGAGACCGGCAAGTGGTCCCCCGACTGGCTCTCCACCACACCCGAATACCTCTCTCCCGACGAGAAAAAGGAGTACGAGGGCCCGTCCGAGTTCCACCGCGCGCTGAAGGAGATCAAGAAAGCGTCCGACTGCCGCCCGCAAGACTATGGCATCTTCTTCGCATCTGCGGGCCACGCCTCGCTCATCGACTACCCCGACGCTACGGATCTGCAGCACCTCGCCTCGTCAATCTACGCCGACGGCGGCATTGTCGCCGCCGTCTGCCATGGCGGAGCCATCTTCGTCGGCGTCGTGAACCAGCCGGACCTTACGGGCGGGGACGCAATGGGGTCAGGCGGGCAGGGCCAGCCCATCATCGCGGGCAAGAATGTGACGGGCTTCACGACCAAGGGCGAGGAGGAGGAGGGTGTGCTGGGCACGATTCAGAGCTGGAACAGGCCCACGATCGAGAAGATGGCCGCAGACCTCGGCGCAACGTACGTCTCTCCGCCTGGGCCGTGGGACAGCTTCACGGTCACAGACGGACGGATCGTGACGGGCGCCAACCCCGCGAGTGCGACAAAGACGGCAGAGGATGCTGTCAAAGCGTTCGACAAACTCAAGGCCAAGAAGGACTAGGGTGCGGCTGAACGATGGTCGGAAATTCAGTAGGATAATGGTCACGGTTAGAGGTCATGCAGCAAGAATCATTGGATCATGCACTAATGTACAATGCATTGGTACACTAAGAGTACAACGGGGTATACCGGGAGGTGGTATCGGCGGCAGTCGCGGGCGCGTGCACGGCGGCGGCAGGGGCCGGGTGGCGCGGTGCGTGCCGGCGGGTGGCAAGGGCCAAGGTCCGGATCAATGTCTATAGCGACGTGGTGGTCGCTGGTCTATGTTGTGGGAGGCTCAAAAGAGCTCGATCGTGAATACGAGATTACTTGCGCGGAGTCGTCGTCGTGCGCGCGGCAGAGGAGGCCTGGCGCTGCTGCGTGTAGTTGCGCAGGGAGTGGACGAGCTCGGCGAAGATGGGCGTGGGGTGGTTGGCCTGCAGCGAGCGGCGGCGGGGCTGGGCAGCCTGGGTCGTGATGGGAGTGGTCTGAGCGATCATTGTGTCGTGGTTTGTGGTGTTCGCGTTCGTAGAGATGGTCACGATGGAGAGAGTAGTTGTTCTGCTGTTGTCTGATGAGAACCAAGAACAAGAAGCGCTAGCTGTTATATATGCGGTCGGCCCATGGCCGCAACACCTCGCGATACTCGCCGCAATGAGCAGATCCGTCGATTGACGTTCCGGCGATGCCCGATTGCCCAGGGCTTAGTCACGCCACCCACCGCTCACCTCATCCCAGGGAAATCTTCGCCATCCACACCCCTCAAAGCGTGCTGCTTGTCCCATCAGCCAATCACAACTCGTCCATTTGTCACTGCACGGAAGGCACGACCGTGTTCTGGGCATGCCATCGCGCGCGATTCCGGCGCTTATGCCAGCGTATGCGGCCGCCTCTCAATGAAGATCTGCGCCGAACCAATCACAGCAGATGCATTACACACCACTGGACGGCGGCTTGATTCCTGCGAAACCTAACGCAAGGGTTCGTGACTCATCGTTCACTAGGCGAGTCAGGCGCGACTCGGATCACCGGATCTGCGATGTTCCTGCGTTCCTCCTGGTCCTGGAGGCACATGGCACACGATCAGTTTCGATCCCCATGCTCTCGATTACATTGCTCTGCTGCCCATTCGTCAAGGAACCATTCATCACGGTCATCATCACAAGACACAACTGATTTTTTGACACTACTACTTGTCACAACTTGTTATTATAAACCATTTCGAGAGAGGAGAGGAAGAAAGGAGAGTATATGGTCAGACATCCCATGCTCACGCGCCGCATCGGCTGGATCACTTGAAGTTACCAGGGTCGGGGCCAAAGTATCCCTTGGCGGGGATCTCGAGGCGGGTGCATACACCGTCGCAGCTGTCCGCGTCGGCGTTGTTGCCCCACCAGTTGAGCTCGACTTCGGGAATGTTGATGCCGAAGAAGATGACAATGGCGGCAATGGCAATGGCGGCACTCCACGCGGCGGCGAGGACGTAGTTGTACCTGGACCAGAACTCGAGGTAGCGTTTGCGGATGTAGATCCACGACAGCCACGTGAGCCAGACCGAGGGCCAGATGTAGCCAATGTTGTAAGGAGCGCCCGAGAGACCACCGATGGTGATCATGACAGGGTGCAGCTGACGGAGCCAGCGCTGGCGCGGGAACTTCTTCTGCGCAAAGAACGTGAGGACAGGCAGCAGCAGGCCGACGGGGAAGCCGATCAGGAGGTAGCGGTAGTTTCCGTTGTTGCCGAAGAGACGCTTGGGACCGATCGTGCCCCAGAACACGGCGGCGGTGAAGAAGGTGTGCTCTCCCGGGCAGCTGAAGTGGAACGCGGCCTTGGGCGTGCACACGTCACGGAACGACATTTGGAAGTTGAACAGCGACGTGCACACAAAGGTGGAGACGAGGGTGGCGACGACCTGGGCAATGAAGGTGTGGCGGGGGGCAATCTTCGTGTAGTGGGCGAGCTTGAGGTCGGACGAGAAGTAGAGCGCCTGGGCAGTCGTAATGTAGCCGTACATCTTGAAGTAGTTCATGGCAAGAGCCTGACCGGGGACCATAGCTCCACCGATGAACTCAGCAAGCACGTTGAGTGTGACCTGGAGACCGGTGACGGCGGTAATAAGACCAAGGGGGACGACGAAGATGAGAGCCATGATGACACCATAGATGACGACAGCGGGAGTGGTGTTGGTGGGGTAGACACCGACACCGACCATACCGAGGACAAGGGCAAGACAGAGGATGATGAAGTACCACCACTCGGGGACCTCGCGGTACGCCTTCATGAGACGCCAGTGGATGTCCTCGGCGAGGTTCTCCTTGAGCTCGTCCTCCTCCTCGGCCTCAGTCTTGGTGCGGCGGAAGGAGCGGCGGATCGAGCGCCAGAACGACTTGAACGAGTGCGCGAGCTCGTGACGGTGGTAAAGGATCGCGTACGAGATGGCGGCAGTGTAGGCAGCAAAGAACCAGAAGTACGAAACAAGCGAACCGGCACTGAGGTGTGCCTCAGAGTACTGCTGGTACTTGTCGTAGTCGAAGATACCGCGGTCGTCAAGGATGCGGGTGACGTTGAAGTTCTTGCCCGTGTTGTCGCGCACCTTGTTCGTGTTGATCGGGAGGTAGCCAGTGTGCAGCGTGTTGGTCCAGTAGAACGCGGCAGCCATGATCGTGAAGAGGATCATGCCGAGGAACTGGTTGAAGACCGAGAAGAAGGGAATGACGAGGGGCGTCCAGCCGTTGAACATGAGCGTGTTGAAGTCAAAGGTCATGATCGGGTTAACACCGAGACCGTAGATGCCCGAGACCGAGTTGAGCGTCTCGTTCGACTTGTCAATCCACGAGAGCCAGTTGAACTGGCCGAGCGCCATGAAGATGAAGCCCGGGAACCACCAGTAGATGAACATAGAGACAAAGGCGAAGAGGAAGAGCTTCATGCGGCTCCACGAGTACATCTTGCGGAAGGGGCCGGGGACGGCAGTCGAGTCGTCAGAGTGGAACGCCTTGTTGATGGCGAGCGCGGTCAGAGACGAGGGCCACACACAGAACGAGGGGTAGACGATGAAGCGGCGGCAGAGACCGGCGAGTCCGTATCCGACGAAGTTAGAACCGAGCGTGTTCAAGATCTGGTAGCCCCAGTTCTTGGCGTAGGCCTGGTCGAAGAACATGGGCAGAGCCTGGGTCAGGACAATGTAGCCAGTGTAGGGAGTGTTGAACGCGACGGTAGCCATGATGGTGATGAGCATGTGCTCCTTCTTGTTGAACGGGCCAGGGTTGAGCTTGCCGGAAGGCAGCGTCTTCTCGAGCAGCTTGCCAGCGGGCCACGCGAGCAGCTGGGCGACGTTGGAAGTGACGTAGACCGAGGGCATGCGCACGGAGAAGAGCTGGTTGATGAAAGCACCAGCGCCGGCAAAGATGATACCAATCGTCCACACACGGAACGTGAGCGAAGGCATCGTGACATCGTCCCAGTTGTCGACGACGGCACGGACTTCGGCATAAGGAGAGTTCTCAGCCACGAGCAGCGCCTCGAGCTTCATCGTGTAGATCAGGTCCTGGTACAGTTCGGGGTGCTCGCGCACCTCGGGGTTGTCGAGAAGCTCGTTGATGCGGTCAAGCGTGTCCACCGAGAAGTTCTGGTCGTACTGGTGCATCTCGCGAACCTCGCGCATGATCTGGGGTCAGGCGTGGCAATAATGGTGCTGACTCACCTGCATACACCTGTCGAGGGGCATCTCGTTAAGCTTCTCCTCGGCGGCAGCAATGTCATCCGCCGTGGCAGCGAGGTGCGCCGTCGCCTCATGATGCTTCTCGTCCTCATAGGGCGCGGTCACCTCGGTCTGGGGTCAGTCGATGTCACTCCATGAGGGGTTCCCACCTTGGCGAAGGTCTCATCCTTCTCCTTGCCTGTCGGCGGCTGTTTCTCCAGGATGGGTGGTTGGGACATCGTGGCGGACGATGGGAACAAAGCTGCGCAGCCTGCTCGTTCGAGCTGCTTAAGAGCCCTTCCAACAACCCGCCCCGCGGGCCATCCAGAGGCTATCAAGCGGCCGTCAACTGCCCGTCGACCGCCTATCGCGCAACCCTCATCCGTGGCGCGTATCTCGTGACCTATCACAAGCCCAAGATCCGACCCGTAACAGAACCCGCACTTGGTGGCCCGCAGAGATCCAGAACGCCCTGCTATCGAGCTACCCGCGCTAGCGGACTAGCGATACAATGGTGTGGGGCTAGGAGCCACGGTCCTTGTACCTGGGTTCATTGAGGAGATGAGTAGTGGGCCAGATGATCGCACCGCACCGGAATAAGACGAGCTGACCAGTGAGGAGGCGGTTAGATCACGACAGCAACAGGGAAGAGGCATGGAGCTCAGGCATCTTGCTCGAGGATCCGCGTGAACCTCGGTGAGAAGCGCAATCGCAAGGGCACGACACAGGAAATACGGAACAGCGTTTGGTTCTTGGCGCGGGCCAGCATGGGACACGATGGGACGCATCCGGCCTCTTGGGTGCCAACCGCCCTGCAGGAGGTGGAGGAGGCAGGACGTGCAGATAGTAGTCAGACATGACAGGCGGCACGGGCGGCCCGGCCCAGAGAAACCCAGAGGAGGAACGCCAAGGAGCGATGCCGGACGCAACGGCGACCACGGCGACCAAACTTAGGCACCGAGATCTCTGGCCGCCTCACACATCCCACTCCCTAACTTTGCTCCCTGTAATGCGTGATGCGCGTGAGTTATGCGTAATGTTGAGCGATAACGAGCGCGCATCGCCTCGGGTCTGCCTGGCATGTCCGCATGACTGCCTGACATGCTCCCATGGCCGGATAGCGTCGATGGGGGCCCGGATCATATCGTAAGCGACGTGCGGGATGGAGCAACCTGGTCAACCTGGTGAGCAGGCCGAGGTGGGGATGCGGGGATGGGATGCTCTGAGAATAGTCCAGGAGCCGGCCAGCAGAGCCTGGGCCAGGTAGGCCCCACCAACCCAAGCGCGACTGAATGCAATGCTGGCGTTATCAATGCTGCTCCTAAAGGTCCCAAGGTGTTGAGAACCTAAGATCCGTAAGGCATGGTGCCGCTACGCATGGTGCGCAGGGGGGTGAGAAGGGTGAGAAGAGTGGAGACCTCCTTTGGACGGGCTGCCGTGGGTGATGGGCAGACGCGCTATCCGCAGTGCGGCAGTGGAATAACCCCGGTTAGTTTGGACGGTCAGTTGGATGAGGGATCAAGGGAAGAGCGTCGAGGTGGCTGCACGCGGTTCACTCGGCGACTCGGCGGTGAACCGGCCGGGGAAGGGAGCGTGGGTCGCGTTATCGGCGAAATCGCCACATTGTCTACTCAGGTGCCTTAGCGTGAGGAATGGTTCAAGGCGTCTCGGCTGTTTGTTGGGGTGTGGTCCATTCAGAGCCCAACGATAGCACGACACCATGCGGCCGCCTGACGCGATACACCTCCTCTCGCAAGCCACCGATCCACCGAGCCGTGGAAGCCACCGGCCATGTCGCTCAGCCGTACCTGCGTGCCATGCGGTTCAGACGCCACCACGGCAGCCTGGACCTCTGCATTGTTTCTAAAGGTAAGCGCGCGCAGCAGACTCGGCCGCCGATCTTTTATCGCTCGTTTCGAATGTTTCTGGTCTGCAACGTGAACACGCAGATAGCGGGCTGCATGCGATGTTGGTGGATGATGGATATCTTCGAGTGCGGAAATCGGCCGACGAGTAGGCGAAAGGATGTGGTCGAAGGGGCCGAGTTGACCGATAGCGCGATCGAGGAGTGGGGGAAAAGAGTCGTTGACCCATGTGGAGCATGTGGGGCCCGGATCCTCACGTGAGCCCGCCTCCCCCGCCCTTGTTTGGGTTGCAAAGGCTTCCTCTCCTCGGATCCTCGTCCGAGTCCCCCATCGCATGTCCCATCCGGTGTGCCAAGAAAAGGAAGTCTGTCCATGGCCGTCGCTACCGACACCGGCTTGGACATGCAATCATAGTAGATTCGTGATTCCGTAAATCCGCTCTACTCGGCTCCCATCACTACTTTATTCAGGTGGGACGCCGTTGTCCGCATCGACTTTCCGCAAAGGATCCGTGTCGAGCTCAATCTTCGGTCCGAGCCATGTCGCACGTGTCGTGTGGTCACCAGTCGTTCGTCCCGTGTTTGGGTGGATCAGCACACTACAGTCAGCCATCATCACCCAGACAGACCCTCCTCCACTCACCTCAATGGACCCCGATTCTCGACGAGGTAGTTGAAGATGGCTCCGAGTTGCGCCGCGTTGAACATGTTGACTTCGAACATGGGCGTCGGGTGGGGCCCAATCGGCACCTCCCAGAAGCGCTTCACGTGGAGCTCTGGGAACTCGCGCCGGATGGCTGCGTGCAACTTGCGCGCATATTCCTTTTCGTCGAGATTGTTCGGCTTCCAGTAGATGTGCACGTCCCATACCCCCTCGCCGCCGTACAGCTCGCCATACGCAGGCGACATTCCCTCCCGGGGCGGATTCACGTGGATGCTCGATCCGTGCCCGAGCGGATTCGCGACGAGGTCGTCGGAGAGCGCTGTTTGGGGGACTGTAACGCGCGGTTCGCCGTAGCGCGCCCCCGTCGAACGCGCGGCACTCAGCGCACTCGCCTCCTGCGCTGCGAGCGACATGGTGGATGTTGTGAAGACACAGAAGAACGACAATCGAGGTGACTGGACGAGCTGATTAGACGATTGTGTTCTGACGCGGGGCTGACGTCGGTGGTGACGGAGATGGCCGAGTGCTGACTCGATCGCACCATGTGGTTTCCGGCGGATCCGAGGACGCTATTCTGAGTCGTCCAAGCACTTCTTCATATCTCTTGGCTGGAGAGCATTCGCCATCAGCACGTTGATTCGCAGCATCCGACGCGACGTGCAGGCAGGCAGCCTTAGAGATGACGACCGTGCAACGATCGGCTGACGACAGTGCGTGGGTTGAGGTTTGACGGGATCAGAAATCGAGATCTGGAGAAGAGTTGCTCCGTCCATGCTCGCGTCCGAACAGAACCACAGCTCTGCTCGACCCGGTGGATGGATGAGAACATGGGAGTATGTGTATGCTGCATTCAGCGACGAGTGTACGAGCAACCTTCCTCGGCACAGCATTCTAAGACGACTCACTCACGACTGATCCAGCACCGCCGATAAGCGCAGAAATCACCATGCCGATACTGCTGATAACTCTGACCAGCGTCGAGTTGACCGAACCAGATCTTCCATCCAGACATCCCGGGGCGATGAGCTGCACTGCATACCTACGCCCACAGACTCCAGACTATGGGTTCTCGGATGGGATCTGGTAACTGACCTCGAGGCGCGGTGTGTCGATACTCCGCTCACCGCAGGATGTCTCACTTTGCCCGATCCCTCAACTCTTCGCCTCCTCGCCTCTGGGTCAGATCCCACACACCAGATCCAGTTGCGCACCTTCCTCCGATTCCTCGATCGATGGGCCAAGACATTCCCGGCCTTCGTCCATCACCTGCTGTGCTCAGACACAGATCTCGGAGCCCCAGACACTCTCGCCTTCCTCTCCCAGATCTGGTCACGGTGCGCTCTTGACACCGCTCCCACTCTCCCAGTTTGCACTCACCTCCAGGTCTTGCATATAACATGCTCGTCGGATCCTACTGACTTTCCCATCAACTCATTCACCCATGACCAAGCTCTGGCTCTCTCTCCTCCTCGCGACGACGGCGGCGGCCGGCGTCGTCCCCCGCAGCAACTGGGGCAGCAACGACGACAACAAGGATGCCTCGCATGGCAACGACCACTGGAAGGGCAAGGACGGCAAGGACGACAACGGCAAGCACTGGGGCTGGGACAAGGACAAGGGCGGCAAGGGTCATGACCGCGACGGCGACAATGGCCACGACAAGGGCCACGACGGCAAGGACGGCGATAAGGGCCACGGCGGCAAGCCTGGCGGCAAGGACCTCACCGTCGAGGACATCATGAACCACCCCAACGTCCCCGTCGAGGTCACCTACCCCATCGGCCCCAACACCGGCACCGTCAAGGACTTTATCGACTCTGGCAAGATCCCCGTGTGGAACGGCACGCGCGACCTGCTCAACGGCCAGCTGCCCGCCAACCTCGGCGACGCGAGTACTTCCAAGGCGGGTGCGACGGGCCAGTTCGGTCCCGAGCAGGGCACGAACAGCAACGCGGCTGTGTTTCGATACCACGGATCTGTCGTTGCGCGGCAGTACAACCCAGACCTGCAGCTGAATCTCTCCATCGGAGCCGCCGACTACGAGGGCCGCAAGCTCGACCTGACCGCGCAGCCCGATCTGCCCCTGCCCAACCCCGACCGCCAGCTTCGGTGCGAGTACGCGTACGAGCACGTGCTCGGCGGTAACGGCACCACGCCCAAGGGCGCCCTGTGGGCTTTGGAGGGGTATGTCGACCTCGTGGCTGCCGACGTGCGGCAGGGCGGTATCGGGGACTGCGGGATGGGTGCGGCCGTCCAGGCCCTCGCCGCGGGCGGATGGACGCGGTACCTCACGCGCATGTTCCTGAAGCGGTTCGACACGCCGAATGCCGGGGATCGCAACATTGTCGCCGTCTTCAGGCGCGACGGCAAAGTCCAGCCTGTCCTCATCGACGACCAGCTGCCCACGCTCCGCAACGCCAATCCCAACTGCTGGCAGTATCCTGGCTTCCAGCCCGTCAACGACGCGGCGTACCCGGACGTCACGAAGCCGACGCCCATCTTCTTCATGCCCCTGTTCGAGAAGGTGAGTCCCGCGAGCGCAGCGAGCGGCTTGAGAGGCGAGCCGTTCACCCCGACAGTGAGAGCCACGCTAACTCCCCAGGCGTTCGCCAAGTTCCTCGACGCCAACGCCGACTGGAAGTCCGCAACGGGCTACACGGGCTACGCGGGGCTCGAGGGCGTGAACCCGTCCTACGTGCTTGCGGCGATTACGGGCGGCAACCCCAGCTGGGTTTGGCGGCAGCGGCCCGGGTTCGACGGGCCGATCATCGCCGCCATCGCGAGGTGCATGCAGGGCACGGCGCCGTGTGTCGTCTCGACCACCAATGCGCAGCTCGAAGGTCTCGGCACCAAGGACTCCACGGGCGCGCTCTGGCTCGCGCCCAACCAGCAGCCGGCGTACATCCCCGGCGAAACGTCCGGTCTCACGGCGACGGACACGAACGGCGTCACGTTCACGGTCATCGACTTTGACAACCTCAAGGATGGCAAGAGTTCCGTCTTCTCCTGGGTCTCGGGGCACGCTTATGCGTTCGCGTGGACCCGCGGCACGCGCTGGCCCATCCAGGACCTGCTGAGCCCGCGGATCAAGTTTCTCAATCCCTGGGGCGTCAATCCCGAGTCGTGGCCGGGGAGTAACGGCAAGGGACAGTGGGATGACCCCGCCGAGCTTACCAGTAGCTTCCGCACGTTCCTCGAGAGCGTCAGTGGCGTGTTCACTGTGACTGATATGCCTGCGTAGATGGTCGGGTAGATGGACTATGGCAGTGGATCTGATGGACATTTCGTAGTGGGTTATAATGAGTCTGGTATGAACTTTCGTGTGGTACGCTGTACTTTGAGCAAGAGAGACGAGTGACTCGAGCGTGCCGATCACGCGGAAGACTTCGGGGAGTCCACCTCCCCGTCCTCGCTACCATCGTCGTCCTCGCTGTCCCTATCTTCTCGCAGAACACATTTGCCCTTCTCGTCATCCCACCTCATCCACTCCTCCAGCACGTACATCTCCTTAATATCGTAACCCCCATTCGCGTTCGGGACACAACAACCCTCGCTTCTCCTGATCTCTCGACAAGAAGAGTGCACTTCGCTCCTGGCCGACAGCGACGAAGTAGCATCTCATGGGCAGCGGACGGCAATAAGCGACGGGTCGCGACCGAGCTCCGTAGTCGGAGCCAGCTGATAGCTCGAAGGTTAGTCTCCAGCTTCTCTCGGTCGATAATTGACCGAGAATCAGCAGCTCAATCACGTGATGTCATGGAAAGACCAGCCACGGAAGTGCGACAGGACGATTCAGTGAGACAATGGAGTGTGGCTGGAGAAGCATCTGTCAAGGAACGCCTCCATCATCGAAGTGTGGAGCCATGTTTCGAGAAGCAACGGAAGAGAATGATGGAGCGAAAAAGATGGACACGATGGTTGCATGCCTAGGACGCAGTTTTGAGTTGGTGGAGAGGGGGAGGGGATATTTCGCCGATAAGCTTATCTGTGCCCTACCCTGCAGGTCCCGGGTCTTCCGGCGCGTCAGCGGCGTGCGCCGCACTGGTGACTTCCCTGCGGGCGCAGCGAATGGCGATGGACTGGGATGGTCGGAGGCGTTGTCGGGGCATCGGGGGTGATAGTGAGGGTTGAGTGATGTGCATGGTGCTGGCTGTTGGCTGCGGTCGTGGATGGGGATGAAAAGCTTCAAGTCAAGCAACTTGCTGCGGAGGACGTGGAATCTGCGAAATGCGGACGGACCGATGCGGCAATGGACGGCGTCCGCAGCGTGGGGAAGGCAGGAGAGGGAGGAGAGCCCAGGGTCCACCCCGCCGGTGAAGATCTTCACTGCGCCGTACGTAATCACCGGACACTGAGGCATCTCAGGGCGGACACACTCACCCCGCGCGCGCGTCTCGCTCTCCTCGCAGCTGCCCGCCCAGGTACGTCACATACGACTCACTCACTGCTCTGCTCTGCTGGCAGCAAATATATATCTACTCTCTTTCTCCTTCCCTCCAGCACATCCTCCCATCCTCCCTCTTCCCCTTCCTCTCACAACAGCATCCCCTCCCCCTCACGTCCACAATGACCGACGCCACTGCTCCCCCCGCCCGCAAGCGCCGCGGTTCCACCCCCTGGACGGAGGTCCTGGGCATGACCTCGTCCCTCGCAATCACCACCGACCCCAAGAACGAGTCGGCCGTCGAGGACGACAACGAGCCCGAGCCCCCCGCCTTCGACCCCGAGACCCCCCGTGGTATCTCGTCCTACCCTCTCCCCGAGCCCGGATCTGATTTCCCCATCGTTATGGTCGGTGCGGGTAACATCATGTTCGGCTCGGATGAAGGTCCATGGAACCACTCTTTCCGCTTCGAGCACAAGCTCGGCCCCCGCCTCAAGGTCGCCGCCCTCATCGACCCCAACACGGACCGCGCCCGCGCCGTCCTCGCCGACAAGTGCAAATCGTTCGTCGTGTCGGCATACAAGGACTGTCAAGTCTACAAGACGATCGACGAGTACTATGCCGCTCTGCAGGCTGGCAAGCACACCCTTCCGCGCGCCATTGTCGTCGGATGCCCTCCTGCGTACCGCGGAGGTGTCACCAAGGGCACGGACCTCGAGCTTACTCTGATCAAGCTCTTCCCCACTGTTCCCTACTTCATCGAGAAGGTGAGTAGCTCGAAATCCTGCTCCTTTAGCTAACCCCAGCCCGTCGGAACCTGCCCCGTCGACGACGCCAAGCAGGTCGCCCAGTCGCTGCTCAAGAACGGCAACGTTGTCTCTGTGGGCTACATGCTCCGCTACCTCCGCTGCGTTCAGAAGATGAAGCAGATCATTCACGACAATAACCTCACGGTTATGGCGACCAACGCCCGCTACGTAAGTCACCCGCTCGGTGCACGGTGGTTGGAGCGTGTGTGCGCCGCCTCAGCTCGCCCCGATGGTTACAACACCGTGCCTTGTGCTAGTCCAAGAACTCAGCTGACATCAGTCCTGCGCCTACGAGGCCATTGCCAAGCCCGCCTGGTGGAACAAGGCGATCGACATGGGTCCCGTCATTGAGCAGGGCACGCACTTCTGTGACCTGTCCCGCTACTTTGGCGGTGACGTCGACATGGACTCTATCGACGCGCGCGCCGTCGAGTGGTATGAAGCTCCCGGCCAGCTGAGCAAGATCCCCATCGATGAGTCCAAGATCCCTGAGGAGGAGCGTATCCCGCGCCTGACGAGCGCGATCTGGAAGTACACGAACGGCGCGGTCGGCACGTTCCAGCACGCTGTCTCGCTCCAGGGCGACCAGTACTTCTGCGAACTGGAAGTGTGGGCGGACGGATACCTCATGCGCCTGACCGACCCTTACAACAACCCGACGCTCTTTGTCCGCCGCCCCGGCGCCGACGTCGAGGAGCGCCACCACTACACGGACGACGACCCGTTCTTCTCCGAGATTTCCACCTTCATTGATGCGATTGAGGACGGCCCCGAGCCCAACATTCTCTCGAGCTTCGAGGACGCCGCCAAGTCATACGAGCTCACGTGGGCCATCCGTCTCGCGTCCGAGGCGAACAAGGCGCAGAAGCCCGAATGAGCGAAGGCGCCAAAAGCGCCGGGGCGACACAGCATCCGCACTGTTGCCCCGCCGCATCAAGTATAGTAATAGACAAGAACATTTAGCATGTATGAGAAGTGATCCACACTGCCACTACTAACCCACTGATGGAATGCATGCGGGCAGCGCTCACTCCTCTAGTCCTGATACACACTGTCGAAAATGGGATCATACATGCTATCGGCAGGCATGGCTCCGCTACTCTCAATCATCTGCCCCACGCTCATCTCGAGACGGACGAGGCGCTGGTCCATACTGGGCTCCGTGGGTGTCTGGCCAGGAACGAGACCGATGTGCGCCTCAAGGGTGGCGAGGCGGGCCTCGAGCTGGCGCAGATGACGGCGGTCTCGGAGCGAGTCTGGCGAGTCGGAGTCCTGCCGATTGCTGGGCGTAGGCGTGTGAGATGGTGGAGGCGTGTACGGCAAGTTAGAGTGCGAGGGCGGGGGCGTCATTAGGTCTCCGGGCCTCAGTCCATGGGGTAGCGGCGCGACGAGTCCACCCCGCTTGCCTCCAGGCAACGGTGCCGCGAAGGGATCGGACGAAGTGAGCACTTCCATATCGTCGAACCCCGGCGTTGTCGGTCGGAAGCTTTCCTTGTATCCCGGCGCCGTGCTCGTGTTCACGCCCAGGCTCTGCCCAAACTGGGGCGCATAGGGCTGGGGCGCATAGGGCGCATTCTGCGAGTTGTTCCGCGAGTGCGTCTGCGTCGAGGGATGAGCCTGGGGGAAGGGATAGGTGCCTGCTGCAGAGCCAGACCGCGAGACGGCCGTCGAGCAGAGCCCCGGCCCGTAAGCAAAGGGAGAGGGGGAGGGCGCACCGTGCCCGGGGTCCGAGACCGAGGCCGGGTCGTATCCCACCGACGCCGAGCGCGAGTGCGTTGCTGTCTCACTGGCCGAGCGGGAGTGGATGGGACCACGGACAATGTCCCCGATGCGGATCTCGGCGCCATCATATGCGCAGGGAGAGGTGGGCGAGGCGAGCGCAAAGGCGGCGTAGTTGTCGTCTCCCCATCTCCTCTCCTCATCCCACATTCCACCTCGCGCCTCCTTGGCCGTGTACTTCGTCTTCTCCCGGTCCTCTGGCGCCGGCACTGGGACTGGAGCAGGAGCTGGGTGGGGATTACGCTCCCGACTGATCTCGCGAGCTCGTTGTCCTATATCCCGCGCTAGGTCTCGATCCCGCTCGCTCCGTTCTGAGAGCTCGCCCACGTCCCGTGTCAGAGCGTCCAGACGCGCCTGGTGCGCCTTCAGCGCCCGCTGCAGGCTGCCCATGTGTCCCTCCACCACGCTCAGACGCTGCTCAAGCCGGGGCGAGTGCGGAGGCGAGGCAGAGGGGTCAGGGCGGTGTTCTGTCGTCAGCCCCCGTCCTGATCCCAGTGCTTACTCTTGGTACTCTCGTGCAGCTTTTGCACGAAGCCCCGCGCCGCCGTGCGGTGCGTGCCGTCCTTGATTACTGCGTCTGCGACTCTGAGGGCCGCGACATAGTCTTCCGCGCGGACGGGGAGGGGCACCCCGCCGTGTGCGGCCTGGAGGGCTGGGAGGGGCGAGGAGGGCGAGGCGAGGAGGAGCGGGAGGGGGATGGGGACGGGGGCGAGGGGATTCTTCCGCGGCATGGCGCTCGCCGCC